AACGTTAAGTATCTTGTAATGACCACGGGGCACTGCCTGAGCGTCTTACCATCTGACCTTTATCATCTTGTGGGCATACCATTTCATGGTTTTAAGAAATGAATCTTAAAGTTGTCTAAAAACTGTAAAAATGTTATGGTTGCGTCAATAAATTACACAAAAATTAAAAAAAAAAAATCAGAATTCTAATAAAAACTCCTTCAAATGCGTTCATCCACTCGTGAGGTACAGACATTACACGTCTAGGAGCACAAAACAAAAGCTACTTTAAATGTAGCCCGCATAGAGAAGCTTAGAAATTATTATCAAAGCCCACATCTTAAAAAATGAATAGCGTACAATACGCAACATTAATTGAGGCGTGGATCTTTGAAGTATCGCCCGTCGCCCGTATGACGTGCAAAACGCACATGGGACTGATACCATCTTTAATCTTCGCACCTTTTCGCTCAGTTCGCCACGGCTTTCATAAATAGCCGTCGAGATCGCTTTGTGCGTTGAAATGAGACTAGCAGAAAGATAGGGATCTGTGAAGTAGAGATTTCCCACTTTGTAGTTTTTTGTACGTCATACGATAGATTTAACCTGAATGTGTAAATTTGATTATAGCTATAGCTAAAATAAGTAGTTATTTTCTGTTTTCTCTTTGTTTAGGAATAGTAAAGTAGCATATGAAAATTATTATTAATTACAACAAACATTGCTCTTTCGTGAGCATTGGGTTCTTTCTTCATACAGCGAGAAAGCAATATGTCGTCAATATTTAACAAGACAAAAAAATTATAATATAAGTTTTTACAAATTTTGTTATATGCACTAAAAAAATTTTTCCGGCATAAAATAAAATTGTTACTGCTAATATCTTACGTTAGCTATCGCGAGAATGTAAAGGTACTGATACTTGGCCAGATAACGTATTTCTGTAGTAAAATAGAATTATGTGAATTGGTCCAATCATTTTCGTACTAGGTATATATATAAAGTTCACATCTCTAGTTGATAGCTTGTATCGTATGGCAAGCCGCGCACCCGTCAAGGGTAGTTTGCACTTTTTATCTCATCATCAAATTGTTACTTTTTGGTACTTCGGTAGTTTTAACTTTATCAAGCTTCCTTTCGACTAATATTAAAAATCTTCAACTGTCATAAAGTATAGATAGATATATGTTAGGAGTTAGGACCAATTAAATTCTTGTGGTTTTAGTAGTATGTCAATGACACGTGTTATATGTATATAAAGAAAATTAATAAAATAAATAAATATATCTGGACATTAACACACAACACCATCTATTTCCATGGTAAGCTACGAGGCTTGTGTTATGGATACCAGATAGTTTATACATTATACATATATAACTTTAAATACATACATATTATAAATATAAACACCCATGCCTACAATATTTTAAGATATGAATATCTAATAGGTATTAATATGTATTTTACGTATCGAAATATATTGATTTGCTTTGCATCGGCTGGCACCGACTTCGAAAATATCTCATTAGGTATCTATCTATTCTAAATGAAAACCTACGTTTAGTTATTTTTTACATTTTAGTGCCTGGGAGTCGGTTTTTATTTTTTGTTAAAAAAAAAAAAATTATTATGGGAAATGCATTTTCGCATACCACTTGCATACAAACAAGTAATTATGTGGGACTAACTAGGCTAGAAAATCCAGTATTATCCACTAAATTCCAACAGAGCCTTCGCCGTCTTAATGAGGCGTCGCAGGATCGCTTACACACTCAACCACGACGCCCCGACGACAGATCCGCCGCTGCATGGTACACCGCCTACCGAAGTGGGCCACCTTCTAGTGCTGAGATTAGGAAGTTATTTCTGCCGCCTTCCTTATTTAAAATATTTTTTACACAATTTGCACAAGAAACCTTTGAGTCGCAGAGCATAAAACTTCTCAAAACAACAGTAACACATAGTCTTGTAGCCTCTACCTTGTAGCCTCTACCTATCATACAATGACCGACTTGTTTCTCACCTAAAAAACCGCTAATGCAACTGATTATAATTAATATCTAAAAATGATCTGAGAAATATCTTCCTAAATATTAATAAATAAAAATTAGTAGAATATATAACTAAGAGGAGTAAAGCGAAAGCGTACTTGAATAAAATTTAATAAAACGTTGCAATTTAAATTCCAAGGGTGGGTTCCAGGCAGCGTATTTTTTGTGTTGAATCCGTTTGGGCGTAAATTCATAAATACGCATTTCACGCTTGTGTTATTAAGCACGACTCAGTGAGCTTTTTAACGCTTCAATATTGTGTGAAATATAAGTTTAACACAATAAGTTTAACTAAGTGCAAACCACCAATTATTATTCCTTTACGAAACGAAATATTTGATATCGAATAAAATTTATTTCGATCAATCTAATATGACAATACCTACATACACCACACATATGTTAGAAAATTTTTATGACATTAGCACTATTCATCAGGAATAACTAAGATATTGTGTATCTCAGGACCCAGAGTCAGTTTTTAGTTTAGAGGCCTATTCAGAAAGCAAATTAAACGTCGACATGTAGATATTTATTACATATTCCATATATGAAAAATAATTTCATTTTCAGATTCTATTCTTAAAACCAAAATAATAGTTTGACAATATAACTAATTTAAAAAAGTTAAAAAAAAACAAGGTTTTAAATAATAGCTTTTAAATAAATCAATCGCTTAATAGATTTTGCCAATTTACCAATCAAGGTGTTCAACTGAACATATCCTACATCTGCATCTATCTGCATTATCAGATTAGGTCGATGGTATCCAACGAGGGCTACAGTACTTGAATTTACCGCGAATGGCGCTAGTGTAGAGCGAGGTTCCTAGAGCTGACAAATTACACTGAACGTGCACTGTTTGAGAGCTTTTCATCGCGGATTTTCACTAATTATTCATAATTATTGTAAAGATTGTGCGCTTCCTGATAAGTTATGATAGACACGGTACGGTAAAATCTTATTCCTTTAAAAGAAGAGCTAAGAAAAGTCATTATTTTATTTATTTGTATTCAGCCCTTTTTAACGTCCCACTGGCCACTGCTGGGCACGGGCACACCCTATAGTACGAGGGGGATCAGGCTATAGTCCTCCGCGCTGGCCAAGTGCGCGTTGGCGGACTTTACATGTCTTTTGAAAACTTGCTAGGTTCTCTCAGACATGCAGGTTTCCTCACGATGTTTTCCTTCACCGTTAAGACAAGTGGTAATCATGTTGGAAATGATTGGCACATGAAAATATCAGAGGTGCGAGACCCGGGATTTGAACCCGCTTCTCTCGGTTTTCCAAGCGATCGCGTTACCACTGGGCCACCACTACCTAATATTTATTTATTTCGGTATGATTAATAATTATTTAAAATTTAAAAAAATAACTGTTTTCACGCTAACAATTATTATTATAAAATTGGCCTTACTCACTAGCAAATACTGTTTTAACGCCAATGACAGGATTTTACTCACCAGTGGCGCCAACTGGTGCCACCAGAAACAATAGCCCTCATTATTGTACTTCCATCTAAATTTGAAATAAAATAATTCAAATCAATATAAACTCATTCGACTTCCAAAATTACATAGCTAGTAAAACAAAACAAAATTTATTTTATTGCCACTCGAGTAAAAACTGATGAAATAAATAAAAAAACGTGTGTGTATTTATGTACGCACGTAAGAAATTATACTTGTACTTTCGGCTAACTTTATCATGCAGCTTTTTGGCTGTCGGTGTGCGCGCGCATCGAAAAAATTTTACTCTCATAATTTTTCCAAACGTACCAAAAGAAGTATGACTTCAAAAAAAAACCATATCAAAGCAAATACAATAACATAAATACTAATAAAATGAAATTTATATAAATAACATTATTTGGTGAAATTTATATACATATATAAATAAAACGTCAATGAGTTGAATATATCTTTATTGTAAAGTAACTAGATCAAACTAACATATGTAGCAATAAACTGCTCAGGTAGCCTGCCAAAAGAGCTTCTGCCATACAAACTTTCTTGAATCCCTCACATACTTCCCCATCTCAACTGAGCTATTCCAAAATACAAGATCAAAGTTAAAATAATAAAACTGTGCATATAATACACGTAAGTTACAAAAGCCTGTGGAGATTAAGCCGTTGTTATATTACGGTGCCTACATTAAACATGAAAGATTTACATTAGAACGAGTAGGTTTTGGTGTTGTTCCTTACAAGTGGCCGTGCGACGGCGGTAACTATCACACTAAAGCTATAAACAAACAGACTGTCGCAAAATATAATAAAACTTGCATATTCAACTAATTACGTTATTAACTAATAATATCTGATTGAATATCGTTTCACGAGTGCCTGATTAACTACTTTAGATTTAGATACGCCACTACAATTTTCAACAGATTTTTTTTTTTATATAGTAGTAAATTTACAATGTAAAATATAGAAAGTGGGGTAAATATCAGATTATCAGTTCCGTTTAGTCTTGGACTAATGGAGGAACACACGAATTCACCCTCTAAGCGACGATACACATTTAATTTGAAAATATAAGCTAGTCCAAATTATTTACAATACCAGCTCTATTTCAATACCAAAAATAATGAGCACTAAGTATAACAATGGTGTAACACTTAAAATAAATACATACGTCTACTAATAATATTCTAAACTATGCTGAATAAATAAATTAGAATTTATCTAAGTAGACTAACTAATTAAAGAGAATTGTTTTAAAAAAAATACTGAAAGTTAAAACGAAAAAACATTATGACGATTGATAGATATAATTAATTATTGAAAGACTACATATTTAGTATGATTACTTCGACATAGCAAGCACTACGTATCATCGTATTGCAATTAATGTAAGTATTACTTGCATCATCCATTGTCTATTATTATATAGTAGTTTTCTATTATTTGTATCGATGGTGAATTAATTATTATTATTTCGATTGTATATGATTCGTTTATAATACGCAGAATTCTTCGAGAAGATTTTTCAGTTCCTTGTTGTGGGCCGCCTTAGAGCCGGTGGCGGGAGACGCTGCCGACGGTCTCCCATTGTAGCTGAAAATACAAAAGTGGTAATATTATAAGTATAATTATATTTACATATTATAACATTTTTGTATAATGTGATACATCAAACCAAGATGGATGAAATCGCTAATCAGCGTTTTAATTTATTTTTTTTAACAATTGTAACACTAAATGTTAAAAAAGTTAAATATACATAATTGTAAATTAAGCTATTCAAGGACATTGATTATAGAGCAAATTCAAAACTACCCGTGATATTTGTGAAATTTGTAACTAAGCATTGTAAACAAGAATTCGAGGATGCCCCCTTAACTCATCAACAAACAACAAAACAATGAATTCTATAACGATATTAAAACTTTTCAAATAATTTCTAATATAGTTATACAAGCAAATTCAACTTTTTTTGGTACACTAAAAAACCATCCATCAATATTTAAAAAATGGCTCATATTATGTTACATGGTTTCTAAATGAGCCTATAGCCTAGCGCTGTTAGTTTTTATTTTAATCTTGTCATTAAGTAATGACCTAAAGTTCCCTATTGAATACATTAAAAGCGTTAGCACTGCACAAGTTAACATTACCTGACTAAATAATTTAACATAAATAGCTTGCAGTTTTTCAATATAAAAGTGCAATAAAAATAAAAGCTTTGCTTAACAAACATAAATATCGATCAATAAATAACCTGCCATTTTATCATAGTTAACATAAAATTAACATATTCCTATCCCATGAGAATTTTATATGGATTATGAATGATTTTGTTAAAAAATAATATTGGACACGACAGAACAATGACACGCCATGGACAATACCACCATAACCAGATACAGATAATACAAAAAATAAAATATGATGTAATATAGAAATGTTATATTTATTTATTTCTATGTAATATTAATTATGTGATTTGAGTTCCTTTCAAAGACAGCACATATTGAAAATGTTTTTAAAATTTCAAAACACTAAATGTATTACTAATTCAGAAGACTTAGAGATAGCCATAAATATGTACTATTATATGTATAGACAATAATAAATTCAATGTCTTATAACGCCAAAATGACGCGACGATTCCCAATTATTAGCTTAAATGAATTTGTATTATTAAATTGAATAAAATACTCAAAACGAGCTAAAGGGTTATCTGATTCGATTTTAGAATTCGATTTTCAAATTCAGTTCAATTTCTAATACCATTCAGAAACCAACTCACGTATATATACCATATTCGAAAATCGAATACGGAAACTGCAATGTGCATCCAATATAAAACGGACGGTATTGTTAACACAAATGTAATAGTAGGGGAGCCCAAGAGGGGATTTTTGCAGTTACTCAAGCGCGGCAGATTAACATAAGGGGGGAATGGAGATACCTTCGATTTTGTTGAGTACCTCCACCATAATGTATGTCCTCTATATAAGGGCGCGCGACTAGGGCAGCCGATCAAAATATTTAAAAAATATTCTGATATTTTTAATTTTTAAGAAGCAAAAATAGACTATAAAGTTTATGTTCATTTTTGCCTCTTCAGCTAGTGCAAATCGGGAGATTATTGAATTGCACACTTTTCAGGATGTAAGCCATACCTTAATCTGACGCTTTCAAGTATTTCTAAATTATCAAAACATTTTTTAAATATAATATTATGGTGGAGGTACTGAACACAGTTCAAGATTAATCTGCCGCGTTCGAGTAACTGCAAAAAATCCCTCTTGGGCTCCCCTAACATAAGCGGTTGGTGGGTTATGTCGCCCTAGTGACATACCTAATAGTGCGCGGCACGGTTTCGGTTGGCGGTTGCTCGTCAGTTTGTGGGTTGGGGCGCGCTCCCAATAGTTTGCTAAACCAGCCCGGTTGGGAGCCGGGCAACGCCCTGGAACGAACCAACCAACCAACCATGTTACGCCACTATGTGTTAAAGCTAAGTTTAGACTACGACAGGAGTTGCGACATAAATGTCAGACATTTTTTTCTGAACTATTCATACTTTTACGAAATTTTAGTGTGTGTTAGTAAGTAGCGTCTGTACATAAATGTACGGGAATTGTGTCCGAGCTGTTCACACTCCTTGCTTCACGTGAAACTCATTTTCAAATGCTATGTTCTACGCGGCTGATACGACACTAATTATCGTGTCACAATAAACTTCACAATTATAGATACTCGCGTTCATACGGAGACATTCGGTGTAAACACTGAATGTATCGTGTATAGTGTCGTAGTCTAAACTAGGTTTTAGTGTGGACTGTTGACTCATATTAGAATAAACAAACGATGGTTTTGACTATACATGCGGGCGATTCGATTGAAAAACTGCAAGCTTTTTCGTCTTTAAGATTCATATTTTAATCGTTTAATCAGTTATAATATTTCTTTACTCGGGTATTATCTAACAATAACCTAAAGCATGTCTACACTTACAATATTTGCTTAATATATTTGTTAGTATAATACTAAGGACCCTTAATATTTAAATGGAAGCTGACGACATTTCTGAAGACGATATAATTATTTTAAAGAAGAATTAGTATTCATTCAAAAAGACAACGGATTTTCATACCTTTTCAATATACAATTAATGCCTATAATAACATGCATACATTTTAGTAACTAAATAGTTAATATAGCATAGCTTGTAGGATTTGCTACTTTCTATTAAATTGAAGAATAACAGCTCATATAGTCAATAGATCTTCAACTTAAGAAAGTCGAATCAAATCCCCATGTGGCGTAGAATGGCAATAATTTTAATAGTAAAAATAATTTTTCTATGTATTTCATTATAAATTTAAAAAGTATATAAAATAAAATAATCCATCCAAACAAAGTGAAACATCAAAAACGCATTATTACATTAGACAACATAATATCAACCAAAGTCAAACCGACCAACCTCCACTTTCTCCATTCTATGTGACATTGTCGAAATAATGTGCTCAACTGGCACGTTTTGAAGTCATTAACATCAAAATTGAATTGAATTGAAGTAAATTGAATAGAACCAAAGTGAAAATAAAACTTACCTAATCTGTTTCTGATTCTGCAGTAGCGTACGGAAGCGGGGCTCGACGTAGCTCCACGAGCCCATGTTCTTGTGTTCCTCCTGACTCCACACGAGCTGAGCGTTCGGGTACTTGGCTATCTCCGCCTTGATCAGGTCGTAGGGGAACGGCGAGATTTGCTCCAATCTGTTATATGTTTATTTATTCATTTATTTATTTGGAAGACAAATAGTATTTAATTACAAATAAAAGAAATAAAAAAAGTTACGTACACGAATTAAGTCTTCACTGTTTACAAATTCTTAAGGTAGGTAGGTATATGTTAGCTTATCAAAATTAAAAATTAAAGTATATAACAAAAAACGGGGAAAACACGAACAGACAAGAAGTGTCTGTTCGTGTTTAACTAGAAGAGTTAAAATTTTGAACATTAAATATTTCATTATGCAATCTACAAAAACGGTATAAAAATGTACAAAAATATTTATTTTTATTAAGAGACTAGGTTTTACTCATTAAGTTAAATAAATAAACATTATCTACCATGTATTGTATTCAGCCCTTTTTAACGTCCCACTTCTGGGCACGGGCCTCCTTTTACTACAATGGGATCAGGCCATAGTCCAACACCCTGGTCATTTGCTGGTTGGCGGACTTCACATGTCTTTCGAAAACTTGGTAGATTCTCTCAGACATTCACAAAGGTTCAGCAGCACAGAAGGTTCACCGTAAGACAAGTGGTAATCATTTTGGAAAATGATTTGCACATAAAAATATCAGAGATGCGATTTGAACCCGCTTTATTTGGTTTCCTAAGCGAGCTCGTTACCACTGAGCTACCACTGCCTACCTATACCATACCATGCCTATAAGTAAATAATTATATTACCTGGCAATAGCAATGTCCTTCTCAAGTCCCCTGTCACGACGCTCTTTGAGCAGATCGTAGTACACGCGGCCGGAGCAGAAGGCGAGTTTGCGCACGTTCGAGGAGTTCTCAGAAGCTGGACCTTCTTCTGGGATCACTCTGTGACGAGCATAATATTTATACATAAATAAATATACTATTTAATGTGTTACTATTTGACGACAGGTTTGGATCAGTTATTGTGTAACCCTACTTGCTGTGCCAGCTGTCGCGGGTTTATTTCCCGCTGGGAGCATTCATTTGCGTGATGAGCACGAATGTTTGTACTCCAATTATGGGTGTTTATATTTATAAGTACCTGGGCCACCGAGCTTCGCTCGGAGTTTTTGGTTGAAAAGTACAATTTTCTTTAAAAAATACTAAAAACTAGAATAAATAAAAATATAATATCATACCTAAATAAAAATAAAAATATAATACCTCTAAGTTATATTTTATATTTTAAATCTAATGGTGAAATCATTATTTTTAAAATAATTTAACCTACCTCTTAAACGACGTGCCTTCACACATGTCATCAAAGGAGGACTTGCACTCGGGGTGTCGCAGCAGGGACTTGGGCGTCATGAGGATAAGGGGCTTTCTGAAGGGCAGCGCGATCTGCCGCCGCAGGATGTGGAACATGGACGCCGGCGTCGAGCAGTTCGCTACGATCCAGTTGCAGTCGTGGAGTTGGCGTACTGGAAAATCCATACTAATATTATAAATGTGAAAGTGTTTGTTTATTTGTTTGTTTGTTCTTCTATCACGTCGAAGCGGAGCGACAGATTGGCGTGATTTTATATAGGGCTGGAAAGTGATATAGACTACTTTCTTCCGCGGGATATTATCTCATTCCCACGGGAAAGCACGTTATAATACAACAAAAAAAATATTTATGATCAGAATTCCTTGAAACTTGGTATTAATGCTACAATACAATTAAATAAATACGTGTTTTAGCATTTTTCGAAATTCCTTCTGTAATAGGGTAAAATAGATAATGAAAATTTGCATAAAAATCTACCTTTTAAGACTTTTTTTTTGTTGTTTTAGCGCGAGCGAAGGCATGGGTTCTGCTAGTAATATATACAATTCTTTTTTAATATGTGAACAGTGAATGGTGTAATGTTGTTTAGTAAAACTAATACTATTTTGCCGGTACCAAACATACACACTATAGATATGCTTAAGAAAAAAAAATTTGGTGTTGTTATGGGACATAAATAATGTCAAAATAAAACAAATGATATAATCATACGCTAAACAAAAAATGCATTAATACTAACGCTATATTCGGTTCACATAGTAAGTCATCACCAAATTGTAATTCATATATACCAAATCTTATTAAAAAATATCTAAAATACAACAGACCTTCATAGTCAGGGCTTTCAGGAGGCATATAGTCGGGATCGTCAGCGCTCATTTGTAAGAAACGCTCCAAGCGAGCTGAAGAGTGTTCAGGTCCCTGAAAGAAAAATAACGTTCATATACATACTATAATTACATAAACGATTACGAAACAAAACAATGCTATTGCATATTTTTAGTATCATCGTTGTGAATATAATACAATACGTCGTTGAGTTTGAATGTGAAAAAAGTGATACCCACTTCAAGTAAAAGAGTTATGGTATCTTTTATGAGGAAGTTGGTATGTCGAAGGTGTTACTCTCCTGTGCCTCGGTAAGCAGGGGCTAGGTAACAATATTACCGAGTCTCCTCAGCTCAAAATTTAAAAATGGTACAATTTTTGTTTTTGCACTCTATGATTGCTTTATGTAGTTAAATATAATACTTCCATGTGTTGCTAATACTCGTAACCTGCCCTGTCTATGTCTGGCAACTTTTTACCCGACTGCAAGGAAAGGGTTATGTTTTTAAAATTTTACACTCCCAATCTAAGTGATGTTTGTCCAACACTTCACGTAAGTTTATTTGCAGGCTCAACAGTTTCTTCTACTCGTTGATGAACAAGACAACCAACATAAGCAATTGTATAACTATGGAAGATAAGATTTCAAAACAGTAGTCTAATATGTGATATAAGTACGAATAAGAATATCTCACCATGCCCTCCATGCCATGGGGTTGCAGAAGCACAATGCCGGACTGGCGCACCCACTTGGCCTGCCCGCTGGAGATGAACTGGTCGATGATGCACTGCGCCACGTTGTTGAAGTCACCGAACTGTGCCTCCCACAGCACCAGCGCGTTCGGATTGGTTACAGAGTAGCCTACTTCGAACCCGAGCACGCCTGGCGAGAGAGTATTATATTTATACAGGACTTTTGCCATCCATGTTATATTATATTAGCGACTCACCCTCGCTTAGGTTTAGGTTGCTTCCCCATACAAACTTTCACCCCCCTTAAGGGATGATTTTCGGGATAAAAAAAACTATCATATGTCCTTCCTATGGTCTCAAACTATCTTCTTGCCCAATTATTATTGGAGCCTATTCGATACAAACTTCAAACAAACAAATAAATTGTTCCTCTTTATAATATTAGAATAGATAAAACAAGTATTTACAGATTGTGTTATAAATTATAATATATTTAAATTATAATTTATTAATATATAATTTAAATTACCATATTCAGATAAGGAGCTGTTGCACACTGTGTAGGGCGCCTGGTCCGGGTAGAGGTGCGCGAGCGCGCAGTAAGTAGCTTTATCCACTTTTTGATGGTGAAGTACGTGATGCCTGAGTTATAAAATATTTAATATATACATCATTCTTTTTAAAAGAATAAATTGTTAATAATATAATATATCGTTTCAATTTTAAGTAAAACTATTTTTTCCGATTATTTCGAGGATTTATTTTGATTACAGTTTATTTTGAGGGAACCAAAATCAAAATAAATGCGCGAAATAATCCGAAAACATAGTTTTATTCAAAATGTCAAATATTCGCGTAAATCTAAAAAAAGTATTAGATCATTTCAATACGATTCACACAATAGAGCTATATTTTCTGTATTAATATTGTCAATACCGACCTGTGCGAGAAAGTTCCTCTCTCCACGTCCTCACCAGACAGACGCACGTGTATACCCTCCTTTAGTAGAGACCCGAAGGCCATGGCCTCGCCGAGCGCCCAGTCCACGGTCCTGTTGTTCACCATCTCCATACGGGATTTGAGAATACGTAGAAGACCCTTGTGTATGACGAACTCGGCCGCGTTTGGGGGCGGCGAAGAGAAACGTTTGCCGATGTGCACTAGAGTCTCTTCTACTACACCAGTTGGGGACATCTGTGCATTTATTAAGTTGTTAATTAAATTTTATCTATTACAATTTTCAAAAAATTATTTAAAAAAAGATAATATATTTCAAACATAGTATTAAAAACATTAAAATTAGGTATTGTTTTACATGTTGAAATTTGGTATTATTAGCTTATGTCATCAAGAAAGCAAATATAAATAATCAGAACCGAACATTGAAACAATTACTCATAAATATAAAAACATTAATTTCTTCAATCTTTTGGGAATGTGTCAGTAAATCCGAAAGTGTGTAAAAAAATATGTCGTTAAAGAGGGATATTTTATATCCTAGTTACATACTTAGACTATCGACGTAGATACTACATTCATAATTAATAAAAAAGGTAATTTAATTACAAAACTACCTTCAACGGGTCTTTGCCCTCAAAGAATCCAGACCAGGGAGAGTCGAGCCAGTCCTTGTATTTAATGTGGGTTTCCTGCTTCGCCTGGTTGTACGCGTCCTCGCAGATCTTCTCGTACTTGTCCTTCACGTCTTTAACTTCTTCCGCAGTCACTACGCCTTCAGAGATCAATTGATCCGCATATTTTTCTAACACTGTTTTGGGGGAAGAAAACATTTCTGTTGTATTGTGCAAAGAAATCTAAATAATAAAGCAGTAACTATTACAATTATATTAAAATGACTTTTTAAGATCATATTTTATGTTGATAGCACAGTAGCATTACATATTTTTCTTAAGAAAAATATAAATGAATGTATGTAATACTGCAAGTACATACTGTAATAGGTGTCATATTTAATCTGATGTAGACCAAGAGTGACCGCTTATATTTATATAGTTGAATAGCAAGTACAAACACTAGTCCACATTCTCATCAAATTCATTTAATACTAACAAATGTCTCATTGGCCGGGCTTAGTATTCCTAACCTTCTGCTACATAAGCGACCTACAATTAAATCATAAATCTTAAACACTACAAACTCACATTCACTTCAAATTAATATAATACTAACAAATTTCCCTGAGATTTTCCATGAAATGCATTCACAAGTTTCTTAAATTGCAAATGTCTATGACAAAAGAAGAAGAATAAGGCAGATTGTTTGATCGTTTGTCTCTTTTTCTATTAAAAAAAAGTGTGTGTGTGTGTACTTTTGTATGCAGGTAAGAAGTTATACTTATGTGGCATAACAAAACAAAAATAACTCCAAATATTTTTTTTAATATTGGGAAATGCATTTATGCATACCAATATACTAAAGAGAGATTTAACGACTAACTTCATACTACAGTATAAATCTGTTACATGGTAAAAAAAATCACTCTCAACATTTTATACCTAACGCGCCAAAAGAAGAACAACTTCAAAAGAAAAGTGTCACTAACCAGGCTTAGTATTCCTGATCTTCTGGTACATAAGCGGCTGCGTGAACATCGGCTCGTCCACCTCGTTGTGTCCGTTGCGCCTGTAGCTGACGATGTCGATGACCACGTCCTTGTGGAAGGTGGAGCGCCACTCCGCCGCCACGTTGCACACGTGCATCACCGCCTCCGGGTTGTCGCCGTTCACGTGGAATATTGGCGCGTTCACCACGCGGGCTACGTCTGTGTGTATGGAATAAGGATTTATTTAATCTGTACCTGAGAAGCATAACACAGTAACTCCGTTTTTTACGAGTTTATGTTTTTTACATATACTAATAATTGTATGTGTCCTTTTTTATAATACCATAACACTGTATGTAGCAAAATTAATCTATCAGAACTTTGTAAGTATAAATAGTCTAGACGGACAACAGAAGCTTATTAAAAGGGTTTCGTTGGCACTTTTCTATATGTATACTAGTATGTATAAATAAACTTTACCAGTACAATAGGCAGAGGAGCGTGAGTGCCTCGGGTCGGTGGTGAATCCGATCTGGTTGTTAACAACTATATGCACAGTCCCGTGCGTGGTGTAGGCGGGCAGGTCCGACAGGTGCATGGTCTCGAACACCACGCCCTGTCCGGCGAACGCTGCGTCACCGTGGAGAAGGATTGACATCACCTGAGGACAACATTCGTATCGTTAAATAATACTTTCTTAATCTTAGATTTACTGCTAATATTTGTTATATATCGCGAATTTATTTTGATTCCCGACGTTTTGAATGCTTTACAGCAATCATGCTCACGGGAGAGACTACGGAGACTTGTAAAACCTAAAACAACTTTATCTGAATAACTCTGTAACTCCTGTAATAAAAGCTATTTTATTTTATAAACCAAAAATGAAAAAAAATCCGCGAAAAAATCCGAAAAGATAGTTTTATTTAAAATGAGCACTATTGAATTACGCGGACAAATCCAAAGGGAAACACTAGTATAACAATACAGTGTATTTAATACACACACATAGTATTGAATACACACCTTTTTGCCCTCATTGTCGCCTCTGTAGAACTGTTCGGCGCGGGTCTTCCCCTGCACGACGGGGTCCACGGCCTCCAAGTGCGAGGGGTTGGCGCAGACGGCGAGCCGGATGTTCTTGTTCGTCACGCGGTTCAAGCGCTCGATGTATGTACCCAAGTGGTACTTCACGTCACCGGAGCCCTATAACATTCATATTAATCATATTAATGTGAGCTACAATGAATGCACAACAGTTGATGTTGAAGATGTTTATTTTTCCAAAAAAAAAAGAATAATGTTTATTGAACATGAAGAATTGAACATTTAGGAAATTCAAATAATACATTGTTTCAAATAGTCTACAATTTAAGCTGTGGTGATTTTGTACAAGATCTGCTTCTTTGCACGACATTATGTATAGTGTTTCAAGCTTTTCTTGAAGGTATTTAAAGTTTTTAACTCCTTTACATTATTCGGCAAAGAATTATTGTAAAGTGGTGCTCCTTCAAATGTAATTAGTTTTTATTTCATATTAGTTGAGTCTAAGGTAATTCATAGTGTATATTTCTAGTGTTATGTGAGTTGTAGTTTGAAACACAGTTCTTCACACAGTTCGGCTCAATAGAATTATGAGAAATTCGGAATGAAGATTGAGAACATACCAGTAAAGCAAAGCATTACTTTTCACATTTTAACGTTCATATCCTTTTTAATATTATAAGTGTGAAAGTGTGTTTGTTTGTTTGTCCTTCTTTCACGTCGAAACGGAATGATTTGTCTGATTGGCGTGATTTTTTGTATAGAGATAGTTGGAGGGCTGGAGAGTGACTTAGGCTACTTTTTACCGCGGGACATTAATTCATTCCCACGGGAAACACATTATAATACAACCAATAATAATACATAGTCTATCTCCAGTAACCGTTAAAACCTACCTAGGGACGAAGCCGAGCGAAGCGAGGGTGAGTCACTAGTATAATATAAATGTATAATAAAGTAAAACTTACATCATCTTCAGCTTCGAGACCAGCGAACTGAGTGAACAGCTGATGAAGAGGTTTACGACACACGTTAGCCAGAACGTTAAGGCGACCTGCAAAAAATTTTTTTTTCGAACTTAGAACAAACCTTTTATGGGTATTGAATAAAAATAAAATTAAAAATTTTAATTAACCCCCAACAGAAAAAAATCCTCTGAAAAGTAGAAAAATTTTCAACTACATTAAAAGTATCCATTAATATTTTGATGTTGAGCATCACCGCGTCGGGGGACTATATCTAGTAAATAAATGGCTGCACCAATTTTGATAAAACATGTCTAAGAATCATCGCCAAGGAACTAGCTTTCAAATAAAACAAACCGCATCCAAATCGGTTCACTCGTTTAAGAGCTACGGTGCCACAGACACACATAGCGGTCAACAATTGAAGTTATAACACCCCTCTTCGCTTCGGGGGTTAAAATGAAGAAACAGAATTTCAAAGATAATAAAATCAATATATTTCACCTCTGTGTGGCATTCCCATAATAACAGATTCGACTCCGAGACGTGTTGACACGTCGATGACTTGCTTCATTGCAGGAATAAGGATTTCACACCCTTCCAGACCGAAACGTTTCTCTGATGACCATTTCTTTGCCAAGAAGTTTTCAAAACTATTAAAAAAATAATTAAAAATAAAATTGTATGTGTATTGCTTTTTATTTTTAATTTAATATTAATAGCAACGTAGAAGATATAAATATGATTGGAAATGTTTCACTTAATTTCTATTAAAAAAAACGTGTGTGTGTGTACGTATGTACGAACGTAAGAAGTATAAAATATATATAATAATACTTCTTTGGCGTAACAGAACAAAGATAGCTAAAGATTTCATCCCGTATGTCACAACTCTCTGTTTGTAAAAAGAATGCAGCTAACTTCGTCATGTCGCTTTTAGCTAACTTCATCATGTCGCTTTTTGGCTATCGGTGTGCGCGCGCATCGTAAAAATTTTACTCTCATATTTTTTTCCAAACGTGCCAAAAGAAGTATAACTTGAATATTTAACACAATAAATTTCAGCAGTTAAAACATCACTCTTGCCATATTCGTAGCATCAGGATAGTTACGTCATCATTTTAGCTTAATTTGTTATTATATTATCATGAATGCTAACAAAATATGTATAACTGATATGGAAATTCCTATTACAAATTCTAACGTTTATAGTCCCCAACGGATTTTTTAATGATTTAATAACTTTGAGAGCAGCTTTATTTTGGCGAGACGCCAACTATTCTTTCTACGAGAATTTCATAGTGGTAGATACAATTGTGGCTTCATACGGAACATGTCAAGACGGTGATAGTCTAATATTTATTACTAACAAGTGGTTTTACGATAAAGAGAAAAAAATGTTGTACATGACAGGTGGTTTGGATCAAATATTTCCATTCTTCGAACTTGTTGAAATAACAACGTCATGTTTATCATTAACCGGCTGATTCATAGTACATATTTATTATTAAAATATGCATAATTGAATGATCAAATCCTCTTTCAAATAAAATGGTAGAATTTCTCAGTCTTACACTCGGATTTTGTCGCCCCCAAGGCGATACTTTTTTCAATAATAACTGTAGAATAAATACAGCACATGACGCGTAAGTGTATTCTCGATATAAAAGCAGTCATTAAATTTCCATAAAAAATTCCGTTGAGGACTGTAGACTACTACTAAACTATTACTAAACTAGCGGCTTACACTCGCTTCGCTCGAGTTCGCCTCTAGGAAAACAAGAACAAACCTATCAACGGGAACGGTACATTTTTCCGGGACAAAAAAATTATTGTGTTATTCCAGACTTTAATCTATCTCTGTGCCAAATTTAATCCAGATAGGTACGTTCGCCCGTTCTGAAGTGAAAGAGTAACAAACATCCATACTCACAAACATTCACATACATAATATTATAGATATTACTAAATTACCTGCTAAATGAATCAACAAAAAATATTGTTATTGTAACTATGGTAATGACCGCCTGTTTTATTTTTGTGTTATTTTCCTCATATATGTATAAAATAGCATATATTATAAGTCATTAAAATATCATAATAAATAAACAAAATCAATCGTTATATAATTCATTCAGCCTCGTTTCCATCATTTTATTGCAATTGAATTCTATTCTTAATGGATAGCATTAAAGCATGCCATTTAAATTCAAATTAATTGGAGTTTTATGCATAGAAAGAAAAAGAGACATTGTGTTTTTCTCTAGTACTAGTAACTATTAAGGTGATAGGTGGTATCATTTAAAAAACATGAGTCAGATTTGGTATTGTATATGAAAATATAGTATGTATGTATATCTATACATATAATAAAATTCTAACTAAGCCGAATCTGTACATTAAATATTTTTTGGAAAATCTTATTGAAATAGTCATTATTATCGATACAGAGGTTGAATCTATTGTTTTTAATTTTTTGTCTGTCTGGGAACGCATCACGAGACAACCACTGGACAGATTTCGATGAAATTTGGTATGATGATAGCTGGTTATCCGTATCAACATATAGAATACTTTTTACTGCGGGAAAAAATGTCATCTCTGAGAAATCTATACTAAATATTAAAACGTAATTTGGGACGAATCCAAAAGGAGCAAGGGTGAGTCGCTAGTAAATATTAAATAATAAAAGAGTTTATAAAACATGATGTGAGAGGAAATACATAGAATGTGTCATAATGATTGATATATTATAAAAGATAAATTTATCTAATACAGGATAAACATTATTGTTCTCTCAAATCACAAATGTCATGGAAATAATACTTTTATCATTTGTTGATATAGATTAAACAAAATGCTACAGATGCATCTCTTGTGACTGACATATATCTTTTTATTATCTTTTTGTGATTTAGGTAATTTTTCTTGTTACATATATCGTTAGAAAGTTTCAATTTTTTTCTTATTATTTCTAAGCGAATATTACACTTTATCTGTACAAAAGTAATGGGACTACTATTGAAATGCAAAAGTTTTAAAATAAAACTGTCTTTTCGGATTATTCGGAGACGGTCTCTCCGGTGACCATGATTGATATATGAAGGTGCATTCGAAACGCCGGGAACCAAAAATTAAAATAAATCCGCGAAAAAATCCAAGAGGATAGTTTTATTTTAAAATGTCAAATATTCTCGTGTAAATCTAAGAAAGTATAATGTCAAAAGTACGTATGTCTTTGTGTATGTTTGTCATTCCTTTATGCTTAAACGGCTGGACAGATTGTTATGAAATTTTGTACATACACATGTAATTTATGACCTAGAGTAAGACATAAGCTACTGTTAGGCATCTAGGAACGCACCCGAGTGAAGCGAAGGTCGTACCTATAAAAATATCACAGTGCTTATGGATACTAATCTATACATACTTATAATAAAATTCTGAGTGGAATCTGTATATTTAATATTTTTTGGAAAATCTTATTGAAAGTCATTATTACAGAGGCTGAATGTATAGTTTTTAGAATTTTTGTCTATCTGCTTGGGACCGTGTCACGAGAAAACCACTGGACAGATTTTGATGGGTATGATGATAACTGGTTATCCGGGTCAACATATAGGTTTTGTACTGTGGGAAAATATCTCATCTCTGAGAAATCTATACTAAACGTTAAAAAGTAACGTAGTAACTAAACGCTAGTAACTAAAACTCTTACCCAGTAGATCTAGTGAGACGAGCGAGTATCAACCGCTTCTGGTCTGGGCTCATCTTGGTCACGTTGGGGGGCTCCATCCGTTGTCTGATCCAGTTGCATTGTTCCAGAGAATTGATGAACATGAATTCGATACCAATGTTGTTACAATACGCTTGTTCAAGACGATTGAGGATTTCTCTAGAAGAAAATGTTTTAAAGATTTAAGAAAAGTCTTAGGTGGATAATAATAAATGGTAAATTTCCTAAAACAAAATTATACGCTATTTATAATATTATTTATTTTACTATAAATATGTATTAAGTAAAGGAAATAATATAAAAATATACATATAAAACAGATATACCAAGTAAATAAAGACAAACAGTAAATGAAAAGGTATCTTTACAGTTTAAATAAATAAAAAGTTTAGTATCAGTAATAAAGTAACTAAAAAATAAACAATATGACATTAAATGATGACCGGATCTGTTTTTAAAACATTATGTGAATAAAAATACCTCAAGGGAAGGGCTTTCTCCTTTTCTCCAATAAAAGTGGTAGAGGGTAGTTTGAAAACCCTGTCCATATCAGCTTCATCTAAAAATGAAGTTATTTATAAGAATAGGAATGTCGCAAATATAATTATTATCATTATCATCAAGCAACTCAACTATCGTTTTAAACGAAAATATGAAACATTTAACTTAATAACAAATTTTTAAATCACAACATATTTCAAAAAAATAAAATAAAAAATTACAAAAATAAAATAAATATAAAATTTACTTAATAATAATTCAATGTATGTACTTAACTACTTATAAATAAAAGCATATATATACAAAAGCAGGCCTTAATGATATCATATCCCTTTACTAGCAATCATGATAAGAACCTGAATGTTGATCCAATTATGTAAATGCATACAAATATATATGTTAAAATCGATATACCCCAAAATGGCGGACATAAGCCCATACAATTACAATTACAGTTGCTTTCTTTAAAACATATCATAATATGAAAAAAAAAAAAACTTTAAGAAAAGAGTCATCATAGAGAATCATTTTCAATAATAAATCACTCTTTCCCAAAATTATAAAATACATTTTAAATATTATCAATATTATAATGATATAAATGTTTTAACTGAATATTAATTTGCCTACACTATTTATTTTCCCAGTGCTATGGTATGTATGAACGACATATTGTGTCGAAATGCCATTGGCCGCGATCCAGGGCCGGTGAAGTAAAATTACCATTCAAGGTCACCTTAATCTTTTCTTTAGCTCCAACAATGTATTATAATAAATATACGTAAATATAACACAACACAAGTGCAATTAGTACTCGTAATTCAGTAATAAATAAATATTCATGCAATATGCTTACATAACGTCAAATCATATGTAATCGTGCGACGTTATGCACAAAAAGGTAAAAATTTTCATGCATATATGAAAAATTAATTTTGATAAGTTGCGTGTGCGCCGTGGACTGGTGCGTTACGACACTAACATACGTAGTTATGGCGTACAATGGAACATGAATGTAACGAAAAATTGAAACAAAATTAAAATGCAAATTAAATGACAATTATGGACGCCATTGCACCTGACAAACTTATTTATATTGGACCTGTTGCAAAGCAAATTAGTAAGCCTTTATAGAGGTTTAGACACTTTCATGCAGCGGACATTGTCAGGGTAACGACAATTTGAATTAGGAGGTCATGTGTATTCCCTTGTGAGATTTTTCACTGCATCGCCATAACTACCCGTTTAGCTACGCCGAGCGGCCAGGGCGAGTCTCCTTACCAAACCTGTAGCTGTTGTGAATGACCTCCCGAGGGTTTTTACCAGCCATATCGTAGTTTGCTATTTCCAACGGGTCGAGTTTTGCTATATGATGTCCCCGGATCTGTTTTTAGTTTGTAATTTGTTAAGCATAGTTAAGTACTGCGTAAACTATGGTTAGATTGTTAATTTGTAAATCATAAATATATATATATAAAAAGCTCGAAGAAAAAAAGATAGAAAAAAAACAATAGAAAAAAATAGTATAGATCAAAACATTGTTGGAATAGTTTCGTTTGAGTCCATACATGTCGTTTACATATTAAATGCCAATACCAATAATTTGTCCAAATATCTACTACGTACAATTTATTATTGTATCTCCATATAATATTTTAACTTAAATGCTTTATTCAATTGCCAGTTGCAAACATGGCCACACGTCTTGGCTACTTCTATTACAAATAAACAAAAATGATCTAAAGCTCTACTTCAATACCAAAAAAATCACAGATTTCGACATTTTAAATAAAGTAATTAAAGTTAAAAATTTGAAAGATAAACGAAGCAACTCTAAAACATGATTGGTTAAAACATATCTGTAATTTTTCAAAATCTGCGACATCGATTGTGATGTCATCGAATCTGATAATAATATATCAGATATCAGACAATCTTACGATGAAAATGATGATGAATACACAATTTTATTATTATAATAATAATGTGGTCAGATAAATAATAATACATTAAATAAAATAATCATTACATACTATTATAGTAAAGTGTAAAATGGTTGATATTTATTGTAAGTGTAATATGTTTAAAGTGAAATATTGTCATACTAATATTGTCTATGGTCAACCTATAATTGCTAAAATAAATATATAAATAATTTACATGTATAATAAATATCTATGAAAAATACAGTGTTTCATTTCATTCGTAGCTAAATTATACAAATATGAAAATAAATTATATAAATATAAATTTAAATTATATGTCATCTTTTTCTAACATACATATTTGTTGCATTCGCTATAATCACATAAGGCTTTTTTTTAATTTATTATCCCATAATAAAGGGATATGATTGGTTAGCAAAATTTATGATGACAAATATTAGAGCTATTACTTAAAAAGCGACTGAATATATGTACATACATAGATATAATAAAGAAAGAGGTTCAAGAAATCACAAAAAATTAAAGACCGAATAATCAAAAAGCTAGTCTCATATCGATCAATATCAATATCGATATTCAGGTACTAAATTGTTTTCAATTATTTGTTATTACTCAAATTTTAAGACAAACGTATAAGATCCGAGTACGTACTAAAAAAAATTTAGAAGAAAGCATCTCTTATTGACCTATATCTTGTTGATTAGTATAAAACGGCGCAGAAAGATTTGATCGACTGTCAAAATATTCGTTATATATTAAACTATATTATCTATATTTGTTTACCATTGACAACTACATATGTTTATCAATATTTGTTTACCATTGTGTTTGTACATTTTTAATTACACTCAGCAATAAGAATAGATAAGATACCGATATAACCCACATTTAAGTACACACAAAAAACCACCTAAACATTTCTATACACCCAAAAGGAAAATCCATGTAAAATCTACTATACCACAAAACAATTCAAATCTAGAGAACGTACAAATGTAAATACAACAACATACAAAGTACCCGGTAAGAGCAAAAGTGTGACCGTTTAGAAAATCCGCAGAAGCTAAAACCCCCAAAACCAAATTTAAAATTTGTATTGCATATTAAAAAAATGGTCGCACACTGGTTTATATGAACTAGTTATATTTGCAAATAAAAATATAAGGGTTTTTTTATTGATTTCTGGCCCTTTCTACTGTATAACATAAAAATAGCATTAATAAAGCGTAATAATACATAGGTGCTTCAATAGATATTAATAACAAGCGGCAGGGAGTGCTTTAATTAGATAGCTACTGGATAATTACTGCATATATAGAGACTGTAGCCTTTGCTAGATAGCTAGATTATACTATTTGTTTTATAAATCTTATAACCTTGTATTAAATGACAAATAAAATATTCATGTTATTTTGTGATATAAAATTATATACACATACTTCGGATTTTCATCAATAATAATAACGTCAATTTTAACTACATTTAGTTATTAATATTTTTTTACAATACCCAATACGAATCGACCTTTATTCATAAATTACAAAACTGTTTGTTTGTACCTTACACCATTTAAAATTTAAATAAAATATCTTTATATACAAATATATGTACCATTATACCATGTAATAATTAGGGAGCATCCATTATTTTCTTTCAATTTAAATTCTCACACCAAACCCCCAAAACTTTGGTGAAATTAAGTGAGATTTGGTGGATCCCTTCCCCTCACGTGAGATTTACGCTACAGTTATTAAAGGACTAGATTTATTTCATAAAGTATAAAGTTAATACAACGTTCAGGTTTTTTCAGCGGGCAAAATAGGAAACATCAAAAGGACGAAAGAATAATCTGTTTAATATTTACCGCCTTTTAAAGTTGACGTGAGATTTACAAATATGCCTCCCTCAGTCGAGATTTTACTGTAACCAACCTTTTTGAGCTCACGTAAAATTAATGGATGCCCACTTACGTGACATATAAAATATATTTGCAAATGTACCTATAAATTTATATGTAAACTCTATCTTTACCAAAACATACGAAATCTCGACTCAAAACTACTAATATAAACATATAAATAATAAATAAACAACATTATATAAACCAGTGTCAGGCCATGAAGCGCAATACCAATCGCATACCGAATCGCACGTGTTGCCTAATGACCGCCTCGCTGGCGAAGGCTCGTAGGCCGCCGTGCCAGTCGCCGCTAGACACCGGGTCCCCGGTGGCGATGCCCAGCGGGTCGAGGCGCGCCACGAGGTGCCCACGCGACTATATTTTGTGAAACATAGCTTTATACTGGCCTTTTGCTAACCATGTTATCAGGGCCGGATTATCCATAAGGCAGTTTAGGCAACTGCCTATAACAACTGCCCTCACGCACGGAGAAAAAAAATTGAGATTATTTCATCGAGTGAAAATTTAATTTGATAAAATAAAAAAATTAGGTGAAACCACCATGAGGATAAATACAACTGTTAGATTTGTATGAAATCTACCTAATAGCGTAATTACGAATATAATAGCATTGTAGTAGAAAAAATGTATTTTAATAAGTTAGAAAAGTGTGAAAGGGCCCTGAGAATTGCATTGCCTAGGGCCATCCAGTACGGTTAATTCGGCCCTGCATGTTATATTACACTAGCGACTCACCCTCGCTTAGGTTTAGGTTGCTTCCCCAGACAAACTTTCAAATCCATTTTCACCACCTTAAGGGATGATTTCCGGGACGAAAACTAACCTATGTCCTTTCCAGGGTCTCAAACTATCTTCTTACCAAATTTTATCTAAATCGGTTGAGTAGTTTTGGAGCCTATTCGATATAAACAAAAAAACAAAAAAGCAAATTTTTCCTCTTTATGATATTAAAATAGATTAGTAGGTACATCCTGCGATATAAATGGGATTGAACCTTTATTGCATTGCCATTTATTTTTCCTTTTCTGAAAGTGCGGCGCATAATGAAACCTAGTATGTATATATAGATAGTCACTTAAATGTGTAAAAAAGTATCAGCAATATAAGTGCTAGTGTCACGTTTTCGAGATATTCATCATCATAAGGAAAGAAAACAATCTTAATAATTTTTTTTGTCCTTCTTAAATTAACCCATTGAAAATCAGTTAACAGCGTGTTAGTTGTATTCAAAAAATTGTTTCCATAGTTATCATATAAACAATATTTACCTCAAAATAAATCTAACCATTCATGTTAATGTATAGATTTAAATATATAGATATTTTGAAATGAAATTAAAATGGCAACAGGTTGCTAATGCCAACCACCGTAGAAAAATGTTCCCAATCCCTTTATATCACCCACCCACTTAAAATAAGACTCTTTACAATTAATCATAATCCCAAACTATTAGATTTCGATAGACCATCCGTTATTTTTAAAATCATATTATACTTCTCGTACACTATACACCTTTTTTGTCTCTCGCTTTAATTACATAAGGGTTTCAATGAGTAATCCAAAAGATGAATAGCTCTGTAAGCGAAGGTCGATCACGCAATGTAATTAAGATATGGGGTATAGTACATATTAGAGTCCATAGTGCAAGGACAGCTTTACTAAGGAATTTCGCCGACACTTCACTCGCACTTAGAACTTTTTACATATTGCAACACTTTTGTATGCCCTAATGTGTGTAATTATTAAGTTTCACCGTATATAAAATGAAATTCAATTGTCGTACCCTAATTGCTAAATAATCTACGTTTATAAATCAGAAAAAAACACAAAAATAAGCATGTTGAAGGTTACCGGCACGTACGCTATACAGAATTGTGTTTGATGATAAAAATAAAAGTTTATCAGGCCGTATTATAAATATAATATTAATATATTAATCTTATCGACACCACAATAAATAATACAGTAATGATTCAGCTACATATTTATAGACAAAGCTCCCAAATATACCATAGATAAAAGATATTAAATGATATCGAAAGGTTGAGAGACTAGCCATTTATTTTGGGATCGGTCTATCTAGTTAGTAAAAGACGATTGAAATATTATTTTTGTTAATTGAATATGCCTGAAAACGAACACAAGGACCAGAAATATTTAATGCTACAAAACAGATATCGAATAACGATACTACTGCAAACAAATCTGTTAACTAGGCTGATAATCTCACAACATGCAAATTACAATATCTTATTTTATTAACTTTATGAGTGATTAGTAAGCAAATAGGTACTGCGATATATTATAATCATGTCTACGAAAATGAGATACGTCACTCTGATGGGAAAACAATCACTGTCTGTGCGTAAAACACAATACTGGTATATTATAATGCAAAGGATGTGAAATGTAGACTGATTATAGTAAGTTTCTATAACGTTGGGGTAGCTAAAGGATTTTACAACGATATGAAGATGGTGGCACATAACAAAAAGTTTAAAAATAGGCCAATAATAAATAAATAATAAATTTTGTAAAACAGTATACACCTAAATAAAAAATGGCGCCCGATATGGCTCAATCAGCTCAACCAAACCAAAAATAGCTACACCAACGACTCCATATATATAAATATATATATAATAAATAAATATGTATATATAAAACAACCATAAAACGCATAAACCGTGATTGTCCCCATACAATCGGCTCATCAATCGTACCGAAATTGAAATATTTCCTCATGATGAGTTCCGAGCGGGGCGCGCGCATGCCCAGTTCGGGCAAGTTGGCCGTGGTGATGCCCAGCGGGTCCACGTCCGCCGCCAGGTGCCCGCGAGCCTGTCACCCCCACCACGTTAACCCACATGACACCCGACTCCAATCAATATCACCACACTTATCCGCTTTATACTATATTAATTATTCTTATTTATTTTGCATACGAAAAGTATTCATTATAAGAATAAATAAATTCTAAGAAACGTTTTGAAATTTAATAATGTTATAGCATTGATATACAAAAACTCAAGATACACGATTAGCGTCTCAGAAGTGTCCTCAAAAAAAACGCACACAAAAACACACAAATTGTGTGTTTTTTTTAAAATCACTTTTGTTGTGATGATGTGATAACAAAATTAAAAGGTTTTGTTTAAAAAGTATTTTATATAGCCTGCGTAAGTTCGAATTTGTATTTAGATAATTAGAACTTTCGATTTTTGAAATTTATTCTTTGGTTTAACTTAATGTCATGTCGACGCCACTTTTTGAAGAGATATTTGTTAAAAAATGTGTGTTTTTATATATCAATGTGTTATAGCTATATTTGTTAAAAATAGCTTATTTTAGAAGAAAAATTAAAATATAAAGTACTTATGGTAACATTAATTTGATTAATTGAATTTATTAAAATAATTGTTTATTTTATGCCACAAGTACAATAAAGTGGTTAGTGTATACGTGACGTAAGCGACATTGTCGTAGTCACGTTTAAAGCATATCGAGTGTAAGATGAACTGTATACTGGTTAGTAGAAATATGAATTCACCAGTTTCTGGCAGATAAGTGTGGTAATATTTTTTCAACAAATTAACAGTCGCGTCGCAGACGATCGTGACTGGTGTCATTTACATATACCCTATCCTATGCACCACTCAAATTTATTTTATTGTCAGTCAAATTTTTATTTATACTACTACACCCAAAAAAACATTTTCACACACAATATTTTTATTCTATCAATATTCCCATAACCAAACTATTTGCGTAAGACTACATAACTTACACACAAATTAAAGTTATAATATTAAACTACCAATATACAGGGGGCACTCAAAAAACGCATCACCATCATTGAAATAAGTTTAATTACTTTTGTTATAGTCAATATTTAAATTCATCATAATATATTCCCTTATATAAAATTTAAGTTATACTTCCTAAAAGACCAAAAATATGACAGTAATAGTAAAATATAGTATGTGTAGGGCAAAATTGCAAACAATAATGAATATGTGTAAAGTAAGATAAGATAGAAAATTGTTCACCTGATAGCTTCGGATGATGGCCTGCACTGCGAGATGATCATCGATAATCTTTTCGTTGATCGGCGAGCCTGTTAAAATTGTTAGTTTTTTATCAACCACATTTCATAAATATATACATATTTTATGTATATTTTAATTCATTTTTTGTAGACTTATTTTGATTGTTGATTGTTTCTTATGGTTTGCAACAAACATCTGTGACCACTTTCCCTGTGACATGTTTTCTATAAAGCTTTCGTAATGTCGAGAACCAAAAACCAAAATAAGTCTGTGAAAAATTTATTTAAATTGACAAATATATTTCTCATAAACGTCGAAATCAAACAGTACATACTGAGGAAAAACTTTAATAATACATACTATTAAAAAAACCATACAAACAGACGAACATAGAGCCTTCTCATTTCTGGAAGTCGGTAGAAAAATTAAAACTTCACTCGTTAAGAGGTATAGGAAAAAAACATGAGTGACTCAACATTCCGTCCATTAATTTCCGTCCCGGTCATTGAAATGAGAAGCAGTGCGGACCACGAATCTTTATTGCCAATAAAAACGAGGATCAAGGATGCGAGAATTGCAACCACGATCTTTCTTAATAGAGCCAGAAAAATCCGGACCACTAATTGTAACATTTAATTAGTATTCATTGTTTTTTTCTTTGCTCTGTGGAATATTGCATTTATGAATAACGCAGAATTTGAGCTAAGCCAACATATTCCCTTCTTTCGCCCGCGACTCTGCTCGTGTATTTATTAATCAATATTCATTTAGATCTATACATATAATAAAATTCTGAGCCGAATCTGTACATGAAATATTTTTTTTTAAATCTTTTTGAAATAGACATTATTATCGATACAGAGGCCGAATGTATAGTTTTTAGAATTTTTGTCTGTCTGTCTGTCTGTCTGTTACCGCATCACGGAAAAACCACTGGAAGGATTTTGATGAAATTTGGTATGATGATAGCTGGTTATGCGGGTCAACATATAGGATACTTTTTATTGCGGAATAATATCTCATTTCTGAGAAATCTATACTAAACGTTAAAACGTAAGTTATAGAGGCGAACCCGAGCGGAGCGAGGGTGAGTCGCTAGTATTTAATAAAATATTTAAATTATATATCAAGACCATAATTAAATAGTTAAAAGCGGATTACTGACTACTATAATATAAACATTCAAAGGGAGAAAAAGGTCATTTTTATATAGTTTCATAATCGACTTGCTGCTAAGTAAATATATACAATATACATATTATAATAAAATTCTAACTCAGTCTGTATATTAAATATTTTTTTTTGGAAAATCTTATTGGAATAGTCATTATTATCGATACAGAGTCCGTATCTATAGTTTTTAGAATTTTTGTTTGTCTGTCTGTCTAGGAACGCATCGCGAAAAAACCACTGGACAGATTTTGATGAAATTTGGTATGATGATAGCTGGTTTATCCGGGTCAATATATAAGAGATACTTTTTACTGCGGGAATATATCTCATCTCTGAGGAATCTATACTAAAAGTTAAAACACGAACACTAGCGGAGCGAGGGTCAGTCGCTAGTCAGATATATAACATACCTATAATGTACCATAATATTTTGCTGCTTTTATCTACAGGATAGTAATTCTATCTTTATTATGATAATCAACTTTGAAGCGCGAAAAAAAATAAAACACAGATAAACATAATAATATAAATATATCCATTGCAGTTAAAACTTCTTACATGACTTTATTCACGAATTGCGCAACAGTTCCGTCGCACTGCGGTACTAGAACAGTCATGTGCTATTATGTAGCATTAACATGATTATACATAGACCGTCTTATCGTAGTGCTGACGCGTAGCAAGTTCAATCTCAATGGATACAAATTTTTATTTATCCACTGTAAATTTTGGTCTGTGTTTAGTTAATAAGAAAATGGCAGAATTAACAGTCACGAGAACTAACTGTCGAGTCACTATATTAATTCCCAGGATAAACTGTGAAGATAGTACATATTAAATGTAACTTTTTAACAGACCTCTAAAAATGTATTCGGTTTTTAAATCACATATAAATAAGAATTTTATAAAATTATCAAGAAATGTCCACTTCTAGAGGCGGAAAAATCACATTTAAAGTCAATATGTCACCCTTTTCCATCATAAAGCATGTACTTATAAATCAATAAAGTAGGCTATCATTACTAAGTATATAGGTTCTTATTATAAATACTTACCAGCAGAGATAGAGGGCATGCCCCCGGCCGCGGCCGGGACGAGTGATGTAAGAGGCACTTCATTCTTATTATAGGGAGCCAGATTGGGTGGAGATGTGTACGCGACGCCAGGCTGCGCACCGTTGGTTGCATTGCGGAAAAATGCATCCCACGACTACAACAATTTAATATTGTTTATATTTTTTATTAACATAAAATTGTTCATTAATATTTCGTATGAGATATATTTTAGAATAAATTAATATCTTTCAAGTGACACTTCTTTAGAATCGTTGTGATTTGAAACTAGATGAAACAAAAATGCGACACTAAAAAGAGACAAACACATAAATATGTATATACTCGTAGGATTAAGCGAGAGAATGAGATAGAATACATTGCCATGTTGTCATGGTAACCGTTGTTATTGTCGGACAAATATATAATATTATATATGTAGTTCCATATATGATATTCTATAAATATATTATTGTAATACGATTCATATGCCTTATTTAATTATTGATTTGTTTTAAATTAATTGTGATAAAGAAGTTTTATTTCAACCACTCGTAATGATTACAAGCACCATTTTTTTTATTTTATAGCCGTTATCTTGTGTAGTTTCCTCAAGCATATATTAAAGATATGCCAAAGAAATAGTTTATTTCACGATATCTATAATATGTATGGTACGAATATAAGTGTCTATTACATGTAGTTGCCAATAGTTGTTATTAGACAATAACATAAATATTATAATAACATGAATCACAATTATTGACCTAATCTTATCATTAACGCTTTTTCCCACGAGATAGGAAAGAGCAAAGTCTATTGATAAAAGTGAGACATAACATTACTTAGGTAAGAAAATTGTTAGGAATACCTACAATTTTGGTCTTAGTTGGTATATACATTTTTTAATCAACATAACAATGTATCTATAAAAATTAAAGTGTCCGTTTGTAATGTCAAAATAACAGCTTTTTTACTTATTGTACATGAAAGTATATATAGGAAAGTATAATGGTAATTTTTTAAACTTTTATCTGTCTGTCTGTTTCGGCTAATCTCCGAATGGCTGGACCGATTTTGACGGGACTTTCACTGGCAGATAGCTGATGTTATGAGGAGTAACTTTGCTACTTTTATTTTAGAAAGAGAATCAGGATTCCGCGCGAAAAATTAAAACCCATCAAATTGTAAGCAATATCATACCTAAGGATCAAAAGATAAGAATTTCCCAATTTTCTTTCCCGACAATATTCTTTGAAAAAGTTTAGTAACCATAATTTCATAATGAAATACTTTTCAAAGGTGTAATATACATAATTCAGTAGATTTCTTGAATAAAATCATTTAAAAGTGTAAATCTAATCCACTTAGAGCTCGCTAGTGAATTGACTTAAACACGTATAGAAAAATATCATAACCTTGACGAACACTTTAAAGTATTTTATTTACATACATGTATAAGAATACAATGTGATTTTACATAATACCTAATCATAAATTTAAAACATAAATAACTTATACAATAGTAATTCGTATTACAGTATCTTTCTTCTACAATCAAGGTTATTGTCCATCCATACTAATATTATAAACAAGTAATTCTGTTTGTTTGTTTGCTACCTTTTTACGATTAAACGGCTGAACGGATCATAAAGAAATTTGGCAAGGAGATAGATTATACCCTAGGGAAGGACAGGATAGTTTTTATCCTGAAAATCATCCCTTAAGTGGGTGAAAAAGGGGGTGGAAGTTTATAAGGGGAATCAATCTTTACAAGTTTTTTAATATAAAACTCATCATACCTACATATTATGTATATTGTTATAGCCTATCTACTCCATACTAAGTGTCAAATTATAATTATATGAATTATCAAACAAATACGTAAAACGTATCATAACTATTGTAAAATTTGTATACAAAATAGTATACCTGATCATACCAGAATTAAATGTCCATAATCAAATGTGTTACATAGTATTATTAACCATGGGTACTTTACATTTAAATGTAAAACGCGTACATCCTTGTAGTCTTAATCTATTTAGTTAGAAACAAAAAGATGAAATGGCAAATCTAAGATGCCAAAACTCATAAACCATCCAACAACAATATTTTTAAAAGTTTAATATATTCCTATTATATACCAATAACAACCAGTGAATGACTTTTGCAAAGTACAATCAGAACAATTAAAACATATCTAATGAGATATGTATGTACATATATTCTAAGGAATTTCTATTTAATGCAATTTTTAAGACATTGTTTAAGAATTCATAATACAAATGAATAGTTTGAAATTAAAGTAGGGAATACTTACAGTGTGCACTGAGTTAGGGTCTGTCAACCAAGCATTATACATTGTCTCTACATAAGCAGAGCTTGAACCATTGAGGAAGGGCTCTGCTGCCGTGGAACTCTTCAGCCTGTGGGCTTTTACTGTCACAGCGGCAGCCTATTTCAAAATAAAATTTATTAATTCATAAATTAGATTAATAGATAAATAATACACGATATTTTTCATCAATTTAAAGAAGAAAAATAGTATTTTCAGGTTATACATTAATAGATAAACCACTAAAACAACTTTTGCTATTACCATAATAATACTATTCTACATTCATTCTCAATATTTAGAAACAAAAAGTTTTTTTTAATACTTTAATTTATTAGACTATTCCTTAACAATAAGGCTACATCATAATATATATAAACAAGTAATTGCTATGTTATAAATTTCTATAATATCTTCATTTTATCACACCAGGTACTATAACAGAATAGGTGTTATTGATAAATCTTTGTTGTCAGTGCTACTCTAATAGAGGCTCGCCATTTATAGACAACAATAAAATTTTATTAGTATTTTAGTTAATGATCATGGTTTATATATTTAATATATAATATATTAGGTTACATGTATTTTAATTATTAAGTAGTTTAGAACTGAAGTATGTGATACTAAGAGTATATTAGTAATATATATAATATTTTCAATTTAACACTTTCAAATTACAAAAACATATTCCATAAGCACTATAGATTTTTTTGAATCTTTTTTATTATAAAGCATGTTATATCTTATCAGATTGGTTTGTTTTTATTGACAATGTCATGAGCAAAGGCCATGATAAGATTAGATTATTCTGTCTGTTTTCATGCGACAACAGCAATAGGTCACTTTAACATATATTTCAAATAAGATATATATACAGATATATTGTACATATGAATTTAGGATATGTATATATATATATATTTGTATACAAAAGACTTCAATATATCTGTATGCGTATACAGCACTGGATTGACTCACCTGTGGTTTGTTGAGAAGCCATGATGCAAACCTTTCTGAGTTGCCAATTTTATTTGAAGCTTGAAGCACTATCCTTGCACGATACATGTTTCTCTTTGGATTTTAAAGTTGAATCTTTTATGCTAGTCCTAAAGGGGAAAATGTAAGATTATGTAACATCACTATTGACAAGTTGCATTTCATATGATTTTACATACATAAATTTTTTTAAGTTTATATATATATGTATATATATATATATAATAATAGCTTTATTTCTTTTTCCATTAATACATATATAAAAATAATGTTTTTGGAATGGCTTATCCCTTCTAAAATTTCACCCTTTGCCACTACTAAGTAGTCATATGTTTTTTAGGTTCCTTGATACCATTATAGTATTTCCATTATTATTTCAATAAAGTTTACTGATTACAATTAATAATAATTCACAATACTTTAAATTAATCAATGTTCTTCACGGCTACATAAAACAGATGATAAATATAAAAAAGCTATATCAACAATGGCAATATGACATGAAAGTAGGTTATCATGACAATATCAATGCCAAACTATCTGGCACAATGGCAAGATTTACCTTTAGATTTCTCTAGTAGATTTAAAGAATAGTAGTAAAAATATATTAAATTAATAGTAGCAAGTATTATTTTGATAGTAAACTGTAAAGCACTTTTTTTATAATAACCTTGTAATATTTATATAGCATTCTTGCCACATTCATATAGGTTAGCATAAAGGTTATGATTTTTATCTTTAACATATAGCATTTAAATATGTTCTATGCAATTAGATACTTTAATGTATAAATTTTAAGATTATTAATTCAGAATTGAATAAAGAGAAAATATGTCAATGTATTGACAATGTATACATTATGAATTATTAGACAAATCACTTATACTAAGTAGGTATTTGTGATTTGTCTCCTAATACTAATTCTAAGTTTAACTAAAGCGAATGACTAATATATAATTAATTTATAATATCAAAGTACCTATGTAATACATTTTAACCCTTTTCAGGTTATGTCAAATTATTCTTGGTTGTTTAAACGTATTAATGGTAAGATGAAACATATTTTTATATATTGAATATTACCATAAAAATAGATGAAAAGACAATTAGCTTTTTAATTGTTTGTGAACATTTCATTATCTTACGTATTATCATGTTCGAATAAGTAGGTACTGATACGAATACGATGCGTGTCGCGACGAAACTACATTTGATAATTATGTTGCAATATATTGAAAAAAACCATACCTTAAAAAGCTCTCATAAAAAAATTTCGTTGAATGATCAATACTTATATCCCGTGATTCAAGGTTACATAACACGAACCTTTCTATTACGTACAAAATGAAATGTAACACTAAATCCGATAAACAATTTCCTTTCAAAAAAAAAATTGCAAAATTTAAAAATTTAATTTACCTTTTCACTATTAAAAATCAATTCTTTAGTTTTAAATGAATATGAATTTTGAATTAAGTTAAAAAAATATATTGAACATCTTTCACAGCCGTTTCGTGCTTTTTCCTCCCTCACAGATAAGGACTAAACTAGTCAGTTCACTATGTAATATTTCTCTATGGTTAGTTCATCAGTTGAGAAAACCCACAGATTAGTGATATATTTGAATGTGACGTAAAAACTAAAACACAGTTGCCGATCTATGGTTGCAGTTATATATAAAGGTGCATTTACATCTATTCAACAACAAATAAGCGTTTTAAGGAAAGTAATATGTTGAAAACAACACTGTTGCCGTTTCTTGAACGAGTCTTGCAACAGAGTATCGACCGTTCTACAAAATTGTTATTGAAACGTGTTACTTTTGTTGGAACCTAATAAAACTTCGAGATATTCCTTGCTTATATTCTTATATTCAGTACTTTTATAAACGTCAGTGAGTTACATAATTTATAATCATAATTTTTCAGTATTACAAACAATTCGTGCCTAGTCACTACATGGTGGTACCGACATTTCAGTGTAAAAGCGTGGGAAAACAAATGAATATCCGCGCCCTTTTTTAATTTTTTTAAACCACATCCCTATCGGCCAAGGTCACATAAGTAAATGCCTTATACATGCCATAAATCATTACAAATTATTCAAATATATTATTTTCTATTAAAACACTCAATATATAAAAATGCAATCTTACACTTTTGTATCCACAGATGATAGATTCATTCAATTTTTAAACTCCACTTTCTGTGTATTTCACATTAAGAATAGAAGAGTTTCATACAATCTTTCATCCCCTATTTTACCCACTCAAAAGATAAATTTCGAAAAATTCTTACCCATCGAACGGGTTCATCTTAAAAGGAATACGTTTACCACATTTCACATTTCTACGACCAGCGTTTTGGCTGTGTGAGACAGGACCACCCCAAGATGAACCTCTCCTTCTCAATTCTTCCTTCAGCTGGTCTAACTTCTAGATACAACACATTGCACAGGTTAGATGCGAACACAATAGAAGCAAAAAACCATAAATGAGATATCACAGTAAATTTCTTAACCTCAGACTGAATATAAATAGGTCATACGTGTAGCTCTTTCCTTTCGAGAAATCTTGCCTATTGTGTGCTAACAATAATCTGTTAAAATGAATTATTATTTCATGCGAGTATCTCTTTAATCTGTGTAACTTACATCATTCATTTGCGTCAGATGTTATTTATTCAATCAGCTGTCACTTGTCAGAAGTTTATTTGTCATCCATGGTCAGAAGTGAGAAGATAGATACCAAAAATTAAAAATAAATTCATTAATTTCTTGAAAACTGTAACATTTTAGACTTCTAGTTCAGCTTCATAATTTTTATAGTAAAATCTAACCATATAAATAATTATAATAAACTAAATTATACACATTCATGTTTCGTTTCTTGTGAAAAAGAGAAATATTAAAATAGTAAGTACTAAAAATGTATAACATTTCTTCGCGGATATTCAAAATACCCAAAGAAATTGTTAAAATACGACATGCTACACAAGTTGGGGAAGTAACAAAGATCGTTACTCCAATCGTCACGAAATTTATAAATTTTCATAGTAATAAAAGCCAATACAATAATGAAAGATTCCGAAAGTATTCTTATAAATACCTATTATACTCGATATTATTTGGTGCTACTACATACACATCTTATAAAATTTGGTAAGTAAACAAAATAATTATACATACATTAATTTTAAAAGCCTAAGTGAGCTTCAGACGGCTATTCATTATTATAACGCTGTAAACCAGTAGCTAATAGTATTTTGCTTTTACTAACTCACTACACATACATTTTTCAGGTTAGAAATCAGTAAATAATTCATATTCTTATTTTTAGGTTAAGATATCAAGTGTTTCCTTCTATAACAGCAGCAGAAGAAATTAATGATTCAGACTCTGAGAGTGAAGTTGAAACTAGAAAGAAAAGATATAGAAAAGAAAAAATTGGATTTAGAGATAGGAAGGTAATAATTGTTTTTTAAATTTACATTTATATACCAACATTTAATGTACTACAATAATTTCGTTGACCTTATAATAAATTTGATTAAAAATCGTCTATTTCTTTTATAGTTAGTTAATAATTAGTACGTTTATTTAGTTAAATATGTTCATTTATTTCCAAGTTTTTTTTTTTTTCATTTATATTTATTTGTTATTGTTACCACAGATAATAGAATATGAAAATCGTATGAGAGCTTATTCAACACCTGATAAAATATTCAGATATTTTGCTACAGTTAAATTAACATATGGTGAAAACACTGAAGTTTATATGACACCTGATGACTTTTTAAGAGCTATAACCCCTGGCATGAAGCAGCCTGATGGTATTTTTTATGATTTCATTTATTTATATTCTTATGTTTTCTATGATTTCTTTGTTAAACAATTATATGTTAGCTACATAAGCTAATAGTAATACCATTAGTTGTTGTAATCCACCTAAAAATATTTTAAGTTGTAAAACTGTATGCATATTTACTATAACATAAAACAGTAATTTCATTATCAATTTTATCCTTGGACGCTGCCGGATAGATAATTGAATATGAAAATCGCATGCGTCAGTATTCAACACCAGATAAGGTATTTCGGTACTTTGCAACTCTTCAAGCTCAACATCATGATCAACATGAGGTGTTCATGACTCCTGATGATTTCCTTCGGTCAATGACACCTGGTGTCAAACAACCAGATGGTATTACAATTTGAATATCTAATTATTAGCACAAAGTATTTTCTCATACTAAATCACCTGTATTGACTTAATTTTGTATACATCTAAATAAAACTGCAATAGCCCTCAACAACATCAGTATATATGATTACTAACAAAAAACTAAAATAAATCTATCCCACGGGCACCTTACATTTTCCGATATAAAAAGTAGCCTGTCTGCTATTCCAGACTATAATCTATCTCTGTGCTAAATTTCATCTACATCTGTTCAGCGGTTTTGGCGTGATTGAGTAACAAACATTCAAACATCTAAACTTTCACATCCTACTAAAATTATAAATGTGAAAGTTTGTGATGATGTATGGATTTCTGGATGTATGGATGGTGTTACTCTTTTATGCAAAAACTACTGAATGGTTTTAAATGAAACTTTACAAAAATATAGCTCATACATCAGAATAACACATAGGCTGCTTCTTATCCCGGAAAAATGTGCGGTTCCCGTGGGATAGATTTGTTTTTGTTTTTCTATAATTTTAGTTTTTTTATAATATTAGTATACATTCACAAGCTATCAAAACCTAACTATGTATTAGTTTGATTATTTGTCTGTTTATTTGCTAATGTTAAAAAGGCTGCAACGATTTTGACAAGACATTTATTTAGATGTACTAAAGAAAAAATACTATTAAACCTCAAATGGATTACCTACTGTGTAGAAATTGAAAGCATATAATTATTGTGGGCTAAATTCAGGGTTTAAAGCTAACTTTTTACTAACTGGCTTTTCTAATTAAGGTTTCAGTTCTACCTGCTGTTGCACATATATATGTTTGTAGCTATTCATATTAATAATATGATTACAGGTTTGGGACTAGATCAGTACAGAAGATATGACCCAAAGGTGAGTATTCTTAAATAAGATCATTTATATATATATATATATATATATATATATATATATATATATATATATGTATATATACATTACGTTTTTTAAAATTTATATAACAACAGCTTTATAATATACATCTATATTAGGATGGCGCAAAAAAATCGACTATTTTTTCGTATCTCGTATGAAAATATGTTACTTTTTCATGTTTTAAGAATACTTTTTAAAGATCAGCTCTAAAAAAGTTTTTTAAGGGTTGCTTAAGATTTATATAAAAAATGAATAACAATAAAAAATTATATACTTTTTTTTTCTCTCTGCAGTAAAATTTACTACTTAAAAATATTAACTTCCTCAAAGTTGCAGTTTAAAATATTGATTTTTAAAGGTCGCTCAGAATTTAGGAACATTTTTAGGTTCATTGCTTTTGATGTCTTCTAGCGATTTTTTTAAAAATCTGGAGCGACCCCTAAACATGTTTTTTTTCGAGCTGTTCTTTGAAGAGGAATTCGAAACGTCGGGAGCCAAAAATCAAAATAAATCCGCGAAATAATCCGAAAAGATAGTTTTATTGAAAACTTATTAATGTGTTAAATAATCGCTATTAAATTTATTTATATATCTCAATTAATACAATATCTATGGACTATCATATTGTTTTTACTGCCGTTAACTAATGAGTTAACAATAAAATAAGATTTCTGATTATTGCTATTTTAAGAGAGAAATGTTAATGAAACGTAGTTCCGAACATACCTCTGAAACCTTACATTTTGTTCGATTAATATTTAAGCAACATGATACTCAAAAACCAAATATTTCTGTTTACCTATCATCTAAAAGCAAAAAAAAACTGATCTGTGCGGGAATCTAACTTACGATCGAGTCTTTTTTAAAGCTTATTTCATATATTCATTCCTTTTATATATTTAATTGTAGCACCATATTAAACCACTTATATAATAATTAATGAAGCATGTAAGTGTTGGTATAAAATTAAATATAAACTTGTAAATTATATTGAACAACTGGACTCTTAGAAGTTTAATGTAGGACATATTTTTAATTAAAATTTAAAATATAAGTTTTAATGAATAATTTATATCCCTATATCGCTTCTTTATACCTGTGTATATTTGTTGCGTCAAAATCCTCTACTTCTCTCTATAGCACCGGCACCATCTTTACACCAATCTCTTGTCTTTTCAGAACGTCGATGAGGTACTGTCTTTCCGCCTCTTCACTTTGTAATATTTATTGTTTATATTTATAATATATGCACAGATTTAAATTACGCGTACCCCACTATGCTATTAATCCTAGCGGTTGTTGGCCTCTGATATCAATTCATACTTTAGAATCTATACTTCAAATTATTTACGTAAATTTAGTAGCTTTCTTATATTTATTATTTTTAATACTTTCAATTATGTTATAACTATACGCTTCTTACCTTAAAAGCTGTCTCTGACTTCAGCATGTTCCTTTTTCTTGATTTTCGTTTATGAGATTTCCATGAAAATAGCGGAACTAATGTAGCAGCAGCCTTTTAAAATAATTTTTAAATTTAGTAAAAGATTTGGCTTTTTGAATGTATTTTGGTAGCCTCAATAAATTCTCATAGGTCAGCAAGATAATTTATATAATATACTACCGCCCCAAAGCTGGAAGTGTTAGATCTAGAAGTTTGCAGTTTTATAACTTTAGATAGATGATATTTCTGATTTAGTTTTTTGTTTATTACAACAAAAGCCATCTTGTCATGCTTAGAATATTTTTATATGTTAAATCCTCATTTAAATTGGCTACTTATTTCTAGACTATAAGTCAGCGACTAAACTTGGATTTGGACGAAGATTCGATATTTTACAAACTTGGCTCATCGGGTCTCATCACGTTTAGCGATTATATATTTTTGCTAACTGTACTATCAAGTGAGTATTTCTTACATTTTTATAGAAATATATTTGTCTTTTGCTCCATGTTGATAAGTCAATGTAAAAATAAATAAATAGATTTTTGTCATAAAATAATTTATTTTCTTACATAACCACGATAAATATTTGATTCATATCCGAACATTTCAAAATCTATACCATATATATCAAGTAATTTATCAAGCATATGCATACTTAGTTGCTCAAAGTAATATTTTAACAATGCAGAAGTGTTTTTTCCATCACGCGACTTATTCATGACAGTTCTGAGACGCATTCGTCTGTTTCTAACCCTTTTTCCTAATATAGGCCCTAGACCTAATTGCTGTATAACATAGGCCGAATCCCGCGATAATGTTTCAACCTTAGCAATAACACTAAAATTAACAGCACAAGGCGTACAAAACTTATAGTAAGGCGCCCAATGTTCGTCAAACGTCGCAGTCGTCGAGGCATATTTAGATATTAAGTGAGCTACGAACTCATAAAATGTAGGACCAGAACTTTTTATTGGTCCTAGAACTTCTGTTGCCGCTTCTCTATGCTCTGCCACAATTGCTCTGGCCAATTTTCTATAGTAGGGAGGTATTATATTTTCAAGCTTGTCTCTGTATGCCGACAACAATCGCACAAATGGTTCTCGTACGACCAAAAGTGATACAACTCCAGGCGTGTTGATAGTATCTCGAAGTTCTTCTTCACTCGGTCTTGGAAACTTCTTTCTTGCCAACGTCAATGGCGTGTGTCTCGTTTTGGCGAGAAATTTCTTATCGTAGCCCCCTAAAAATTATAACAATAAATGAAAACAAACAATAAATAAATACAAATATCGCCTTAAGACTTGATTTATTTATGTTACTAGCGGCTCACCCTTGCTTCGCTCGGGTTCGAAAGACTAATGCTAATCTATCCCGCGAGTACCATACATTTTTTCGGGATAAAAAGTAGCCTATGTGATATTCCAGACCATAGGTAATCTATCTCTGTGCCAAACTTCATCCAGATCCGTTCAGCCGTTCTAGCGTGATTGAATAACAAACATCCAAACATCCATATTTATAATATTAATAAAGTACCCAAACAATATATATACAAAATAAAAGTATTTTAATTATACTACTTCTGACAGTTTTAATTATAATTATACCTATTACAATTATTAGGCTCAAACCAACCATTTTAATGCTTACTATTTCATAGATTTACGATTAATAGTATTTACCTAAAATGTTGAAATTGAACAACCAAGAAGAACTTGCCGCTTTAAAAATATTACACCACACAATATTATGTGCGTGATCCACAAAAAATTCTTTGCTATTAATAGGCTGTTCAGAGAGCGATCGTAATCGACAGACCTCTTGAGCTTTTGTTGCTCGATTTTCCAACTCGATAATAGTTGCGTTATCCGGTTCCTGCCAATCGTCATCGGACGAGTCTGATACCTCGTCTTCACCCAAAACGGGACCCTGCAACTATATTTAAAATTTAAATACCTTTTTTCTTTAATTTCGTATAATTTTCCACTAATGAGTCACACAAACACGATGCATATTTGTTCATAACAAACACTTATTTACCAGCCACTTGGTGTAATTGTCAGTTACTATCGACCAGTCCTTCACAGTAGTTGGGTTTTCGGTGTTTTTTAATATTGTCATTTTTATTACTACTACGTAGATTGTCGCCCAAAAGAGAAATGTCAAAGTTTTCGCACTGCATCGTAAATATGGAAAGGCTTTCGATTTTATCCGCGTACGCAACCGTTTCATTGTGAATATCATTATATCTCGTCATATGGTATGAAGATTATAGTAGTAATTATAGGAAATTAAAAAATATTAATGTAAAATTGTAGAAAAAATAAATTTAAAGTGAATATTAAAACATTTTGGCGCCACTCTGAACGGACGTGCGCGTTCATTCACTGTGCAAACGAGTAACACAGCATCCTTTCACGGAGCATGAGCGAAATTAATGATTTCGTTATCTCGCCGCCCTGTCTGACTGAACAAGTTCGATAGTTTGGCCTACTATATTTATGTACATAATATGAATAATACGTATATGTCAGCTTTGTTTACTTACAAAATGGATGGCTATTAACACTTTTAGTACCTACGTTTACATACTAAGATAAAAAATCGATATTTTTATTATTTTCTTTACAATAACATTTAAAGAAAAAATACTCTAGTAATCCGTAATGTTTTTTTTGCATTACAAATGTCTGTGAAAACTTTATTGTATACTTGTATTTTTTAAATATGTATAGCAATTAGCAATTGTTATACGAATATATTTAACAAAATGAAATAATTTAACTTAACTATTTGAATTTTTCGAATAGGACGCCGAAACCCAATATATACGAGTATTATTATTCACAATCAGTATCGGGATTGTACCTATATAATTCATCGCCGTCTTTACACCAACTCACATCAATATTGCATTGATTGTTTGATATATTTCACAATTTTTTACTTCCATGCCGCTTATTACTATTGATACGCCCTTTGTAAAAGATTCTAACAAAGTACTGTCAAACTAATTTAGTGAAAGATATTAATCTTATTATAATACGATATCTATAATCGATTATTTCAGCTTCGTGTCGTCACTTTGAGATCGCGTTTCGTATGTTTGATCTGAACGGTGATGGAGATGTAGATTGTGAAGAGTTTGAGAAGGTCGCTGCGCTCATACGACAACAAAGCAGTATTGGTTCTAGGCACCGTGACCATGCCAACACTGGCAATACCTTTAAGGTAAGTTACAATTTTCTCATATAATTTATTTTTAATCGACTTCAAAAAAGGAGGAGGCTCTCAATTCGTCGGTATCTTTTTTTTGTATGTTCCCCGTTTACTCAAAGAAGCCTGGATCGATCTGGAAAATTATTTCTTTGTTTGAAAGTGTATACCTCCCGGGTGGTTCCATGGCCATGGATCTGATGATGGGATCCTGGAGAAATCGAGGGAACTCTTCAAAATTTATTGTTATACATTTTATAGTTGGACGTGACGTGTAGGCACTGTAATTAAAAAATAATAGCTTTTCTAATGTAGTTTTTAAAAAAACTTATCTATGTTCAGGGAATCAACTCGGCTCTCACTACATATTTCTTTGGACCCAAGCTCAATGAAAAGCTTACAATAGAAAAATTTTTGGATTTCCAACAGCAATTGCAAAAAGAGATACTATCACTCGAATTCCAGAGAAAAAATCCAGGTACTTTAATAAATATACATTTTTCTCTTACGAGTAGTTCCATTATTTTGTGTTATAAGAGTAATTCGATTTATGTGTATAATGTGTTTAAAACATTTACACTGTCAGCAATCCAACCCGCGTAGTATTATTATTATTATTTTATTTTTGTGTTGCGGCTGTAGTTGTAACTTCGACCATTTCTCGTGTATTATGATCGAAGCATATGAAACTAGAGCAACCTACTAAACCCTACCGCTGTTATAAACTGTGAGATTTGTTATGAGATCCAGTACACTCCATAATTTCATCCGAGCCCTGAATCGGTTTCCCAAGATGAAAGTTTTAACATGAAACCCGCGTAGTAGTAGGTGCTATTCAGACGTCGACAATTTTTAAATTTTATTTATATTTTTGATCAAATTGAGTTTCAACCATAAATCATATTAACTTTGTTTAAGTAGGGACCTTAATTTATAAGCTGTGCAGTCTTTTTTTGCCAATAATATTATATACAATATTCTACAACTAAAAATTACCTTGATAATATAAAGAAAACCAACTCTTGTTTAGGACTAAATGATTAAAATTAAAAAACTAATTATGTTAATCATTTTGATGTTTTAAATTGTTATATAAGATGAAAATGGCCGCATCACGGAAGCTGACTTCGCGGAGCTTTTACTGGCGTACGCCGGGTACCCCGCCAAGAAGAAGTCTAGAATGCTCAAACGTGTTAAGAAAATGTAAGTCAGATCTTATTTACCACGATTTGATGAAATTATTTGTAAGAAACACGTATAGCTATAGAGTGTATGTATACCGTTCCAAACTATTCCTACTTAAAGTTTTAATCTTGTTAATTAATAAGATGTTAACTGAACCAGATAGCGACTGATTACGTTAGTGGAAAAGATGAACTGTTAAAATTTATCATCGAGACAAAGGTAGCATTTCATATGATTATACACCACAAAGTTATTATATTTAACAAGTCTCAAAAAGCATCTTAACTAAGTAATTAGTACATAAATGACGTGATATGCATTGTGGCTTACGTGAGGATAAAATAATAAGGCTTTAATAATAAAGCATTTATTTAAGTGCGTAGTGTACTTGCGAGAATAAGTGAGAAACTGTCCGCTCCTTTTTTTTTTTTTTTTTGTTTTTTTTTTTATGTCGGGAAATGCATTTACGCATACCACCTGATCCCCAGGTGGTGATGTGGGGCTCACCGGCTAGAAGAGCCGGTACTACCCACTAAAACCCGACATTCCCCTCCCCTCCGCCTTAATGGGACGCCGCAGGATCGCTTGTGCATAACTACTACGGCGCCCCGGCGGCAGGTCTGCCTAAATAGGCAGACCACCAAACCAATGGGGCTGCTCCACAGTAATATACATATACCAATCAATCAATACATATACCATCTTTAATCTAACTAATGTAGATATTTAATATAATATAAATAAACTGTAGAGGTCTTATGTCTGTACATAGAAAGAAATATGCTAAAAACCGAATCCGGGGGATGTAAGAAGAGAAACAGAACAAATCCCGATTTTTTTCATTTTTTTTTTGTTTTTCTGTCTCTTTGTCTGTTTATACGGGCTAATCTCCGAAGCTGTTGGACTGATTTAAATGAAATTTTGCATGGTGGTAGCTTATATCCCATTTCAACATTTTAGATACTTTTCATCCCGGATAATTAAAGAGTTTCCGTGGGATAGTTAAAAAACTGTAGTTACTTATACAGTTTAGTACACAACAACTTATGCATCTAATTTAGTAAAATTTGGCATTCTGATCCTGACCTTATATTGCCGGTCAAACAACAGGTTACTTTTTATCCCGGAAAAATGAACGGTTTCCGTAGGATAGATCTGATTGTGCTTTTCTGCTATTATATGCTATAAATATGCTCATGTTCGTTACATAATTCTATTGCCTCACATTACAATAGCTCCATGATATCGCAGGTTCCGCGACCACGGCGTGGGCATCACCAAGGACGACTACCTGAACTTCTTCCACCTGCTGAACAACATCAACGACGTGGACACGGCGCTCACCTTCTACCACATCGCGGGCGCGTCCATCGACCAGCCCACGCTGCGCCACGTGGCGCGCACCGTCGCGCGCGTCGACCTGCACCCGCACCTCGTCAACGTCGTCTTCACTATATTCGATGAGAATTGTGAGTCATCTTTTGTATTATATTATACTAGCTACTCACCAGGGCCGCCAGATCGTATAATTGGATACGAAAATTGTTAAATATGGTTACTTTATGTATATTTCATTTTAAGTTATTACGTATTTTTATTGAATTTTTGTTTTCAATGCAGACTATTTCTCAATGGTTTTGTTAATTTTTATAATAAAATTTGATTTGGTATAATTTGAATGACCCAGTGGTATAAAATAAGTTGGCTCTATGGGCAGCAGTTGTCTCTACTGGCAACCCTGCTACTCACCCTCTTTCCTCTCGGGTTCGTCCCTAGTTACGTTTTAACGTATAGTATAGATTTCTCAGAGATGACATATTTTCCGGCAGTAAAAAGTATCCTATGTTGATCCGGATAACCAGCTGTCATCTTACCAAATTCAATCAAAATCTGTCCAGTGGTTTTTTCGTAGTGCGGTCATAAACAGATAGAAAAAAATTCTTAAAACTATAGATTCGGCCTCTGTATCGATAATAATGTCTATTTCAATAAGATTTTCCAAAAAATAGTTAATGATCAGATTCGGCTTAGTTACAATTTTTTTATATCTATAGATTAAAATAGTAACTTATTAAGCTGATCTTATTTCTTTACAAATATATAAAAGACTTAAACTATAATTTACAGTGGACGGTCAGTTGAGCAACAGGGAGTTCGTGGCCGTCATGAAGAACAGACTCCTGCGGGGACTGGAGAAGCCCAAGGACACGGGATTCGTTAAACTGATGCATTCATTGCTCAAATGCGCAAAAGATACGAAACCCGCATTACTGGATTTCTAAATAATGTAATCATTATAATGATTAATGATTATAATAATATGTAAATTCTTGCCATTCTTGCAATTTTTTCCTATAAAACTATTTTAAATTACCTTATTCATTATAATGAATAATGATTATAATAATGTGTAAATTCTTGCAATTTTTGCAATTTTTCCTAAAAAAACTATTTTTAAATTATTTTATCTTACTATAGTATAAATAATTGTTGCATAGATCTGAATTTATAATATGGTATAAAGTATCACCAAACTATTATGTTTACGTAGAACGATTATTGTTGTTGTATGTAGATACAATTTTATGACTTCATTGTAGCGGAAAAATACAGGCCAATCTCGATGTAGTCAACACTGTATAATTAGTTACGTTTTGTTTTAACATTAATAATTATTTATAACAAGTAAGTTGAGTTGTGATAAAGAAAAGGGTATTGTTATTTTTTTATTGTCTATTATAAATTATAATTGACTGAGGGAGCAAAGCGTCTCTGCTTCGTCTGATAAAATTTGTTTTCCTCTGTCAGTTTGTTGGTACTCCTCTACAGGTCGTATTTTACTACCAATCTTGATGAAAGTTGGTATACAGGTTATACGACTTTATCGATTTTATCGAAATCTGACCCATACACTATTAAGAGTTGAAAGATACTGGATAAGTGCTTTATATTTATTAGCTTTGATGAATTATTATTTGTGAAATGATTATTGTTATCGATTCGTTTATATGTGTTCAGCCTATTTTTTATTCGTTTATATAAAAAAAAATGCCTTAGCATAAATAAACATTCATAATTTTTGACTATTACTAATGATTAAAAATTAGCTTTTAATTAATTTATTTGTAATGCGTATTCAAATATGGCGCTGTTTTCTTTTTTATGTTATTTTTCTAGATTATGTCGGTTATAATCAATAAAATTTGTTTAATTTTGCATTTTGCTCAATCTCGCTTACTTTTAGTGCACATATTTTTAGAAAATAAATAAATAGTTATGCTATATATTATATACATAAAATATAGTAATTTGCGACATGTGCCGTGCCGTCATCTATTCCCACCAATAAAATAGCCCGAATTAGAGCGATTTTTTGTATGAGACGAGGTGGACTATCCTTGCTAGTTTAGTACCTATTATATAATCTTTGCTTTTGCTTATAATTTATATTTGCTAATAATTTGATATATTTTTTAATATTATATTTTTATTCTAGTCACAATAATTATAATGTGTCAGCAAAAAACTGGCTCAATGCAATACGCCTTTGCCATAATTTTAACAATACATTTAACAAATAAAAAGCCAAATATTATTGTTAGAATTATTATTTAGAAAATTAATTATAAAAAGAAAGAAACGCTTGCCTACAAAAGTGTCCTATAATAGTATTGTAAGTGAATTTATTACTCAAATATATTTATTTTACTAATAAAAATGTAACAAAATGAATTTTCCTTTGAATATAAATAAATTTTTTAGGCAACATTCAACATCAACGTCTGTAATTTATTATTATTTTTAAAAGTTAACCAAATATATGTTTAAATCGGGTTGTTATTTCATTGAGCTTTACCTTTATTTGTAAGAAATAACATTTAATATTAAGATATTATTATCTTTTACGTTTAAAATTTTTTTCATCTGTCTTTGTGTTCTTTTTGTTGTTTCGTTATATTAAAATTATTTGTATTAACATTAAATAATCAATATGATAAACTGATTTGTATTATACGCACAATAAATGAAATTATGACACATTGAGTAGTTTTATTTTTTAATTCTGTCTCTTTTATGTATATCGATTTCTAAATCAGAAACTTTATTTTCATTAAACTTAATTAGGTCGTAAACAATATTAATCTGTCGTTTTCCTAACAACTATTCTCATTAGAAGTGTGAATTCTTTGACAAGTCTCATAACCTAGAAACTAAGAACAAGGGAGCAACGAACTGAAAACGAAATTCGTTGCGAATTTCGCATTGGCCCAGAAACAGCGCGAGGGGCGTTTGTAAATCACTCGAATCACGAAGCGTCGAACGTCTCGCGCAAAAAATAGACATAGTTTAATGTTGCCCGGAATAATTGTAGATAATAGAAATCGACACTGACCGAGCGACGCGCAGCACGACGCTACGGCCCTCTGGTGAGTCTCCATCTACCAATTATATGTACCATTATACCATACCTGATTTATAATGTAAATAACTTGCCAACCACCTACACTTTAAATTTCTTCACGACCTCTCATAAAATTGTCGTATAAACATATGCGGTACTTATGTTTGTTTTCCGAATCTTTGAAGCCGGAGGATACGTGCAGCTTATGCTAAATATTAGACGTTTTCTAGAATGATAACATGTTTTTTTTAGGTAAAACTCATTTCGTCATTTGTTATTTTTATATAAAAACATTAAGGTATAATCTTGGCAATTTCATGTGTTTTGTTTGAAAACCAAATAAGTGTTATCGTCTGCATTATCCATCACGCCCACGCGTATAATATCAATAGTAAATATTCCAGAAATTTCTCTAAAATATGTTTTCCAGTTTGATATATAAGAAGAAGTAAGCAGTAATAAAAATGCCTGTGTATCAAAGACCTGCGTTCTGGAGAGTGCCACATCAGCGCCGTGATCCCGAAGATGAACCAAGGAATTATAGCCAAAAGAATTTGGTAAGATTTTTGATTTTAATTTATACATTTAGTTTTATACTAGACTTAATTAATATAATTAATTAGTAATTATAATAATGATATAAACAAAGTTTGCGAGTTAGTGAAAAAGTGTGTGTGTGTGTTTGTGTGCGCGCGTTTTATACATCTTCACGCTTTAACGGCTAATTTGAATAAAATTCAGAATGGAGATGGATAATTGACTAGACCATAAAATTTAGATATCTACATAGTAAAGAAGACCGTGGTATTGAAATATTTTCTTAGGTGCACACGATCGGTAGCATAAATGACGGAAAATTAGACATATTTCATTGAGAATTATTTTTTAATTATTAGTCTGAATTAAAAAGTCTACTGTCATTTGTTTTCGGTCCGACTATGACGACATGCGTTATTTGAAATCGTTACCCAACACTCAGCGCTCAAAATAGGTGCAGTATTATGGCTGACTCTACATCCTTTCTATCCGGTCTGTGTGGGATAAAGAATGACGACGTGTGCGCTTTAAAATTAATAGCTTTTTTTAAAAAAGAAGTATAAATTAGGTGACATTGCAGTTTTTTAATATTTTCTGTCCCAATTTCGTCTGAAAATATAAAAAGAAATTTATAAAGCAAATAAATAATAGCCCCAAAACAAATTAATTTATCACACGTCTATGGAAATAAATTAAGTCATGATTATATAACATTAAAATAATTTTGGGACAGTAAACGTATGTCCTACCTTAAATCAACCTCATTAGTAATAAAGATGTCGGTCACAGGTTTACGTGCCAAAATACTTCATTATAGACTGTTAAAGACCTCTAAACGCACTGGTTACAGCAATTTTAAATATTAATCATAACATATCAACGTACAAATAACATTTATGCTGATATATTATTGCACTTATTTTTAAATATCAATCATATTCCAAAGCTAGTAAACTATTGGAGAGTACAAAAAAGTTTAACCAAAAAGCTTAGTTGTAGATACTCTAAATTTGGTTTATGTATGTACTAAAGACTCAAAAATCCCAATTTTTCCAATATCTATATTTTCCCATAATATTTTCATTACTATAAAAGCGGCACAGGGCCAACTAATTCACTAAAGAAAATTGATACAGCTTTCTTATATAGCATTTCATTGCTTGAATAAACATTGCCAAATAATAATTTAGTACCAATATGCCAAAATTCAAGTATTTGTGTCATTGATTAACGATCTAATAATACCTATGCCTGCCATGTGATATATCTACTGTTATGCCAAACATGAAACTGTTTTGAAACAACGCAATTATAGTGCCCTGACCTTTACCTTGAAATTTGTTTATATGCTATTTAAAGGCAGAAGAAAACAAAAGTGTTAAAAACACTTTTATTCATAATGCCATAACTTTACAGGAGTGCGTTCACCTGAACTAAGATTTTTTTATTACATTATGTACGAGTCTCGTATGATTGTAGTGCTATTACGGTAGTTGGTGCTCCTATATATATTACGGCCTTTCAGATATATTATGTGTATGGTATGATAATGAATTCACAACTCCATGTATGAACAAAATTTTTTTCATAAAATTATATCTGTAATTGGTATAATAAGTCAATATTCCTCTCTATATTGCACCTACTGTGTAATGCCTAAGATTTTGTTTCTAAAACTGAAAAAGCACAAGTTGTACGTAGTCACTTTTACATAACATAATATTTTAATTCGATATTAGCATACTATGAAGGAAACGGGATAACGTTTTAATCTCATCTTTAACACAGCTGGATATTTGGACATCATCTTCCGTTGGTTGAATTGGGTCGATTGCGGTAGGGTTATAGCGAACAGTGGAGAGGGGGGTGTAGTTTGTGGTAGAGACTAGAGCTAATTTCGATCGCACAACGTCGCGTCCGACCGTGGTGCTCGCAAGTCCGCGCCAAAGCGCGCCCGCGCAGTGCAACAGTACTGAGTACTGACGTTTTCACGCCATGGGGCGCCTGCATACATTCGTGGTAACGCTACGAAGGGAAACTCGCGATACCAACTGGGGTCTCCGGCTAGTGGGCGGGGCGGACCTCGCCACCCCACTCATTGTCACGAGGGTACGCCTCTTACTAAACATAAACAACGAGCACCGATGTAAACAAATCGGTTAATTACTTGTTTTGTACTTATTTCTTTTTATTTACTTGCTTTTATATTAACTTTATGTAAATATTGAACGATAATAATTAATTAATTGAAGAATATTCTGATTAATCATATATTACACATCAAATATTTTACATTTTTTTTCAATTTTTTTTATAAGATAACACCCAATATTATATCCGAATCTATTAAAAACGGTTTAGCAACAGCATAAGTTTTCTCATCAATCATTCAACAGTTGTTGCTTCGAAATGAAACGTTTTTGTATGACCCAAATTGTTAGGTCATTGTTGGCATCTGAAACTACCAACTTTTGCTTGTTACTTTTATATAGTCGCGGAATGTTTAGAGACCGATTAAATTTCTTTTGTAACAAAAACAAAATTCTTCCGACTGCTCAAACATAATTTCAGTTGACAGTTTTATCACCTTATTTTCTTATCTTTCAATTTCTAAATAAAAAAGTCGGGTCCTAGCTATACCTAAGAGTATTAGATAAATGTGTGCATATTTAAATTGTTAAATAGCTAATGATTTTTTAATTACAACTAGGAAGTAAAAAATATACACTAGAAACTTTTGCGCTCAATATTCTTTAGTGCTAGCTTTTGAAGCTTTAATTTAATAAAGTCACTTTAAATTAAAACTATTTGGTAATACCTATACGGAATATTTGAATACAATTTATCAGCTTCATTTCAAAGAGACGTTTTATATAAAGGTACCCTGTTTTATTTCAAAGCTAAGCGTGAGTGATAACAGTTTAATGTACATAATATAATTACTTGTACTTGAAATGTTATCAATTTAAATTTTAAAATGTAAAAGAAAATATAGCCTTGTTTTGCTTCATTGTTGGATCTGGTAGAAAGCTACGTTAGGCCGCAAAAGGACAAGCGTAAAGGGGTGTGTTTAATGTTGATTTGTTTCCATATATTTTTTGTTTATTTTTTTTTATTTTAAGCTTTTTGAAATTGGATTCTAATTGTTTACATTTATGGAGATTTATTGATATATTTTAATACTCATTAATTTTATAAAAGCAAAATATATTTTCTGGTTTAACCTTTCACGCACACACAAGCAGCTAGTAAGGAGGATAAACCTGCAGTGCGTCAAGTATTATAACTTGATGTTACTTCAATGATCGAAACCCGTGTTTATATTTTGATACTACGTATCTACTAATCAAATAGGAATATATTATAGTGATTAAAACCCTTACTACCTTTAGCACCCAAGTTTTAACCTTACCTTTTGTGTGACCATGATTATAATTTTTAAGTGTAACAATACTTACCTACGTATTATCATTTTAATCACACAAAAACTGCGGCTTGTGGCTTTTTTTCTATGATATCGAGTAAAACAAAAAAAAAACATTTATAACAAGTTTGTTTTATAGAGCCACGGTATAATATAATGTAATATTACCGTGATAGAGCCCTACTCTTTTTTTTTGTTTATTTGTTATATCCTACAGTTATCTGTCTTTACTCTTTATAAATATTTTAAGTAAATAATCAAGTAAGTAGCTACCATACACAAAAAGGCAGTTCAAAAGATACAGTCTTTTAAAAGAAGAAACAAACGAATGAAAACACAAACGAGCAAACATCGTAAGTTTAGTAAAGTGGAAGTTCTTAATGACCTAAGAGGTGTACACTCAAGAGCTGGATTTACACTAGGTGTACTCGGGCTAGTGCCCAGGGCGGCAAATTTTTAGGAGCGACAAAATTCGGAGGGCGGGAAAAAATTATTCGCGTTATCGAAAATGCTTTTTTTATTTTCCAAAAAATGAGAAATAAAAAAAGATTAACTAGAAAGTAGGTATATTTCGAAAAATTGATATCAGTTACAAATTATTTTTTTGCATTTTTCAAAAAATTAATAATGAAAAAAAATTAAACTTTCAACATTTTGTTCAAAATTTCGATAATAGGGTGGCAATTTTTTATAGTGCCAGGGGCGGCGCTAAGGTTAAATCCGGCCCTGTGTACACTGTAGTTAAAGTTTCAGCAAAGTTGGTTAAAGCTAGACCTAATCTAGGCGCGTCGATTGCTATCTTCAGTGAGAGAAATTTGTTACCGTAAAAAACAATCTTTACCCCTATTTACAAATCTATATATATAATAAAATTGTAACTGAGCCGAATCTGTACATTAAATATTTTTTGGAAAACCTTATTGAAGTAAACATTATTATCGATACAGAGGCCGAATCTATAGTTTATTTAGAGTTTTTGTCTGTCTGTTACCGCATCACAGAAAAACCACTGGAGGGATTTTGATTAAATTTGGTATGGTTATAGCTGGTTATCCGGGTCAACATATAGGATACTTTTTACAGCGGGAAAATGTCTCACTTCTGAGAAAAAATATAAAAACTGTAATGTAGTACCTAAGAATTTCGTTTTTGGTCATCTAAACGCGGGCAGAGCCGCAGGCAATGCCAGTTAATTTATATAAATTGCAAAAAATATAAAGTTTAGAAAGTGATAATTATTGTATGATCATATGAGTCAGCTGTAAGTGTGACACCAGTGTACAACGCTTACGCTCGTAGACGTTTATTTATAAAAGCAGGCTAAGCTCAGGATGTCGCGCGTGTCCACTAGCTAGGTCATGAAGCATTGCAACTATAATTTACAATATTTTTATTGCACGTTCTACATGAAAAGAAATGCTTAAGATATTATACATAAAAATATATGTAGAGCGAATATTTGTTGTTTTAATTTTTCTAATAAACTGCGATGCAGATTTTCTGACATGTTAGTAGCGATAGCAAATATGAATAAATTAAAATTACTAGAGTCATCTCAATAAAAATGGAAGTAATAATAATGCGCGCGTTTTTGTTGATTAAAGATTGTATAAAACTATAAGAGATTTGTAAATCGCACTCTTATTCGTCATTAAAGATTTAGCATGTAGCGAAACTTGGGTCGAACACAAACAACAGCTACCCATAATGTGGATCATTGGCTGAAAGAACAGGTGCTATTATATATCTTTATAGCTTATGAATTATTCTACTATGTCTTTACTTCAAAAGGCCGTGGTAGCACAGTGGTAACGCGCTCGCTTGGGAAATCAAGTAAAACGAGTTCAAATCCCGAGTCGCACACCTCTGATATTTTCATGTGCGAATCATTTTCAACATAATTACCACTTGTCTTAACGATAAAGGAAATCATCGCAAGAAAACCTGCATGTCTACGAGAATCTAGCATGTTTTTGGAAGACATGTGAAGTCCGCCAATTCGCACTTGGCCAGTGTGGTCTATGGCCTGATTCCCCTCGTACTGAAGGGAGGCCCGTGCCCAGCAGTGGAACGTTAAAAAAGACTGAATAGATGTGCTGGTGTCTTATGTGAATCGCAAAATAAACGACTTTCACGAATTCCAATTTCTGCTTCTAAAAAAAATCGATTCTTCGATTTTTTCTTTGTCTTTACTTCACTGGGTATCTTCGACTCTCATTAGCTTTGAGGGACTTCCCTTCACGTTGGCTTATTTTACTTTAGTTTTTGTTACCTTTTGACAATTAACATTTTTATGATACTTCTTAGTTTAAATATTCGTAAATATAAAAATCTTATTCGTAATTATAGCCAAGATCAAAGAACTTAAATTTTATTATATTTTTATATATTTACGAGCCACTCACCCTCGCTCTGCTCGGGTTCGTCTCTAGTTTTGTTTTAACATTTAGTATAGATTTTTCAGAGATGAGATATTCTCACGCAGTAAAAAGTAGGAGTAGTAAATTTCATCTAAATTTTTCCAGTGGTTTTCGAGTGATGCGTTCCCAGACAAACAACTAAATCTCTAAAACCTATAGATTCGGAAAATAGAAAGTCTAAAAAGTAAAAACTATAGATTCGGCTTGGTTACCTATGGATAAATTTATAAAAAAACTACTAACAGAACCCGCAGCTTTGCTCGCGCTAAAACTACAAAAAAAACTCTAAAAAAGGTAGTTTCATACAAACTTTCATGCCGTATTTTACCCCCTTATAGGATGAATTTCAAAAAAATGCTAAAACACATGTTTATTTATTTTTATTGAAGAGCATTAATACCTAGTTTCAAGTAATTCTGATCATTATTCTTTTTTGAATTGTTTTATAACGTCTTTTACTGTGGGAATTAGATAATCTCCCGCGGTAAAAAATCTATGTCACTCTCCAGTCCTCCAACTATCTCCACACAAAAAATCACGCCAATCCGTCACTCCGTTTCGACGTGAAAGAAGGACAAACAAACACACTTTTACCTTTATAATTTTAGTATGGATTTTGTAATTTTGTAATTTGAAAACATTGGTTTTACCCTAAATATAGTTTTCGTTGGCAAGTAGTAAAATACGTTGCATGAAAGTTGAAACATCATCACTACAATCTAACTAGATCGTCCTAGGGATAGGTCGCAACTGCAATTAACCCACAAATATAGACGGGAAGCTATAAAAATCGATAAAAAAGATCTCAAATGAGATTTGGCTAGTAAAATCGGATATTCTTATAATTGAGTTAATATACTCAAAACTCAATGTTAACTTAATATCCGATTCGGAAAATTAAGAGAAATAAAACCTGTCAGTCACTTAGTTACATATACCTATGCCTAATATGTGTATTGAAAAATGCTGAAAATGATCATCCTAGATCACAATAATGTTTAGAAGAGTTCATGTATATAACGCTTAAATATTTATTATCAGTTTTTTCAACCGACTTCAAAAAGGAGGAGGTTCTCAATTCGACTGTATGTTTTTTTTTATGTTTTTCATTACTCATCAACGATGTGTATAGACGTAACGCATAATTGTTTTCTGTATAAACATATTATGTATGTATGATTGTATGTATGTATGTATGGAAGTATGTATGTATGGAAGTATGTATGTATGGAAGTATGTATGTATGGAAGTATGTATGTATGTAACCTTTTAAAGGCTAACAACACGTAGCTACGATATTTTTCGATGATTACGTAATCATTAAATTACTCTTGACATTAGTTCTACTAGACCTAGATTTTGTTTTAAAAAAAATATCCATTATATTTTATACTTGTTTTCTTACATAAAATAAAATAAGGCAGTACCTATACCGAAGTCATAATATTATAATATCCTATGTAATAATTTAACCTTGTTCTAATTTTTTAACTTTCATAAAGCAGATTGATTACTTTGGATATCCTCTAGCATCTGTTGGCTATGACTCAATCAATCTAATAATATATGAGGAGTATTATGTACAAAAAGCTTGCTACACAGGAATTATGATTCTATTTGATCATTCTCAAAAATATTTATATGAACCATATATTAATAATTTAATCTGTATTAAATTAGGTTTTCTTTATTAAAACCTCATTTAAAGAAATAGTATCTATCTGTAAATAAAAACTTCTTTTTAAAGTTCATCGTTGCTTAAATTCCTCTTATACCCAATGGAAATAAATAATTATAGTAGGCCCAAGAGGTGATTTTGGTATTTACTCAAGCGTGGCAGATTAAATAATGAAGGATACCTTGCATTCTGTTGAGTACCTCTACCATATATGAGCCCTTTATATAGAACCATCCATCTAGGACAGCGGATCAGAATAGTAAAAAAACATGGATCATAAGAAATACTCGAGTACGTCAAAATGAGGTATTAGGTGGGTTATTACATGCTGAAACGTATTCATTTCAATAATCTGACGATTTAAATGTGACGTAAGGAAGTGGGGGGTTACAATCTTGCAAAAGACATTGACACATTGACACGTCACATTGACATTCTCGAGCGCGGTTAGTTGTTGTTTTTTTTTTATTTCAAAAAATATAAAAAAAATATATAATCTGCCGACAAGCCGAAGTAACAAAAATCGTTAATAAAGTTTAGTTCAAGCAGCTGCAGTAAAGTATGTATTCCCCACTTCACGCTTTCCTTACTACCTTTACTACTCTTCTTTTCTCTACCTTTTATTCTCTCGCACTGTCCCCACACTACACGCTGTTTTTGTACAAAACAATAATTATAATTAAATAGATTGTATTTAAGGACTAGCGACTCACCCTTGCTTCGCTCTAGTTCGTCCCTTGGTACGTCTTAATTGTTAGTATAAATTTCTCAGACATGAGACATTTTCCGGCAATAAAAAGTATCCTAAATATTAACCCGAATAACCAGCTAACATCATACAAAATTTCATCAAAATCTGTCCAGTGGTTTTTCCGTGATGCGGTCACAGACATACAGACAAAAATTCTAAAAACTATAGATTCGGCCTCTGTATCGATAATAATGATCGATATTTAAATAAGATTTTCCCAGAAATATTTAAGGGGCCATCCATAAATTACGTCACAGGAACTTAATAATTACATGGGGACTGACGCATGCAAGTCCCGCTGAAATAATCAACGCCCTAACACTTCAGTGACGTGGCCATAGAAACGTATCGTCAACATATGATTGTCTGACATGTGTAAATAGCACGCCCTCGCCATTGACTTGGCTCTCGGAGGGACATGATAGATTCGCGCAAATCAGCCGTTAGATCAGTCGGCCTCTATACCTCGACGGCGGTTGTTTTCTTTAAAAATGCCAGTGATGGTTGGCACGACAACTTAGATGGACGCATTTAGCCTGGCCTCATGCCAGACTCGATGCATAACTCCCGTCCCAACCTCCCCCTTGCCCAGTCACAAGGTCGTCCTAGATGTCAATTTCGAAGAGTTTTAAGACTTACGTGTTTTAAGATTTACGTGTTTTTGTCGCGTTTTTCGGATATGCGGGATAGATACATTGATAAAAAGCTTGTATTAATTAAGGACGGGTCCTGGATATCTCTATAGTTTCACTTACATAAATACGCTGAACCGTTACAGAGTAACGAACAAACAAAAACAAATATACCCAGTCACGCACACGTATCTAATTCGCATTTATAATATTATAAAGATTTATTCAAGATAGTTGTTACTTTGGAATAATTTACTTAATGGATTATACAATTTTTAAATGAAAATCAATCGATTTTCTTTTTAATATGGGTATTGCGAGATAGTTTTTCCAGAGGACAGAACTTACTTTTTTGGCAGCTCGTCCATCTGTAAAATATAAGTGTTGGTAATTATCTAAATTATTTATTGATTGTTATTATATGTATATTGCAAATAATACTAAATATGTGTATTTACACGTAAATATGTGTCAAATTATTCGGTACTTCACCTCATTACGTAAAGAGGTTTAGGTACAATATCAAAAACCTTTGCAGACGTACAAATACACACCAAAGCTTTAACTCAATCGGATGGATGAAATAAGAAGAAATAAATATCACCTATCAATGATTTATAATATACTAATTTTAACTTTAAATAAAGATTTTATGAAAAATGTATTCGATTATACTAGAACTGAAATCAAGCCAAATCAGGAATTATAAATAATGTGTTTTGAAAACAAGATGAATCTACCTACAAATTACTCTACACTCGGAGAGTCATGGTTCTTTTTTTACCTTGTAAAAAGGTGACATTAATTATATTGTAATATACTATACGCAACATCTTACTCATACAAAAACTTACTTGTTTACATATTTTTAAATATTTTTTATTTTTTGTCAATATTTTTACGGTGAACACATAATACGTATGTCATCAAAGCCTTGCGTAAGCATTATTTTCTCGAGCATACCAAAATATAAAAATACAAATAACTGGCCTTACGCCTGGCTAAATTCAGTGCTCTAATTAAAAAAATATTGCATTTAGATGTGGACAAAAACTGATTAGACAATCACTGTTATCGACACTCTTAAAGTCTAATGAATAGAAACATGTAAATAAATAGCTGCATTTGGTTCTGAAAATATTTACAGTAAAGTAGTTAAAATACGCTGATATTTCAGGTAACCCCGAGTTCACCGGCGGGTCGAGAGCTGGCCAGAGGAGATATCATAGCAAAGATTGACCATTACGACGCGCGAGACTTACGACACGAAGATGCACAGAACCTCTTTAAAAACGCTCCCAACCAGATAAAGCTCGTAGTGCAAAGGTAATATAAGTTTGTATATAAAATATATGAGATCTAAATCCTCTTATTGGTTTTTTATATCTGAAGTATTACGTACATTACGTATCTGTAATAAGGTGGGAGTTATCTTAAGACTTAAGAGTAAACCTTGAACAGATTTCAATTTAATGTAATGTTTTCTATGATCAGATTTATGAATCATACTTAAAAGCTCTTACCACGCGTAGGAAATATTTATCGTTGATAATATAAATTATGTTTTAAAAGAAAGAAAATAAAATTATCTAAATATTTTGCATTCTGTACAAATACCAAAGCAAAGCATTTTATGTAGTTACAAACCTAATCTTTCCAGTATCTTTGTGTAATTGATAATACCTGAATGACTCCCCATATATGTTTTTTTTTATTTTACAACATTATATATTTTTAAATAGCACATTGCCTTTAAAAACATCGAAAATACAATTTAGTGACGTATACAACACTTTAGGAGTATGTATGTAAGTTGATGACGAGTGTACCTACAGGAGCAGCCCAAGCTCACACCTGTACTCAATGCCACGATATAACAGCTACGTAGGGCGCGTGTCCACACCTTCCTTCTATCGTATGGCCGAGTAAGACCCACCTATAGTATCGATGTCGTATACATACTTACAAATTGATGGCAAAAGCATGTTTCAAAGGCATATATTTACTTATTTATGTATTATTTAGCTTTTCGCAATTCAGTAATAGGTGTAATGTAGAATATTATTTTAATCACGATATATTTATTGAGGGATAATTGACAACTAGAAGATGCAATAATATTATTAAAACTTATTATTATAATTATTTTATATTATCGTATTTTAAGCTTCAGCTTTCAGCATCTATATATTTTCTTTTGTAATAGTACCTTTAAGTAGTTATATCTCACAGTAGCAAGTAACAACGCATCGCTATTAAAACTTATATGATAATTTTATCTATATTTTATCTGTAGGCTCTATTTACTTACCTATTTATTACCTAATAATAAAGATATATACAAAATATAATAGATAGCTAAATAATTAATAATTATTAATTAATTATTAGCTTTATTTTAATTTTAACAATATAATAGAGTCAATTATTTTTGTATAAGTTCGATATAATTATTATTAATAAAAATATCTTTTATATCAATTAATTTTTAAAATAGGTACTTGTACACATGTTGCCCTTGTATCCTAATAATGATCCCGGAAATGTAAAAATAATGATGTGCATGAAATAATAAGCGAATTATGTTAAAAATCTCAAACAATCAATTTTACTCATATGCAAACATTACCAAAGTAATTCTACTGTGTCCACATATATATATATATATATATATATATATATATACATATACTACTACTTAGTACTATATACATATCTCGTATAACGAGCCGAACGAGAACACGTGACCCTGACTAACAAAATGTACGTACCCTGAATGTATTCGCATGTACAGGGAGGAGGAACGTGAGGGCCCGCGAAGAAATCAGTTCGCACCGCGCTCCCCAATTGCTAACGCTGTCCCGCCACCCTTCAGGTAACTTAACTTAACTAGGTACTTACTGAGAAGTATTTTCGTTGAATGCTACCTATTCCGACTTGTATATCATTCATTTGTAATACTAATTATATATATTGTGCTAATATAATTATATATATTCCACTAAGTTTGTAAAGTTCTCTGTGTAATACGATTTCAGCGACTAGTTTAATCCATAGCAACGAAATAGTTTAAGTAAAAATATGACTGATAGTTATATTGTTGTATAGAAAATTCACTATAATATGTTTAAAACTAGTTTATAATTATATTTAGTATAATTATATTATAGTTTATAATCGTAGAATAAATAACTATCCAGGACAGCCAGCCCCATGCCCGCACCATGGCGCGGCCCCGAGTCGTTGCCACGAAGCACGCCCGTGCCGCCGCAGTCCCACTATCCTGTACAGTCGCAGGCACACTTCCCGGTGCAACAAGAGGGCGAATACAGGACCTTAATGCTTTCCCCTACTTCAAATCGCACCGATGAGACCGTTGATGAATCTATACAAAGCCAGGTAATTTGTTTAAAAGTATATATAATTGTGAATGGCACAGATATTAGTTAAATTCCACAATATTTTCTGATTTAAGTGTTATATGAAACAGATTAAAGTTTACGTACGTAATAAACTTTAATTTGCAATTACATTTTTTCGCTTTTGATGATCAAGCTCTTTAAGCTTAACTTAGCAATCAGTGCCAGTTAAACATTCTATAATATATTAATATTATAAATGCAAAATTTTGTGGATGGATGTTTGCTACTTAATCACGCCAGAACAGCTGAACGGATTAGGCTGAAGTTTAGCATAGAGATAGATAGTCTGGAATGGCACATAGATTATTTTTTATACCGGAAAAATATACGGTTCTCGTGGGATAGATTTGTTTTTATTTTTGATTATGGACGAACCCGATCGAAGCGAGGGTGCTAGTTTTCTATATTTCATCGCGGTCATTGGAAGAGCTTTCCCAATGGCCGCAAAGGGATTACGAGTGACGGTTTTAAAATGCATTATGTTTTCGTAATGAACTTAAGAGGTGATGCACTTCTGTATAACATCGTGATGTAATTGAGTATGTTTGAAAGAAAAGCAAATGACATTTGACCCTAATACGAAATCTTGTTTGCCTTAATATTTTCGTAGACCTTCGTAGAACTATCGTAGACACAATTAGAGTTATCTATCAAGAACTTTCGTAGAATATAAAGAGTTTTGAGTATAATATATATCTCAATGAACATGTTTTATTCAAAATACGAAGTAAATAAAACATTGGTAAGAACTAAGAAGTTTATACTGAGTTATAATTGGAAACTAGATTTTATGTAGCTGTACCTTGAACTAAATGAATTGATGCCAATAAAATAAATGAATCCTAGAAATTCCAGAACAAAGTTTTCTAAAATAACATGTAATTAGTCAATAGTCTTATGCAGTTGATATATAATTATTATTAAGTAAATCGTTTTTATAAAATAAAGTAAATAAATAAAAAAAGATAAATAAAATATCAGGAAAGAATAGCTAACACTAGGCGTTCTATACCAACATACCGTGGTACTAAATAGCATATTTATATTCGATATAACCTATTTCTAAAATATTTAGTTTACTTCAGCCAATATAGTTAGCTCTTAAATCCAAATCGCTTATTCTACTTTACTTACTTTTATGTGATATTTGTTACATAACACCATAATTCAATAATTTTACAACATATAAGAAAATCCTAAAAATACGCATAGATACTAAATCACATTTTCTCTCTCGTAAATAAATTCAAATTTAACTCTTCATATATCGTGTCATCATCTCACTAAGTTCGGCAATCAGTACGAATCAATATAGATTTTTGACATCGCGGTTGTTAATAGAAAACGGGTCTTCCAGCCAGACTGTTGGCATAGATCTTATAGCGACAAATGTTTTTTTATCCTATGAATTTTAATCTACTAATAATAATAATAATTAAAAAAATAATTAACTACATTCAATTAAACAAATATACGAAGAACTTTGTATACATTTTATTTTCATATCAATAAAGTTTTAAGATGTTCCAAGAAAATATATATTTTCATTTACCTCGATTACTTTTGTCTTTGATCTTAAAATATACAAATAGAAGAATCGATTGCTTCAACCATGTTTACAGTACAAACTCCGCTTTCCTTGGAAAGCTTCAAGCATTAAATTACATTAGCCTAAATGTAAATACCGGACATATGCAATGAGCATTTTCAGTAGTATATTAAAGTAATTTTAATTATACTTCTAAGTTAATATATACATATAGACATTTATAATTATTGAAAGCCGTCTAATAGTGTTTTCAGTCGACATGAATTTGTTTGTCTGTCTATTTATTGTAAATACAGTTATTTATGTTGTTCATAACGTCGCGTAGTCACTTCCCAAATAAATAGGTTAACGAAACTACTTTTAAACCGAGATGGACATTAATAGCCTGGCTCCGAGCCAAAACACTCTTATTTTGTTATGTTATTAATTAGTTACTGAATATTGAAAATCCTACAATTGACAGCTAACTCAAGCTATAGGTATCCTACTCGTAGAACGCAGCGAACGCCTGGAAACGTCTATCACAGAAAACAAAATGGAAACTCCAGAAATTTCTACTCATTTGCTAAAGTCGATCTGATTCATAATCAGCAAAAATAGTCTTCGGTGACGGCGTGTAGCACTTTGCTAATGCATTAGAGTAATGAAAGATTAATTAAACGTATAGATGCCCATACTGAATGTATGAATTTAGTTACAGAATCTCTCTAAGCAAATAAAAAATCGCTAATTTTGGCATATTTTAATTTATATAACAACAGATAAAAAAATTTGACCCTATCAAAAATAAGGTTGTAATTCATATTTGCAATTTGATTTAGGAATATTTATTGGCAGCCAAAGCTAGCTAGTAGTAAATAATGAATGTTTCGCACAAGGCTCTAGGCGGAGGTTTTCGCCCACGCTGACGCCTATTTTCCCGTCATATTTCCAAAATAGAATGCATTGAAATTACTATTAACTGAGAGGGAACGACTGGAGACGCAGTCCGCGATCACACGCTCTACGACACGTTCGCGCTACAAAGTGATACAAATAAAATGGCGCTCAACCCAAACTTCTTCCCCAATGGTTACCAGGATCCTAAGCATCCCGATGAAGAAGTCGTCGGCAACTGGGTGCGTCGTCAGTCATGCCCTTCACTAAACATACTAAACCTTAATATTTTCAGTGTACTTAACCAGGCTTAAGTGATGATGTGCTGTTAATTTTACGTAAGAGTACTTATACGTTATATCTTACTTGGTGAAATTACATCTGGCGTTAATGCAGAACCGATTGTGGATCTTGAGTGTTTGAACATAAACTAATTGCAGAGTATTAAAGCGTGCTATACTCGTATAAATAGTTAGTGACGCAACATACTTTATATTTCAGTTTCCCGTAACTCTATTTAAATTTTATATCAAACACTGTAATAATATATGTACCTACACCTCATTTAACACATATATAGCAATTTGTTTATAATCAAAGATTTATTACTTGATGTTAATTGAAAACCAATCACCTGGTTTCTGTTATATTGTTTACATACCTAATCTCTTCGTTTTAATCATGCTTTAGCAATCTAAACTATTAACTCGTATACGACATATATATCTACCTGGCATACTTACCTGTTACTTAGATAATTTGTAGGCCAAACATTATAACATAAATATATTGTTAATTATAATGATTAAAATAACTTATATTCTTAATCACTTTCACCATAATCCAGTAATTCATTAAACATAACGCGCCAGCTGTGTGCACTATTTTTGGTTCAATGTCATTTATATCGGATCTTGTAACTGTAAAGAAATATGATTAAGTATCTATAGTTGTTCAATAATGATTGTTTTATATCATAGGTCGTTTACTTTTATTATTACTTACTGATTACACAATTCCATAAGTTAATTATTTTTGTGTTATTGCTTTTCTATAAACTACTAGCGACTCACCCCCGCTTCGCTCAGGTTCGTCCCGTAGCTTGATTCCCCATACAAACTTTTATCCCCATTTCACCCCCTTAAGGGATGATTTCCGGGATAAAAAGAATCCTATGTATTTTCAAGGGTCTCAAACTACCTTCTTACCAAATTTCATCTAAATCGATTCAGTAGATCCAGAGATTACCCCATACAACGTCACAGACTCACAATCTCACAAACTTTACCTCTTTATAATATTAGTATAGATTAAGTAGGTACTCACTACATATTGTAAGGAAATTATCTGAAAAACAGTTCAAAATCAAAATTCACCAAACCAAAGACGGCCTTCGTTAATATACTAATAATAAAGAGGCAGAGTATGTTCGAACGCGTTAATCTCAGGAACTACTAATCCGATTTGAAAAATTGTTTTTGCATTAGATAGCCAGGAATTGAGGAAGACTATAGGCTATATATCATTAAGATACTACCCAAGGGTGGGGATCAGTAATCATAAATGTCAACAAATCGGACAAACTTCCATACATTATTGTAAAACTATATTCCCATATTATATAAATACATAAGGACGAACCCGAGCAAAGCGAGGGTAAGTCGCTTTATCACATAGAGCCAAAAAGTTTTTTGTAGCCGCGCCGTTGTAGTTTTTGAAACCGCGGGTTCTGCTAGTGTTTAATAATAAGGGTCATAGTAGGTACTACATAACACATATTATATACGATCAATACTAAATATGTAACTATCGTTTTTAACTAAAACATTTAAAAATGTAGATATTTTTTTCTAAAAAATAGTTATTAAAAATTCTATTCCATTCTTTAGTTCAATGGCTTCTAGGAGTGCCATTTGGGCACTATTTACTTCGCCAATATCGCACAGAATAGAAAAGACACGTTTTATATAATGGCCGGTAAAAAAGAGAACAACACTAGATCTGATTGCATGTAGAAAAGGAGCAATTCGTTGTAAAATCAGGACCAAAAAATTAAAAGAAATAAATTTTCCGGTTTTCTCTCATTGCCTACGTATCAAGGAAACAAAAAATAAAATGTAATTTAGGTTTAAAATTTTAAAATGGGCCTCTATAAAATTGCCAATATTAAGCGTTGCGTCAGTGCCTAAAGCTCCGACTTTGTAAACATCGAATGGACGGAAATAAACGAAACTTGTTGTTCGCCCAATGGCACCGTTCACGCTCTTGGATACAGTAACACTCCTAGCCGTCATTAACGTGAAGAACGTGAAGTTTATTACTTACTGATTTACGTAACCTACTTAGACCTTAGTATTACACGCACTTTGTTAGTACATACTAAATAAGCTTATGTAAAGCTTATAATTGTACCCATATTAACTAATACAAAAGTAGCGACTATCTGAGTCGCTACTTATATGAGTCTACATGAGTCATTCTGATGATGAAAATCTTTTATAAAAATTATTGAATTTTTGAAATCATTTTTGTAAAATAATGGGTAGGCACTGTCTATAACAAGTATATGTGTTTGAGACGTCTATGACCTTAGTCTCTCCCGTGACCATGATTGCTTTAAAGCATTTGAAACGTCGGGAACCAAAAATCAAAACGAATCCGCGAAATATTCCGAAAAGATAGTTTTAATCTAAAAAAGTATTAGATGAAAATCTCATTAAGTAATGATAGATTAAAACTATCTTTTCGGATTATTGATAAGTATCAATAGTACCTAAACTGAAACATAGAAGGATATGAATATTTACAAGAGGGGCCTCGACCTACATTGATCAAATAATTACTGAAATAAAACGAAATGGTGTCGAGAATCATAACCCACATGAAATAACCTCGCTATAAAATTAGATGCGACGCTTCACATTGAACCTACTTGACTATGAAACATATTTAGCATTCTTATAAAATAAGATTTGTAATTTAACAATATGCCCGATAGCTAACATAAATATAATTAGGTACATAAATTTTAACAGAACTCTTTATTTACATACTAGCGATTCATCCTCGCTTCGCTCAGGTTCGTCCCTAGGTACGTTTCGACGCTTAGTAAGGAATGACTTTTTTTCGATTTTTTCGTGATTTTTTCCGATATAAAAATTAATTTATTAATGTTTACGTTTGCATGTTACTAGCCCTACCGCACTACTCCATTAGTGCTGCCGGGAGCGAAGGTCCGCCGCGAGCCTGGCCCCACTGAGAGCTACTTGCGCCATCACCCCAATCCGGCTATGCGCGCTCCCCCACACCACGACTACCGCGATACACTCATGAAGCAAAAGGTATTCTTTATACATTCTCACACATAAACATAAACAAACACATACAAGAATGACTGAAAATCTTTACCTCACCAGGAATGGAACCCGCAATCTACGATGCAGTAGATTCTAATCAGACTTTGCCATTAGAAGTAGATGCTGTTGTATAAATATTTTAATTTGCAATTAATTTTAGTTAGATTAGACTTACACTGTACACATTAGTTATATTTTAACCAAACACACATACCTACACCTCGTGCAAGAAGCATGTGCACTTGAAATTTCACACTTCTGTATAAATATACCTTTCTAAGCTTTTAAGCCACTTCGTCCTACTTGTAAGAATTTAATAAAACAACAATTTGGGTAGAAAGACCAATTATCATCTTCGATATATTTATTATATAGTTAAAAGTTTTAAAGCATTTGCGATTGCTGTAACGGTAATTGATTATAGTACCTGGGCAGCCGAGCTTCGCTCGGAGTTTTTGGCCAAGAAAAACATTAAAAAAAAAACAAAAGTAATAACTTTGTATCCGAACGGGATACGGACTATATATACGAACGATATATATACTCTGAGTCTCGGATATATACAAGAGTTGCTCGTTTAAATATATTAGATTTGGAAAGGTAAATTTAGTTTATTATTGGTATTTGCTAAAGTGTTTGATAATTACGCATAATTACAAGAAGCAAAATAAAAAAACAACAAATTACTCATTATAACGTGTAGATTTTTGATGAAAATCAGGTGGCTGAATCAGTGTTGCAGCGAGTGGTCGGTGAAGAATCTAATAAGGTTGTCCAACAAATCTGTGTGACACTTGCCTAGAAATAATAACTTTAGCATGAAAGCTTAAACTCAAACTTCTGTTACGAAGCCATATGTTTTTTGTGATCTTGGCTTATGAGAATGCACTGATTTTTTTATTTTTAAGTAATATTCATTGCATAATTTAAAAAAAAATAATCTAAGTATTAAATTCAGTGAATTCTCAAATTACAAAATCTTCATTTGTCTATATTTCATATTCTTTACTCATTGATGTATATTTCATTGATTTTCTTTTAACCACGTTTTTTATTTATTATACTTATCCATTAGGCTTTATGAATTTTAGCATTAAACAATAATTTTTATTATTAAAAATATTTTTGTGGCCTACCCAGTACCCACGTTGTAGTTGCCGCCAACTAATATTGTTTTTATCTAAAATTTTAAACTTTCTTGTCAAGGGAGTTGGCACAACTACAAGTACAACTATTATACAATTTTTATTTTTTACATCATGTAAGGAAGTTTCCGTGTACTTTTTCAGTTGGTGCACAAGCAGTTCAACTCCCCAATCAACCTATATTCGGAACAAAACATTGCCAATTCGATTAGACAACAGACTTCTCCTCTGCCGTGAGTATTTTTTAAGACATTTAACATGAAAAATATTTAAGAATATCTTAGTTTATTCCACCTAGTTTAGAACATACGAGTATGAGAAATATTGAAGGTCGTATTAAAGTAACGCTCATCTTAGAACTGAAATTCAAGATCATGGCTGCTTGCCAAACGAAAATACCTCGCATTTTGCTATACACACTAGATTTTAGATTGATACACTATAAACATATCTGTAAGAATCATGAATGTACATAGATCAAATTACTCGTAGTAATTTATTTTGTGGTTGAGCTACGTACCGAGGTAGTGGGTTCGACACCTACCCTAAAAAATAATTAATTGCCATTTTTTCAATATTTCCACCATTTAAAGAATAGCAACCTATGCTGATCTATGTCAATGATAAAATTATGTTTTTATTAGCAGGCAATTTACATTTTGATTTAAATATGAACATCATAATATGAGTGTGCACCTACTTAATATATTTCTCACTGCATATTTACTTACTATGAAAATGATTTAAGTTTCTATTGCATAATGTAAATAAAGATCCACGAGAGCGCCTGGTGACGACATTTACATGTGATTTAATAAATGATTTTGTTTGCTCGCTTAGCTCTAACGGCCATTACGGACGGCCGCACGTTGTCAAGAGGCAAGTGTTTTACTAGAAACGCCGCCAAAACTGTCGACACCCATCTCACATGACGCATTAATGCTTCTTTATTTTTATTTTGCTATCTCTTCGACTCTTTTAAACTTCTGACAGAACGTAAAAACGGCGACGCCGATATTAGCATTAAGAATTCGCACTTCCATTCACGCGATAATAATGTTGCAACTTAGACGTATTTAGATTTAAATATAATATTAAGCGAACCTATTCTACACGATTAATGTTAGTATTTTTATCGACCTGTCCTTCCTAAAAAACAAATACTAAACGTCATATGTACTAACCGGCCCCCCCGAGACGAATCTAATAGTTTTCTATCTATTGTGTTGCGCCCGCTAACTGACTAACTAACTCCACTCGCCCGCCCGCCGCCGCCAACAGCCACAAGCCCACCGTGCTGTACGACCCCGCCAAGTCGGAGACGTACCGCGCGCTGCAAGAGGACGGGCTCGGGCTCGCGGACGCCGTGCACGAGGAGTCCCGCCCCGTGCAGACCAAGGTCTTCTCGGCACCGGCTACTAAAGTGAGTATAGCTCAGTTTGTAGTCACCCTACGGCCTACTTGATGTGCCAGCGGTCGCGGGTTCAAGTCCCGTTAGGGACATTCATTTGTGTGATGAGCACGAATGTTCGTATTCCAGTCATGGGTGTTCATATTTATAATATGTATGTATTTAAAGTTATATATGTGTAATGTATCAACTATCTGGTATCCATAACACAAGCCTCGTAGCTTACCATGGAACTAGATGGTGTTGTGTGTTAATGTAAGACATATTTATTTATTACTATTATTTCTTGTGTTTTCTTTTAGGGAGATTAATTAGTACACACAACTAAAACATGTAAAATATGGCACTACTATTATAAATGCAAATGTTTTTATGTACATATGTTTGTTACTCCTTAACGATAGCTGGTAGATGGTTGGACGGAATTGGACGAAAAGTACACAAATAGACTATGTATTTCGTGGTAGTACCTGTATTTAGCTTTATAGAAAAAAATAAAACGTAGATATCTTATTTTCAGAAGCCAGCTCCAGTTCCGAAACCTACGACACAGCCAGAAACAAATGCAAAGCAAACGACCTTCGTAAGTAAACTTTAAAGAAAATCTTCTACTATACCGCCCTTGCTGGAGGCTTCAAAACCCGTAGTCCTGTTATAATCTGTTTCGGTGTCCCTCAGAAAGGTCACAGGATAGGTACAAACAGGCAGCAGACATGCATTTTGTTTGATAATTTGTCTTTTTTATTGTAGAAAAAAGCTTTAACATAAGCCTACCATAGCTATTTTAAAATTATAAAACCTTTTTTATTAACGATTTTAACACGATATTAAGGCGAAAAGTGTACCATATATTTAGAATTATCCAAGAAATCAAATAAACTATATATGTATAATTTATACCGTTTGATGATTGATATTAAATTATGGAAACTATTTTCAGGTGAACTCCTTACACGAAGAGCATATACAGCAATCGAACTCCTTCAAACGCCTCATGTACAACGTCCTGGGCGAGACAGAGTTCTAGCGGCGCACTCGAGTAGCTACAATAACATCTTTGTCGTTCACGTATCGTTAGAGTCTGGGATATAACAAATATGAATAATATCCCAATCTGTTTTAATAATACGCCAGTATTATTAAAAACAAGTGCTTATACATCTATAAAGCATCTTCGATCAATAAATTCGATTTTATGGTGTTAAAAACTTTAGACTCGTGGGGTTATGTTAGTAATCGATAAGACTAACAACTTTATGTTTAGGACGCTACTATTTTAACGCTCCCTAAAGTGTGTGATGTTATTTTTTGGTGAATTTTTCTAATACTCGAGTATTAGCGATATTATCTTTTTATAATAAGTAGAAAAGTAACTATTATTATTTATTACTAAGTGTTGGTTATATATCGGTTTGTACAGAAATATTATGTATACATTAATTGTGTAAGAAATGTTGAGTGTACAGTCTAGTCACTTCGACCCGAGCTCGGGCCGCACGAGAATGAGATTCGATCATTTTTTTAATAAATTATTTATTTTTAACTAGTAAAGTTGTTTAATTTATCATTCCCTTATAAAATAAAGGTTAAACGTCGTCATCCTCCTGCCCATTTCCCAAATGACTCGGGGTCGGCGCAGTAAGTCTTCCATACAACTGATCAATTTTTACAAAATTTTAGCACCGGATACCTGCCTGACATCATCACTCTTTGGGAAATGTTACTGAATGTTAATGAAACCAAAATAAAGGTTAAACAAATAAATAAACAGACGTAAATCTCAAAATAACTATATTTATAACCTGGAGTTAACAATTTACATAACAAAATAAAATACAGTCTTACAAATTTCATGAACGATAAGTACACAGATCAAACGGGGAAAATAATTTTGAGCAAAAGAAAAAGAAAACACTTACCAAATTATATCACAATATTATACACGAGTGCCATCTTTGCGCGGAACGAAACTACAAGCGCTATAAGAGTTAACACAATAAGTTACATACAATCATAATATAATTAAATAAGGCACTGACTACACATTCAAATATTCAACAAAAGAAATGCTTTGGGATTCACATGTATTTAAATGTTATTACAACGCGTGATGTTGATATGTCGACGAATATACAGATTTGTCAGCATCCGTCCAGCATTTTCGCTATGAACGGACAAACAAACAGTTTAACATTTATACTGTGCAATATATACAAGCTAATGGAGACTATCAAGAATGGTAGGTACATATTTATATTTTTCACAAATTCAGAGCCTCGCCTTTAATGTACAAGTAATTGAATATGTACAAAACATAATATTCTACAAATATGGAACCTAATTCTTTTATATGAAATATAATACCTTCAACAGATATTCCTTTATAACATCATATTCGCTTTTAAATAAAACTATCTTTTCGGATTTTTTCACAAATTTATTTGGATTTTTGGTTCCCGACGTTTCGAATGCTTTACAGCAATCATGGTCACTGGAGAGACGGTCTCTAACGACGACGAACGACGTACGAAAAGATAGTTTTATTTAAAATGTCAAGTATTCGCGTAAATCTAAGAAAGTATTATTATATTCGCTCTTACACGTTGAGACTAGAAAGTAGACGGTAGGCTTTACTTCCAATACTGTACATAAATGCAACAGAGCGAGACTCACATCCTTGAATAACTGTATTTTTACAATAAGTGTCATGTCTACGATGTTAAAAATATTAGAATCATTAATATTACAAACGTATATAAACATAGCCTTAAAAATTAGCAATAGCAAACAAAAAAAAATGCTAAAACATACAAAATATAAAAGTTTTTAGATGACATTTCGAACATAACGGAGTTTCAAATATCACGGCTTTCAACATCCATCACTACGTAGAGAGGGTAATCTCCGATCCTTTAGCACCAAATGTCAAAACTATTTAATTTATTTATCTAACTACAGACACAATTACACTCGCAGGTTTCATTAAAATGACTATCTATACATAATAATGGCTATTTTACTGAATATTTATTATTTCCTAAAAGAATTATTGACGACGAGAAATGGTTTATGTCACAACATCGTACACTTAATAAAAATAATTTCTACAATATTGTCAAGATATTTATGATAATTATTTATTGGCTGTACACGCTGGACTAATTAATTCACCGCTGGATGATATATTCGTTTACCATCCAGATCTAGCTCTAAACATTTCATATGTCAGGTTTACACCAAACGAAATAACGTTCCAAAATCTTGTACATATACAAATTATAATGTCGATTTTTCTAATGCACATTTATTCTATCGAGATCTAAGTAGATTTAGAATATTTTATCATAAGATGACGATATCTTTGTAACTAGCAAATAACTACGAACAAAAAATAGATTTTTTTTTAGAAGCAGAAATTGGAATTCGTGCAACTCGTTCATTTTGCGATTCACATAAGATATATCTATTCAGTTCAGCCCTTTTTAACGTCCCACTGCTGGGGGTGGGCCTCCCTTCAATACGAGTGGGATCAGGCCAAAGTCCACCACACTGGCCAAGTGCGGGTTGGCGGACTTCACATGTCTTTCGAAAACTTGTGATGTTCACTCAGACATGCAGGTTTGCTCGCGATGTTTTCCTTCACCGTAAATCAAGTGGTAATCATGTTAGAAATGATTCGCACATGAAAATATTAGAGGTGCGAGATGTGGCATTTGAACCCGCTTCACTCGGTTTCCCAAGCGAGCGCGTCACCACTGGGCTACCACTGCCTAGACATCAGCACAATCTCCAAATTACAGTTATCAATTACGGAGATGATATAGATATTTTTCCGATTTGCCTTTTGGCTACGGAACTTTACAAACGACAAATAAACAATAACCCATACGATAAATAAGCATTAGTCGAGTAATACTGCGTTTTTGTTATAGTACTAGGTTAATATTCGTTTGGTATATACCTGAGAATCGATTCTAACTCATGCGATATATTCAAAAGAAGTCGATGTTTTTTTTAATTATTATTATTCTAAATTTATAACTCAAAAGTGTAATCGATTACAAGTTTCGCAAAAAAAAATCATTAACTTTTTAAAAATATATCGCACAAATAAGAATCAGCTCCATGAGGACGCAAAAGACACGCACGATATTATAATGAAATGATACATCCAATGAACAAACTAACAGGAACTCTATGCGTGTGATTATTCAAAATATTCCAATAAAATTATATATTAACTACTAATCTACTATAATACACAAATAAACACCTCATACACTTAATAGGTATTAAATTTTAAATGCTATTTCATAGTTTTTAGACAGTCCATAACTAATTTAGTTTGTACGCATACGATTTCATTATTTAGAAAATAATTTGTTTATATATTTTAGTATTACTGAATATATATGTATGTATATGTACATATATTAGTGTTACAGAAATAATATATACAAGATATATACGTTATTTTATTACAAATTTGTTTGCGATTTTAAACCTAAAAAAAGATTAAAAGAGAAACAGAATAAGAACAAGAGAGCGAAAGAGCGATAAAATAAAAGTGATAGAGATTCAGAAGAAGATTGTTACATATGTATATTCTATAACATACAACTAGCGTCCGCCCTCGACTACCATATTAATTAATATATTAATTATTGAGATAAATGCAAGATGACGAATAAAGGCGGAACAGCAATTGACCTGATGAGCTACACTATTATTCTTTCTTATATTCATTGTAACAAACTAAACTCAAATTCAAAGTATAAAACTATTAATTTAGCAATTTACAATTACAAATATAATACTTTACTAGAACAGAAAGAAAGAAAAGAAAAAAAACTAAAAGCAGACGTGTCTCAATGGTCGTAATAAAATAAATAACATTTATCAATTTTGTACTGTGATTATGGACATTTACTATTGTTTTAAACATGCAAGAGATCGAAAGCCCAGCGGAAATTGCAAAGATTTCTAACAAACGAATGTATGATTCTCATAATAATATTATAACCATCTCACTGTATATAAATTTACAGAATATTTTGCGAAAAATATCGAAACTCCCATCACATTTACTTTGACGAGCTACTTCATAAAATTAAAAATATTCGACTCATTAAATGGCTTAAAGTACTACTAAAAAGTAAAAAACTAAAGCTTTTGCCAAGGACGGAATTTATACAGCAGAATAATTTGAAAATTAAGTAAAAACCTAACTAGAATCAAAAATTATTACATTATGACATATATTATTATAATATATACATATCATGAATATAATATTTTTTGTTTCTAGTACTAAGTAGGTTGGAAGATTGTAAGTAGCATGTATCTTATTGCGCATATTTAATGCTTTTAATTTTACGTTAGACGGTTCTAAAATAGAAAACCCTTTAAAAAGCGTCTGAAATCTGATCCGGATCTGGATGAAATTTGGCATAGAGATAGATTATAGTCTGGAATAACACATAGGCTACTTTTTATCCCGGAAAAATGTACGGTTCCCGTGGGATAAGTTTGTTTTTGTTTTCTTAGAGGCGAACCCGAGCGAAGCGTGCGCGAGCCACTAGTTTGAAATAAATGAATGAATAAACTGATTTTCTTGCATAATACTGTATAACTCGTGGGTGAAGAATGGGATTATAAACTCTTAACTTTATCATTCGTATAAACGAAGCATAAAAAATGCTATTAATTTTATCATTTAATATCAATGTTACCATACCTCATTTCACGTCCTTCGATTTAATTAAAAATTCTTGCATCTTTAAAATGTAAATTTTAATTGTGACCTCAATATTTAACATTCAAATGATAAGAAATATGCTCAAATAACATCTAAAATAGCACAATTATTATGTTTAAAATTAAGTGTTGCCCTTAACAATAGTTCTTGCGTTATTAGTGAAGTAACTTTTCTTAACGCAAATTAGTAATAACAAGAACTGTCGATTAAACCGTATTATGCTGACAGAACATGCTCAAAAAGCCGCCATTTTTAATCCCATCCTTTTTTATCAGAAACTTTACTGACGTTCCAGAGAGCTTATTAAAAAGTAAAAGTCTATTTGAACACTTTTTATATATATCATATTCGTACTGTAACCATCGGTCATAGACAAGCTCAGTAGTTACACCAGTATAACAAAATAGTGTAACCATGGATCCGAAGTCATATATTTTGACTTTATTCAATTACATTTAAAAGTATTTTTCCGCAATTTTGCTTGCACAGTTAACTACATACAGCCTGGTTTACCTGCTCGTATGGCTATGCCTGCTTTTATTACACTCATTAGGTCAAAACAGGCGCTTAAAACATAATATATGCGCAAACATATGAAGAAGCTCGTCATAATAACAGATAAAAAAATAGCCTTAATTTTTTTTTTTAAAGAAAGCAGAGATCATAAACTCGTGGGTCATCATCACCTGTGTTACGCGAATGATTTATATTAATATTTACACCAATACTAAGTACTATTTACAAATTCGATTGTACACGATCATTACTCATGACGTATGCGATAGTTTACTCCAGCGATTTATCCTATATGCGTGAGAAAATCTCTATGGCAAGCCTTCGTGTTATTACGTATATGTATAATATATGTATATGTTCTGTTTAAGTGGCCATTTGACAAAGTTGTTATGAATTTACAAAATTATAAAATGCCTACTAACTATTGAATTTCATATTCAATTTGTTGAAGTTGATATTGATTGTTTGACCTTCGACCTAACTGATTTCGCAACTATCTTCATATCGTTAGCAACATATATATATATATATATATATATATATATATATATATATATATATATATATATATATATATATAAGCACGCGTAGTGAGCACTACAATCATAGCCGGATTTACGAAAAGTCACCCTGAGCCTAAAACTGGGTTCATTTGAAACGAGAATTTAACGATCCCATTTTTAACTGTTTTAATTATTTTAAAAACGTTATTATATGTACAATTCTGTTGAATTACACGAAAAATGCGACTCATGAGGTTGTATGTATATCTATATTCTTTACCGAGCGATTGAATATGAAAAAGGTTAGTTAATAGGCACGTTTATAATTGTAATCAATTTAAAATATTTACGTGATTTCATAATTTGAATTGATAGATTAGTATTAAAAATAATAGTATGATTGTTTAAAACATAATTGTTAAACATTACATTTTCTACATATTGTCAACACAACCTTAAAACTTTTCACATAAATCCATTATTGACCTACATTCTCTGTATGTATATATATATATATATATATATATATATATAACAAATTCACAAAGTAGACTAAAAAGCGAGTTAGGACGACTTTAATGTCTTAGCAACAGCAATCATTGACACAATCGAAAACATTAGTGCAAGATTTAAATAATAAAAACATGGCAATTCTGATTTATAGGATATAACCATAGAAAAATTATAATTATTGATAATCATTTAACATGCCACTTAAATAAATTTCACTTTACAGAAAGGTCATTTTACGTTTCACTTCTTACATCACTAATTAGATCTTCATTTACACAAACATTATAAACTTAGGGGTCCCCGAGACAGTCGATTGCAGTTGTAAATGTTTACGTTAATCGAGGGCTTTAATTTGCTTTCAATATGGTAGCAATATTGACAATCATTTTAAATATGTAAAAAAACGATAGATTTTTAGATCCTAAGTTTCTATCACATAAATATTGATAAACTGCAAATGACCATGTTGGGATCCTTAAAAAGTTGTCAGAAGCAACCTTAAAAGATAAATCTGCAATGATTCATTAAAAAAGTGGTACGTAACTAAAGGGATTAATATAACTATTTAATATGCGCGAGAACTCAAAGAATGTATGTCATTGGTCATTGCACATTATATTGCACAAGCTTCAAGGTTAAGTAAAGGGTATAACCCATTTTTTACTAAGGTTGTATCAATTCATTTTCTTACTTCGATGATATAATCAAAACAAAATGTACATCAAGCAAAACGACTAGATAGATTAGAATGTATGTGGTGATGTTTCAGAATTCAAGAGGACCAAAAAATCTTGTTCCTTTAACCGGAACTTAGTTAACAGCTGCCGTATTTTATTAGTCAACACCAAGTTAAGCTAAACAACAAATGAAATTGACATAACGCAGAACAACTCCAGCCCACTGCATTCTCGCACAAAGAACCTCCTCACTCAGATTATTCTCTTCAAAGCCACCAGACAACGAAAACACTGACATAAGAAATGGCGTGTTAAGTTCGAGAGTCTATTCGAAGTGTACATTTAACGATGAAAGTAGCCTACTAAGCGTCAATATAGAAGCAACGCACGAGCATCGAACCGCCGACCCTGTACACAGGGGTCACAGCACTCGACGCACTCGATGCACTCGCCAGCACCCGCACTCGCGACGACTCCGCGTTTAACGTCAAACTCGAATCCGCACTATAACTTGGTAGATATTTCGTGTATGGAGTCGTAGTCGTGTCGCGCTATGGTCGGGCGCGCGTCGAGTCGCTAGTAAACCGTGTCGTCGGGATAGAGGGTGAGGATCCGGCCTCAGGAGGGAGGAGGGACGGGAGGGATGGAAGGGAGGGGGGTGGGCGGTGTGGGGAGAGGGAGGGGGTGTGGTACGGGCTCGGGCGGCCCGGGCAGGAGGCTCTCGCGGCTGGCGCGCAAGTTGGGCAGCGAGCGGGCAGCGCGGGCCTCACGACGCGCCTCTAAAGCTAAGAGTTCTCGGATGTCTGCTTCTAGCGGGTCCACGTTGATGTGGTACACACCACCCTGTGAAATAGACTATAATTAAAATTCACGAGTCAATATGGGGGTGGTTAACATATTAGTTACATGCTATTGCTTTAACAAAAATCTATATATATAATAAAATTGTAACTAAGAAGAATCTGTACATTAGATATTTTTTTGGAAAATCGTATTGAAATAAACATTATTATCGATACAGAGGCCGAATCTATGGTTTTTTGAATTTTTGTCTGTCTGTCTGTCTGTTACCGCATCACACAACAACCACTGGAGGGATTTTGATGAAATTTAGTATGGTGATAGCTGGTTATCCGGATCAACAATATAGGATAATTTTTACCGCAGGAAAATATCAAATTTCTGAGAAAACATACAAAAACTGCAATGTAAGAGTTTATTAATATGTTAAACCTAAGAATTTGGTTTTTGGTCATCTGAACGCGGGCGGAGCCGCAGGTAATGCTAGTAATAAATATAATACTAAAATTAAAAAACCACCTACATCTGAGCTTAACATTAGAACATAACAATTAGGCCTGTCGTGCAAAAATATATTTTGTCATCGTGACTGTTTCGTCAATCTTGTGCGCGCACACTGGTGAAATAATAATTGTCATTCTCCGTGCGTGGTATGGTCGCATTTCACCTATCGACAATGCAACACGCAAATATAGCGTCAGCGTCAGATATACTCGTAGATAGACGAAATGAAAAAATAATTAACTTTGATAATTTATAATATTAATATACCATATGACACTCGCACCTCTGATATTTTCATGTGCGAAACATTTTCAACATAATTACCACTTTTCTTACGGTGAAGAGATACCTTGTGGGAAAACCTCCATATCTGAGAGAACCTAGCACCTAGCAAACTTTTGAAAGGGCTTGTGAAGTCCGCAAACTCTCATTAGCCAGCCTGGTCTCCCTCGTATTAGGAGGCCGATGCTCAGCAGCGGGACGTTAAAAAGGGCTGAAAACATGATAATCAAGGAATAATGAGAATCTGTACCTCAGTCGGCGCGTGACCGTCGTCGTCGACGGACGCGAGCACGTGCCCCAAGCGCGTGTCCGAGTAGCGGCGCGTCTCCTCGTGCGGCAGCGCCACTATGAGGCGGTCCTCGGTGAGCGCGGAGAGGCGGCGGTGGGGGTTGCCGCGGTAGGTCTCGAAGCCGCCGCTCTCGTCCTCCTCGTGGTAGGCGGCCGGCGGCGGCGGCGGCTCGATGTTGGCCACGACCTGCCCGCGCGTGCTGCGCTCCCGTCTCTTGTTGCGCATCGGCGGTGACCCGTGTATTGGTATCTTTTCCGGCGCGTTTTGTATTAGGAGTATCCTGTAATAATAAATAAAATAATTATTCCATGTTGCATATTCATGATGTATATTTTGATTTCATTAATATTAATATAATTAAATGTCCTGATGAAGATTTTTTCGAAAAGTTTTATAATTTATCCAATATTCTTTCAAAATATCTATATCTCGTGTGTCATGGTCTAATGACAAGCGTCATTTTGTAATAAACTAATCTCAAATTCATGTAAAGCCTTTAGACAAGCATACCTTATAAAATAAAATGTATGCCATTTCTCATTTAATTATCAGGTAAAATAATTTGTATAAAAAAGCCACACTGCAACTACTAGTAATTAGGTAACCACCTATGACAAAGTTGATGAATAAATGTTTCTACCGCTCAATCTCATTCGTGTCTTCCTCACAAAACGTGACACTGGCAGAATGGATTGCGTCTGTAACGCAACTATAAGCCATTATAGAAAAAAAAATCATTAGATAGATACTGAATAGATTAACTGGAACTGAACCGAACTGGTAGTAGACTCATGACGTTCAGTAAAGAATTGTAATAATTTAATGCTGAATAAAATATTTTAAATTTTGAATTAACCAACATGGTTTTACATTAGTTCTCATAACTTTTTGTGGTAGAAGAGCTCCGTAGCGTGACTTGGATTTTTTACGTTATGTTTTTGATGGATATATACGTACCTACATAACTAAATGTATTTCGTATTGTATCTTATTCATATCTAAGTTCTCATTATAACAAGATTCATTAAATATAATTGCTTTTATAACAAAGCTATTTATTTAACGAAGATCTAATGACAAATGTTTGAAGCTCTAATGTGAAATCGGTCGAAAATCATTACATCCGACCTTGGATTTCAAAATTACGAAAATGACGGGTCATTGAAACAGGAGAAACATGAAAAATTTGCATATTATTACGATAGTTAGTTACACAATAAAAAACGTTTAGCCTTTTTGCATTTTGCTATCGTTCTTATTTTTATAAAATTAAGTACAAGGACGCATTAAAATTGACTTTAATTAATTATATCTACGCTATAAAGGTATGAAAGTTACTAATTGAACTTCAGACCTCCAAATTCGTAAGCTTATTAATAACTAATTAATAAATATATATATATATATATATATATATATATATATATATATATATATATATATTTAAGAAACAACATTTTGGACCTCAATGATATAAATAACAATAAATAAACAAAAGTACCAAGATTTTAAGACAACGTTCGGTCAAAAGCTATTGGACTGCGGCAGCCCTAAACAAACTTACAGATTTTTATGTTTTTCCGTGTTTTTTTTCTCTTCATAAAAACATACCTCGGATTAGCCGATATGGACCAGCGGTTCTTGTGTTTTACGCTTAGAAACACATTTAGCCATTCATTTTTAATTCATAAGAAGATGTAAACATAAACATAAAATATAATTAATCACCTTGACACGTAACTATAGCTAGTAAACTATGCAATCTATATGTAAAATTCGTTTGAAAATACAATAATTTAATACTGCGCTAATATAATGAGTCCAATATTCCCTCCACGACCGAAAACACGCCGGCGTGTCAGTTAACAATAGATTTCTTAGAATTTTAATTAATTTCTTAGAAATTTTCCTGGAGGTGTTAAGAGATCTGCAGTGGAAAGTGATAATGTTCAATAGCTATTTGAAAAACCTTCCAGTTCCCTCTTTTTATCGTTTCTATTTCCAACTTTACTTCCAAACTAGTAAAACTTGTTTTTACTTTAAATGTTTTGATCGTGATTCAATAAAATATATCTATCATAATTAATATCGTTATCTATATATTTTATACAATTGTATCTTTGTGCTATGACTATGTACGTTGTTTCTTATTTTTATATATACTCTGACTTTTTTTTTATTATTTCCTTATCTTATCTTGGACTATTCTGTTCCGCTAAGTGACAATCTTTCTAACCCTCATAAGTAGATTGACTGGAAGACATCTTTGTTAGAGATAACCTCCACCACCTTTGCCCTCAATGTTCTCATAATGTCCTATATTTTAGTTTTTATATGCAATAAAGAAAATATAACAAAAATATTCTTACTGATTATAAAAAAGCTACCATTGCCCATTGGTTATTTCTTTCATATGACCTAACCTACTTTTCTTACGTTTTATATAAACGGTCGGTATAGATTATGTATTACGCATACAATAATTTAAAGATTCTTACGTAAATACTTTGCACCGTACATTTAAAAAAAAAACTTGCTAAAACACATAAATTCTATACTAATAAAACTTGAACTTCGTCCGTATGAATTGAAGAAAAAAGGAGGTCGTGTTATGTCATATCGAACATTTCGAAATCCACGCAGACTGCAGTAGTATCATAATTACTCACGATTTATAAACTTACCTTCCTACCTACTGGGACTTTGAATTTTCCAAGAAAATAATAATCCGAAGGACACTAATGCCCGATTTCACCAACGTCACCTAAGTATAAGGGATCCCCTAAGCATGGTTGGGAGGCTGTTAGGGGACAGTTTCTGTTTCACCTACAGTTAAGGGTCACCTAAATGTTAAAATGCCACCTAAATATAGGTACTATAAATACTGGTTTTGACAATGGTAAAACGAAATTTAATTTAAGGGCTAGTTTAGGGGACTTTTAAGCTAGGGATCCCATACGTAGGTGGTTAGCTTATGGGTTGTTGGTGAAATCGGGCATAAGTTTCTACCGTTTCCTTTACTTTCCTACGTAACTATTAATTTTCCCGGTAAATTAGAAATATTGACATAATTTTCCCATAATTTAAATAATTTTCAACGAATAGTTTCGAAATTACTTTTATCTTCTACATAAGAAAAACCAAAAAGCTATCCGTGACTAAAATAAGAGCTAATCATAACAATCGAGAGCCAACAAACACCAAACAGGTGTATATAACAGAAAAAATTAATATGCATAAAAAATAAGTTTTTTTTATATTATTTGTAGTTGTTGCTATTAGTAAATGTAATACACAAGTAACATATAATTACAAAATTACTTACGTAAATTTTACATATCAACGTAATTATTGACAACTGTTAAAGATAATAACTCAAAATTACAACCGGAAAGCTATAATTACATAACATATATATATAAAAAATATTACTTAGTATGAAGTTGTGTAATTGAGACCTTTACAAATGAGATATAAAACAAACTTTATTAAATCTTACCTATTATGAGCTCTCCAACGGTTACAAAGATGTAAATACTGCCGACATTGTATATACATGAAAACTGCTCCACCGGTAAAACCTACTGCAACTACTACTAATTTCGTCCAAAATGGCCACGCTGAAAACAAAACATAAAACAACACGTAAAAATTATATTTTCCAAATATATTATCAAAAAGAAATGATATTCCTAAGAATATCGAGAAACTTCGTTAAAATACAGGAGCGTTACAATTTACCTACACTTAAAAATTAATGTTACTATCTACACATATTTACGAACTTTTTTAAATTACAAACCAATATCATAGTAAATTGTATTTATATATTCCTTAATATTAAATTAAGCTATTCTTGTATATATATTTTATTTCGTGTATTTAAGAAACGGCTCTAACAATTTAGATAAGGTTTTGCTTTTAAGAGTCTACATAATTTTTGGAAATGTTGTAGATATAATCAAAATCTAGGTCCGTACGTTTTTATTTTTTTGAAATATTGCGTACGACAGAAGTTATTAGCATCTAAATATCTATATTTTTGACCTAAAAACTTCCTCCAGCGTTTTTATTTTTTTAAATTACACTTAATAAAAACTGAATTACAAAAAAAGGAAAACGTACAGACCTAGATTAAGGTGTACTGAATCTAATGAGACCAAAATCGTCTCATTTCGTTAATGTTTAGGGGGGTGAAAACGTTATCGCCCGAAACAATATTTCAAAAAGGAAATGTAGGTAATTGAGTCTAAGACTTGCAACTCTCTCTATCGCACCATACGGGTCGGGGGCAGGGGCATATTTTAGACTGTAGTGATGTTGAAGGTGCTATCGATATTATTATCTCCTAGGGAGGAGAAGGTAATATCGATATATCGATCGATACTGAAAGGATTCAATCCAAAGTTTAGAATTTTATTATACTCGTAAGATTGTAACTAAGCCGTATCTGTACATTAAATATTTTTTGGAAAATATTATTGAAATAAACATTATTATCGATACAGAGGCCGAATCTATAGTTTTTTGAATTTTTGTCTGTCTGTCTGTATGTCTGTCTGTCTGTTACCACGTCACAGAAAAACCACTGGAGGGATTTTGATGAAATTTGGTATGGTGGTAGCTGGTTATCCGGATCAACATATTATAGCATTACCGCGGGAAAATATCTCATTTCTGAGAAAAAATACAAAACTGAAAATATATATATATATAAATATATATATATATATATATATATATATACAGGGTCATTTTTAATTTACTGAAGACCTTTTGGGAATATACTATTTACATCATAACAACAACCTTTGTAACAAGAAAAAAAAAAATTTCTTAAATTTTCAGTTTCATACAAAAATAAAAATATTTTCTATATCATCATCATCATTATATCTGGCCAAGTTTGAATGAGTAAGGACCACTTCCTACACCCCTCGCCCTCCACCCCTCGCCCACCACCGGTCACGCGCTTTCTTTTGCTAATTGCTGGACTATTACCGTTTAGAAGGAGCAATAAAAATACTTTTATTTTTGTAAAATTTATATTTTTAATTCTATATTCGTTATAATTTATAATATTCGTTATAATTTTATGAAAATTATCGATATTTTATTAGTTTTTGGAGTTAATTTTATTGATTTTTCTGAAAAAAATGATTTTAGGGCAATTACAGAAAGAAATGAAAATCATTCGTAATCTAATCTTGTTTATTCATTAGTTAAAAATATATTTTAAAAAATTAAGTTGATATATTTTATAAAATTTAGTCATAGATATGTTAAAAAATCGTAAATCATCATCATTCATGATCAGGTCATTTTATGAATTTCTATTCCTTATATACCTGCTAACATTATAAAATCATAAAACTTCAGGTTTTTTAATAAAATAATTATTTTAACAATAAAAGGATTCCGATGGGTCTATTAGTACCTACATAAACAACAAAAAATTCTATAACTTTCAACTTTTGGAACGAGATTTTTGTAATTGATCTAAACCACCTATTTATTTTTTTATGATTTTTTGAAGTCATCAATCTAAACAAGTCAAATTTTAAATGATATTCGCCACAGAATTGTAATTTAGAGTTATTTCAGTTTATGAATAAAGGTGCGATGTAACTTGTAGGGAATGTATATTGTACGCAAACCGTTAAAATAATAAATATTAGATAAACTTTGAAATTGCTCTTGCGCCGAGTCGCGCCGCCCCCGCCCCCGCCCCCCGCAAGCGCCCGCGCGTCACCGGCTGCTGCTATCATAGTGTGTGTGAGAATTTGCGTATGTTGTATTTGTGTTGTTCACTGCCGGGGGGATGCAAAGCGGTATGAAACAGATAGCATTTTTAAAAATACCTACTCTCGCCGCGTATCGGCACTTCACAATCCTCTTAAGTTTTTCAATAGTTATTTACTGAAAAATGGAATTTTAAAAAAGAGTACGGATAAATATATACATCAATATGTATTAGTATTAAATAAACCTATATCTCATCTGAATCTTAAATCTTTGCTAAAATATATTACACATACTTGCCTTTCCGAGGATCAGGGAGTAAAAACAAAATTGCAAAAGCTATATACATATATAGTGTACACAGAAATAAAATTATTATAAAAGCAGAAAATAATATTTTTAAATGATTATAATTAGAACTAGAGGCTTACCCTTGCTTCCCTCGGGTGCGTCCTAGGGTTCGATTTAATTTCTTTGAGCAGAACCCTAATATTTTTTCCAAAATAAAACTACTAAGCCTAAATTACTCCTTATAATATCAGATATCTGCCAGTGAAAGTCTCGTAAAAATTGGTTCAGCCATTTCGGAGATTAGCAGGAACAGACAGACAACATTTTTAAAAATTGTGTTTTTCTTATAAGTACCGTATATAATTCCATATGCATTTAGTAAAAAGCTATTATTTTGACAACACAAAAAGATACTTCATTTTTATTTATCTGTATAGATTAACATAACATAATTTGCTATGATTTTTCTCTACATTTACATCGTATGAACCAAGAACAAAACGAATTAAGTCTTGTTCGTTATATTAAGGCTGTATGAATCATCTTATGGACAGTTGTTGACGTAGAAGTCACGGAAATCTACAATTATTTTGTTAATTTATGGAGAAATAAGTTTTATTGAATATTCAGTGTGTGAATTTGCTATATTTCTTATCTATACATTTAAATAAGTAGATCGAGGCCAATGGAATTAACATTATAATAAATTATATTTTTCAGAAATTTTAATAAATTGATAAGCAATGTTCTAACGTAGGACTAGCCTCATCATCTTGTCGTGGTGCCAAGAGACACACAGGGAGGTGGCCCACTTCGGTGGGCGGTGTACCGTGCGGGCTGCTCCTGGTACAGCAGAGTGGATTGTGGGAGCAACCCTTTGGTCTGCTTCTGCAGACCTGCTGTCGGGGCGTCGTGGTTGAGTATGTAATTAAACCTGCGACGCCCCATCAAGACGGCAGAGTTTCCGTTGGGTTTTGATGGGCAGTATTGGCTTTCGAGTCGGTGAGTCCCACATAACCACCTCTATGTATACAGGTGGTCATTAGTAGAATTCTAATCAAGCTGAATGAAGATCGCCGACCACATTTTTTTTCCAGAATTAATTACAATAATTCTTAATACATCATAACCTGCTGGCTATCTATCGTAGCCAAACACATATTTCAACCTAACCAGACAGCATTAAAAAACGACCGAAAAACGATACGTTATTTTTTATCATCCATATATACATCAATTTCCATACTCGGCCCGATCCAGGACTCGAACCCAAGATCTGCGGATCTGCAGGCGTACCTGCTAGCCACTAGACCAACGAGGCAGTCGAGTTTTCAGTTAAATTAGTTGTCATAAATCAAAACATAAATATGCAAGTAATAACTTTCTTATCTCTAAATCATTCTATCACTATATTTAAAACAAACATACAAAAACTGTAAAAAAAATATCACTATTACTAATATTACAAGGGCAAATGTGGTAACATACCTATGAGCCCCCGATTGACCTCCTCTACCGCTCTTTCGATGAGTACGAACAGGGACCACATGACACATAACGCCGCAACGCAATGGAACAATACAGCGCAGCACAGCCGACGTCGCTCTACACCCGACATCTCTAGTAGACGCCACTACAAAACACCAATAAATATAATGAAACATCTAACAAATTATTATTTATATTTATATTTCTAATCAGACTACTGCATATTATAAATGCAAGTTTTTAACTGTGTGTTATTTCTTTGCTCTTAAATGGCTAGATGGATCTAGATGAAAAGTACTCAGACTAGGGTATCAAATCGTGTGGATTTGCAAGTTACAGAATATATTTTTTTTTTATATCATTCAGATAAAGAATGGGATTATCAGTAGCATCACCTCTTTTTACTTGTTGAAAACTCACACACATATACAAGTATAACATTGTATAAACTACAGTATTCATTCTCTGTTTTATTTATGAAATTCCAATTTCATAAAAAAATATTATTTCATCTGAAGAGTTAATACTAATTTCAATGGTATCTAGCATGATTTCAAAATACTCCCAAACAATATCTATTTAAATCTAACACAATTATTTTTTAATACTCTCACATATCTAAATATATTGTTGTAAAGATATTATCAACATATTTTTTTATAGTGTTCATAGTGAAATAAATTATTGTCAAAAGAAACAGATTATGTTGAAAGTATAGACTCAACTAGCAACCATTTTAATCACATTCTTTATTTACTCATAAATTTTTTGTACTATAGGGCATTTAAGGGAATACTGCGAATCTCCTCTATATTAGTAATAAACAGATGTAAAGGTGGTATTAATATATGATAATATATACCTCACTAAATGGCTTAATTTTAGTATGCATAATAAAATTAAATTTGCATAGTTCACATGATCTTGTTTCAGATGCTGTTAGCCATTGTTGGAGGCAACTTTGATGAACATATTTCAGACTTCCTGTAATAAAATACCTCTTTAAGTTCTTACAATTAAAACTATATAGCTATTAGAAAGCTATATTTAACTAATTATGTGCAAATAATCCAGTTTAATAATTATGAAAAAGAAATATCAATGTCAAAACTACAGATAAAGGCTTTGTCGTAACCAGCGAAATCTGTAAGAACCATCAACTGCTGAATAAATAAATATTGTATAATTTTTAAAATATGTGTTTAGAAAATATATGCGGTTATCAATAACAAAGTTTTTATAATTTAATCTATTTAAATTTTAAATGCTCAAAAAATCAGACTGATCTTAATGGTATTTATTAAATTGACAAATATTATAATTATAAACCTGAAAATGTGAGCTTACAAATGAGCAACAAATGTATTTTTTTTAAAACATTAGATTTTTTTTCAATTGGATAATCATAATTTTTTTTTTCGAAAAATACTCATAAAATTAATAACTATTATGAGGAACAAATGATTAATAAATAGAAAAAATAAATAAATAAAGTAGTAAAGTAATCTAGCTCAACTTTATAATTAAAATTGCTTAGTATCAAGTTGTAAATAGTATCTACATCATATAATAATTTGTATTTATTATGAATTAAACATAATATGTAAAAAATTTGAATACATTGTTGTGTAAACAAAGATCAGCTGACCAAAAGTAAAAAATATTTTCTATTGAAAGTAAATTAAATATATCCAATTTCTTATCAGTTAATACAGGATATAAAAAAATGGTTTTTATAATAAACTAGTTTTATTTAAAAAAGCTAATATAAACTTTTGAAACTTACCAGAACAATAACAAGGGGCCAGCAAAGGGTTGTGAATTTCGCTTTCGCAATGACAAATTCTACAAATATCTCCACTGGAATTACTGCAAGATGTTTGACTGCTGCCAGATCCTGCGCGAATAGGTTCTCTGCCACATCCCCCGCCCCATTCCCAGCTTTCAATATCGGAGGAATTCTTTACATTTATTTGCTGGACCGGCATTTTGATGTTACTCACTACTGTTCACGTAACATATTATTTATTTATTTTTAGAGAACCTAACTAGAGCAGCTTCAATATTCGACAAAACGATTGTAACAAAAGTTGAAACATGTCACTCGGATCTACTATTTTTAAAGTGAAATAAAATTATAATTCACTTATATTAAGAAAACGAGAAAAAAACTATTCAATTAAGATTACATATATTATTTTTATACTCAATATTAATATGAAAAGATGAAAACATCAATAGTTGCATAGAATTCACAAAATAGATTATTAAATTAAATAAGAATATATCAAACAACAGATAAAAAATATACTCATGACAAATTATTTATTCGACTCTATTTAAATCGATATAACAAAAATCGTGATGATAATAAAGACCAAAAATTTTAAAATTTTATTAACTCACAAAGATTTTTTTTTAACATAAATATGTTCGAAAGCAACATTTCAGTTTATAGACTGCAGATAACAATTAAGCAGAATAAACTTCGTGTCCTGTGTATGGTAATTATGACCAACAAAATATGTATATTTTACAGAACAACCATTGTTGTAGATAATTGTAAACAATAATAAAAAATAAAACGACTTCATGTATCAACTCAAGTGTGTTTTTTTTCTTATGAAGACTATACGAAGAATATACTTTACTCAACGAAGAAATATTAAAATCTAGATAGCAATTTTCACATTAATCAGATGGGATTTACAAAAACATTTGAAACTTTTGTCTGTGTTAAGAATACAAAGCAGAAGATTTTGTGTTTGCTAATACCTGGAATATTTGTTTTGCTTTTTATAGGTAACTAGCCATCCGATACAAATCTATGCACACCGACTTTGAAAATATCTGATTAGGTATGTATAGTAAATGAAAAGTACCAATCAGTTATTTTTGTACTTTTTAGTATATTTGTTTAAATAAATTTTCTTTTTAAGTTCTTATTGCAAGTTTTTTACTGTCTTCTTTAGCAGCTTCATTTTAGGCACTGAATACACGATCCTATTATGGTAAACGAACTTTCTTTTCAACCACCGACGTACAAAGAGGGTGTTATAAGTTTGATGTGTCTGTCTGTGTGTCTGTGTGTCTTTGGCATCGTATCTCCTAAGCGAATGGACCAATTTTGAAGCCGTTTTTTGTTTTAAAGCTTACGTGATCGAGATGGTTCTTAGCTATAATTTATGAAGAACTGTTCAGGCGTTTGATGATCATCTGCTCATTTCCTACTTGACAAAAGGGTTTTACTAACTTTCACAAATCTGATTGATTTGAAATTTGGTGTACTGTTACTTTGGTGAAATTTCCATGACATGCTAACCTTCAGCTTATGTTGTGTACCATCAAATAGTCTGCAGGATGCTTAATTCCTAAGAAACTTACAGTTTTATACAGTGTGTTTGGGTTCATAAGAATAGTCTCAATGAGAGTTATTTATTAGAATTAGTGTCCGTGAGTAATTTAAAAAGAATTTATTTTGAACAAAAGTTTTTTATACACAAAAAAATATGAGTTTTGGTGCATTTCATGACTTTCAAAATAATGCTTTGTGAAATCGTTAGAGAAATGTTCAATATTGAAGTGAGTTGCCGAGCCAGCACATTACCACCACACACGCATCCATACGGATTTTATTGCAAAATAAATCAGAAATTTTATTTTCCAAGTCTTGTGATGATTCCTACGTCAGCATTAAAAGTTATACAGTACAGCTGTACCTAGGGATACTCGGTACTCCAGTTTTTATCTCTCGATAATATATATATATATATATATATATATATATATTTGTCAAGAAACAATCTGCGTAATAATCCTTATAAATAGTTACAATCTAATTACAATCAAAGGTTGTGTTAGGCCAGCATATTTTGAGTTGGTAAAAGTTTGCTGCGCGTCAAGAAACACAACTCATATTGTTTTCTTTATATCACTTGTCGTTCACTTTATATCAATTGTAGAAGTCGTACGTACGGTGTAGGTGTTTCATTCTTTCTTGATGGGAGCCGAAGTTAAAATAGATTTGATTTGTATTATTTTGAGTGTTTCGTCTGTTAGTAGTTTCCATCCATGTCCATTATTACTCAAACTCATTATAATTTATATCACTTTGCATGAAAAACGTACACACTTGCAGAGTTTTACATTTACAATAATTAAATGAATAAATTGATTGAAAAATTTAATGTTGATTTATTAAGTGTTAGAGCTTATCTTACTTCATAATTTCAACTTCGAATTTTAGGTTCACAATTTCATTTCATTCAAAACGCAGATAAAATTGCTAAGTCGATTTTTTAAATGTCATAAAAATCACTTCTTTTTGTTTCGATTTTTATTATTCATCCATGGTTTCTGTGATCAATCGATTTAAAAATTTTACATTCTGTTTATGGTGACCAACTGTCAAATCGCTTTTATGATTACCTATCTTTCTTTTAGTCTGTGGTGATTTCGAAGAGCGGTCGTGCATTGGTACTACGCCGGTATAGATTAACTTCATAGATTTGCGGTTAAAGATACGAAAATGAGTGTTTCTCCTGAATTACAGACTGAGGCCATCTCAGTTGTTCATCAATTTCTTTTGAGTATTGATAAATCGTTGGCAGACAAATTTTCAACAAAAACAAAAGCGGTAAGTCTCAACTGGTCTAAAACCACGTGTACCATTGATGGTGGCTACCACACGTGCTTCATTTATTTTCTTTGTAATACAGTCAAACCTTTCTCAATTTACGAAAATTATAAAAGAACTCTATCATTATTCATAATATACTCTGTCGACATTTACCTAGTTTAATAAAATACCACACTTCACTTTAAAATGTATCTTTGTATTTTTATCACTCTTCGCGGAGGCACAGACTGACATTAGAGCTTAATTTGTAGGTTTATTAATACATATATCTGTTATTGCACGGATTAACATTGTGTACTTTAAATTTTTAATAGACGTGTCTAGTTTTACCATGTGTACTCTATTTAGCTGACATTCGTCGTTTGGAATGCTTTACAGGAATCATGGTCACGGGAGAGACTAAGGTTTTAGACGCCTCATTAGTATTATATGTACTAGTTACCGATAACCAAAATTCAAAATAATCTGAAAAGATAGTTTTATTTAAAACTAGCATTGCCCGTGGCTCCGTCCGCGTTTAAATGACCAAAAAACCAAATTCTTAGGTTTTGCATCTTAGTATACTCTTTACATTGCAGTTATTGTATTTTTTTTCAAAAATGAGTAATTTTCCCACAGTAAGAAGTATCCTATATGTTGACCCGGATAACCAGCTATCATCATACCAAATTTCATCAAAAACCCTCCAGTGGTTTTTCTGTGATGCGGTAACAGACAGACAAAAATTCTATAAACTATAGATTCAGCCTCTGTATCGATAATAATGTTTATTTCAATAAGATTTTCCAAAATATACCTAATGTACAGATTCTGCTTGGTTATAATTTTATTATATGTATAGATATCAAATAATAGTGTTCATCTAAGAAAGAAATTATATGAAGGTGAAGTTGATATTACAGTGACTAAATTTTATCAATTAATAGGATAGTATGAAACTTCATATGAGTACTCGGTACTAGTCTAACTTCATATGACTACTGCAAAATAACTTCAACATAATTTGTTTGTATTAAAACCTTTAGTTTTTCCTTATTTTAGACATTTTAAACTTCTTTCAATTTTATAATCACACATTTTTAAATTGGCATTGGAATCTGAAATCTCTAGTGTAACTTGATACTATGCCTCATACAAAACTTAATAAGAACTTAAAATGCTCTGATTATGTACCTTATATATTTTAGACAAATTTTATTTATATTATAATCTATCATGTGGCATAAAAAATGTACTTAATGTCATTGAATTAAATATATTCTAATGTCACATGACTAATTATAGGTTAGGTTATATTTTCCTAATATGACATGATGTTGAAAAGATATGTAAGAAACATAGTTTTTGTTAAATAAAATTTTGTATTTTAGAAACCAAGAGCAAAAAATCTACCTTCATTAGTTGACATCATCTCAGAATATAAAAAAATACAAAAGAAGCCTACACAAAATGCTAAAAAACCAGCAGACAGGTATTGTATATTCAATAATGTTAAATATCATATTTTATTAAAAACTATAATTCTAATATACTAATATTGTGTTTTTTACAGTTCGGATGACTCTAGTGATGAAGAAGAAAAGACAAAAAAGCCACCTATAAATAAAAATAAATCAAATGGAACCGTACAAAATAAGAAAAAAGAATCTTCTGATTCTGACTCTTCTGAAGATGAGAAACCACAATTGAAGGTATCATTTATACTTTTTTTTAATTTTATTCAAAAAACAGCATTTGTCCATATGATGAAAATATGTTATTGATTGTTCATGATATTACAAAATATTATTCGTCACTACCTCTGATTAAAAATTTTACTTTTGAAAGCCAGAAAAATGTTTAACATATTTATAAGTAATTAGATGTGTGATTTTTAGGTAAAGCCTCCTGTAACTCCTAAAATTAACAACAAAGCTGAATCATCTGATGACAGTGACAGTAGTGAAGATAATGCTACATCAAAACCAAAAAAGCAGCCAATCAAACCACAGGTAGGCAATGCAGCACCAAAGGTTGTTAAGAAAAAAGAATCTTCAGATGATAGCTCAGATAGTAGTGAAGATGAAAAGAAAAAATCCCACACTAATGCTCCAAAGCCTGTTCCTGCAAAGGCTACACCTCAAAAACCTGTTGCCAAAAAACAAGAATCTTCCTCAGATAGTAGTGATAGTGAAGATGATAAAAAAAATAAAAAGCCAGTTGCTAAGACCACACCAGCAAAAGCACCTCCTGCAAAAGCACCCCCTAAGAAGCAGGAATCATCATCAGATGACAGTGATGAAAGTGACAATGAGAAGCCTAAACCTAATAAAGTAGAAACAAAGCCAGGAGCAAAACCAGCACAAGCAAAGTCTACACCAGTTAAACCAGCTGCAAAAAAACAAGAGTCCTCATCAGATAGTGACAGTAGTGATGAGGAGCCTAAACCAGCTCCAACCAAGGCATCAAAGCCAGCTCCTGCACCTGCCAAAGCCAATGCTAAAGCACAGGCTAAAGAATCATCCGATGATAGTGATGATTCTGATGACCAACAAAAAGCACCTGCTAAACCAGCCACAAAACCTGTGACACCTGCAAAGCCTGCTGCAAAAGCTCCAGCGAAGAAACCAGAGTCATCATCTGATGATGATAGTAGTGATGATGATAAGCCTCAATCTAAGGTCTCTAAACCTCAGACTCCTGCTGCTAAACCTATATCGAAACTCAACAAAAAACCTCAGTCATCTTCAGAAGATAGTGATGATAGCAGTGATGATGAACAATCGAAAGTACAAAAAAAACTACCTCAAAAACCTGCAACAAAAGTAGCTCCGGCAAAGAAGCAGGAATCTTCTTCAGATGATAGTGATGATGATGATGATAGTCCCAAACAAGTAAAACCTGTACAAAAATCCCAACCAGCAAAAGTAGCAAAGGTTCCTGCTAAAAAAGATTCTTCATCAGAAGATAGTGATGATGAAGCACCTAAAACTTCTGTAAAATCTGTGGCTAAACCAGCTCAAACTCCAGTAAAGGGTTCAAAAAAATCATCTTCTGATGATGATGATAGCAGTGAAGATGAGAAGAAAAAACCTGCAGCTAAAACACCGGTAAAACTAATGTCAAAACCAGCAGCAAAGTCCTCGGATGATAGTGATGATAGTAGTGAAGATGAAAAGCCTAAAAAAGCACCTGCACCACCAAAAACTAAGCCTCAAAAAGAAGCATCTGATGACAGCAGTGATGATGATGATGATGATGATGAACCTCCAGCTAAACAACAAAAAAAAGAATCCAAACAGGTAAAATACACAAAATATGTCTTTTTACCATTATTAACAAAAGCATAATGATTATATATCTCAAAAGAAAAGATACTTATTTGACACATCACCTTTTCATTTAGAATGTAAATCATTTCATTTAAACACAATTTCTTCATGTTTCAGTTAAATGAAAATGGTGTCCAAGGGAGCGGTAAGAAGAGGAAAGCATCAGAAAGTGGAGAGCAAACTCCAGCTAAGAAGCCATATAGTAATTTTGTGAAGGTAAATTATATTTTTATATTTAATAGGTAGTGTTAGCCCAGTGGTAACGCGCTTACTTGGGAAACCAAGGGAAGCGGGTTCAAATCCCGGGTGTCGCACCTCTGGTATTTTCATGTGCGAATCATTTCCAACATGATTACCACTTGCCCTACTGTGTAGGAAAACATCGTGAGGAAACCTGCATGTCTCAAAAAACTTAGTAAGTTTTCGAAAGATATGTGAAGTCCACCAACCTGCACTTGGCCAGCGTGGTGGACTATGGCCTGATCCCCCTCGTATTGAAGGGAGGCCTGTGCCCAGCAGTGGGACATTAAAAAAAGGGCAAAATACATTCACAAAAATTATATTTTTTAAAATCTTTAAAAAAATTTTTTTACTGACTTCCAAAAAGGGGGTTCTCAATTTGTCAGAACTTTTTTTTATGTATATTCACCAATTACTCGAAGATGCCTAAACTAATATGGAAAATTCTTTTTTTGTTTCAAAGGCTATACTTCCCAGGTGGTCCCATTTAATCGAAATCTGTTGAATGGTTTTTAAAAATCAATAATTTATTTGTAAATAGATGGTTTAATAGAATATATTATTTAAAAGGTTTCTTCTTACAAATTACCTCCTTATTACGTCTACACTAAAAATGGAAAACTAATAGAAAACATTTTAAAATAAAATAAAAACTGACTTCCAGGCACTAAAAAAGTAAAAAATATATAAACGGGGGTTTTCATTTAGAATAACTAATCAGATATTTTTTGAAGTCGGTGCCAGCCGATACAAATCAAATCACCAGTGCATTAAATCAGTTTTTATTTTTAATCCATATATGAAACGAAATAAACTTTATTCAATTAGACTTATTACAAGTGCTTTTGAATTTATATATTTAAATATAATTTGATATAATTATATATTTTTTAATAATGGGTGTTTTCTACTTTCTAACCAATTTTAGGGAACCAACATATCATCCACACCTAGTGACAAAAGTAATTCAGAAAATAATAAACCAGTTCCCTTCAGGAGAGTTGTAACAGAAAAAATAGAAGTGGACCCTAGACTTAAGGATAATTCATTCGAAGCTAAGGTAAATGCCCTAAAAATTCTAAAGCCAAGGCAACTCTATATCATTACCAAGCGTCTAAACTATTCACATATATATGAAAAGATTCTCCATGGCTTGTTATTTTGGGCATTTACTTTTACATCGTTTGGTCATTACGTAGGGTTGTCTTGGGTTTTTTCATAAATAATATCTTCCTACCAGGAGGGTGAGAATGGTGAGGACGAACCAGATGGAGGCGATGCGTCGGAACACAACAGATCTGGCGGGTGGCAGGATCGTGGACGCGGTGGTTTTAACCGAGGAGGGTTCCGTGGTCGAGGTGGAAACGATAGAGGAAATCGGGGAGGATTTAGGGGTCGCGGTGGTTTTAACGACAGGGGAGGCAGAGGCGGTCGGGGAGGTCGTGGAGGGTTCGACCGAGGCGATGGCAATAGGGGAGGCCGGGGCTATGACAGAGGGGGCCGCGGTGGTGACAGAGGGGGCAGAGGCAATTGGGGCGGACGAGGTGACCGTCATTCGTGGGGCGGTGACAGGGGTGGCTTCAACAAAGGCGGATTTAATGACAGAAAAAGTTACGATGGAGGAGACAACTCACAAAATAAAAAAATTGTATTTGAATAAATTATTAGGTGAGATTTTACAAAACACAATAATTATAGCAGTTATTTATTTGCATGTATGGAAAATTTTGATTCAATGCAAATTTAATTTTAATCAATATAACAGAAATATCAAAAAATAATCAATTGTTTAATTATTTACAATAACTATTTTATTTATAGAAAGGAGCTCGCGGATCATGGGGTGAAAAAGCCAATCTAGATTTGAAACATACACGTGGCAAGTCATTCAAACATGAGAAAACTAAGAAAAAGCGAGGTGCATACCGCGGCGGTGCCATCGACACGTCCGTTCACTCCATCAAATTTGAGGATTAACATGTGGACATTAGTCATCTTTCAATTAAGGTTTTATTGAAAGTTTTACTTGGATGCTGTAACTTATCTACCAATTCATTATAGCACAGTTATTTGTAGCTTGTACTTTGAATAGTACAATTTATTTTTGCCAAGTGATAATAGTATTTAATAAGTTGACTATTTTTTGACATCAAACTATTCTGATTTGTTCCATTATTAATTTTAAGCCTATTTTCATAACATATTCAAAACGAAATTTTAAATTGCCTACTTGGTAAATTGTGAATTCAATGTGGTAAGATGTTTGTTACTATTAATATAGGTATTTTTACCTAGGAAGATAATAATAGCACGGTAATGTATATGTAATATTACCGTGATAATAGTATTGTTTTTTTTTATTACATCCTTCGCTTCATTTATTAAGCATTAATATAATCCGATGCATTGCTGACATGCAATACAATGTAAATAGCTTGAATTATTCATATGCAGTTTTTCTGAACGTAAATGAAAGTACGTTATTATGTACATATGCTTAAATGTTACTATTTTTAAGGAAATAAGATAGGTTTATATTGTATCTTAAGTGGAATGAATGTTAATTTGAATAAGACCGCCTTTTAAATACGAGAAGATGTGTTTTAAATAAAATTATTTCCATACACAACATTTTTCTTTCTCTATTATTATTCAAAAAACTAGCATTGCCCGCGGCTCCGCCCGCGTTCAGATGATCAAAAATTCTTAGGTTTAACATATTAGTATACTCTTACTTTGCAGTTTTTGTATTTTTTCTCTGAAATTAGACATTTTACCGCCTTAAAAACTATCCTATATGTTGACCCAGATAACCAGCTATCACCACACCAAATTTCATCAGAATCCCTTCAGTGGTTTTTCTGTGATGCAGTAACAGACAGACGGACTTCGGTGTCTGCATCGAAAATAATGTCTATTTCAATAAAATTTTCCAAAAAATATTTAATGTACAGAGTTGGTTTAGTTACAATTTTATTATATGTATAGATAAGTCTAATTCCTTGCTTGCTTTTTAGTTTTTACACAGTCAAGCTTTTTAATTTCTGAAATAAGTTTTATTTCGCTTTTTAATTTTACCGAGCAAGCTTCCTGTGTCTTGTCTATACTAATATTATAAAGAGGTAACGTTTATGACGTATGGGTAATCTCTGGATCTTCTGAACCGATTTAGATGTTTGGTAAGAAGATATTTTAAGACCCCGGGAAGGACATAACGATACTTTTTGTGCCGGAAATCATCCTTTAAGGGGATGAAAGTTTGTATGGGGAATAAAGCTAGGGACGAACCCGAGAGAAGCGAGGGAGAGTCCCTAGTCTTATATATTTTTGTGATAGCGTCTTGAAAACCTTTATTTTGGTATCCCGATAATCGAAGTTGGAAAGAAAGTAAAGAACCATAATTGGCGCGAACCAAAATTTAAATCCGCCGTTTAGATTTTAAATTATTTTTATAAAAAGCACTCGCGTTATCAAGACGAACAGAGCGTACATATTATATATCATCAAATTCGGTTAAGCCAGTTAGTGATTACACCTTTGGGCTTCCTGCACTCTAGTAATAAAAGGGCAACTTGCCTCTAAAATTATCTCTATATATTTTATTCTTTAAAAAAAGTACTTTTTATCCCGGAAAAATGTACGGTCCCGTGGGATAGATTTGTTTTTATTTTCCTAGAGGCGAACCGGAGCGAAGCGAGCGTTTTAAATAAAATGAGAAAAATTCTATCCACGCTATAGAGCTTTACAATAAACCAAGAAGAAGGTCATAATGATCGCGATATCTGGCGGGAGAAAAAACCAAAATTCTCCCCATTTAATGTTAGGCTGTTAATGTTACTACCTTCGAGCAATAACAAGCATGGAGCAACTGTACTTAGTTGAACGTTTACAATATATCTATCTGATCGTGTCCTGCTTATAGACTTCTCAACGAGAGGGACAGAAACAGAAATACTCAATTTGCCCTTTCTTAAAATCGCAATGGAGCCGAGTATGCTATTGAAATACTATATTTATTAATTTATCGGTTAAAAAATTTACCGGTTTATAAATCGGAAATACTGTTTCTTTGTAATATTTATAGTAACTATGAAACACTATTACACGAAACAATACTTCAACTTATGTCAAAATTAATTATATTTAATTAATTTAAATTTATTAGATTTTAAGGTAATAACAATTTTTTAAACATTATTTAAATTATTTTGGCTAACAGATGTTGACTTATTACGAATCATTTTTATTGTATTTGAATGTTATTTATTAATGTATTTATTAGGGATTTATTATAATTTAATGTATACTTTTGATTATGTAATTATAGCGAACGCTAAGTACACTTGTAAAGACATATCTGATTATTATTGTCTTCTAAATGGATAGAAATGTTATAATATGTGTGTTGTTAGTGTACTTTTTTCTAATTAAATAAATAACAGAAATAAATGAAAGTCATTCATAGTCTAATCCTGTTTATTCATCATTCAAAAATATGACACAATAAAAAAACAAGTTCATATTTACAAGTTGATACAAGTACAAGTTAATATATATTATTTGAAGCTAAAGCACCATCTTAATCAATTATTTAGCACGCCATACTTTTTTATTGTAAAAGATTTAAAATTTAAATTTAACACCAAAATCGATCAAAAATTGTCAAAATTAATTGGAAAGCTTAATTGGAAAGTGAATTAGTTTTCAAGTGCGCCAGCAGAGGGCACTAGGTTCAGTGTTGGAAGGAAAAATAAAACTAATTAATATGTATATAAATAATACATATCGTCGATATTATAAATTATATAATAAACTAGCGACTCACCCTCGCTTCTCTCGGGTTCATCCCTAGCTTGCTTCCTAATACAAACTTTCATCCCTATTTTCACCTCCTTAAGAGATGATTTCCGGGATAAAAACTATAATATTATACTCCTATGTCATTCCCAGGGTCTCAACCTATCTTCTTACCAAATTTCATCTAAATCAGTTCAGTAGACCCAGAGATTACCCCTTACAACGTCACAACTCACAAACCTCTTTATAATATTAGTATAGATATATAATAATATATAACTAATTAATATATCTATACATATAATCAAATTGTAACTAAGCCGAATCTATACATTAAATATTTTTTGAAAAATCTTATTGAAATAAACATTATTATTTATTATCGATACAGAGGCCAAATGTATAGTTTTAGAATTTTTGTCTGTGTGTCTGTCTGTTACCGCATCACAGAAAAACCACTGGAGGGATTTCGATGTAATTTGGTATGATGATAGCTGGTTTTCCGGGTCAATATATAGGATACTTTTTACCGTGGGAAAATCACTCATTTTTGAGAAAAAATACAAAAACTGCAATGTAAGAGTATACTAATATGTAAAACCTAAGAATTTGCTTTTTGGTCATCTGAACGCGGGCGGAGCCGCTATATAAATAAAACATAAACAAATATTACAAAATATAATGTAAATAAAATTATGATCAATGCCACCTTGATGAAAAAACACTTCTCATATTTTCTGTTATTGAGTTGGTATCCTTGCGCGCATCACGTCAAAGCAGTACTTTTCAAAATGCTTGATTGAGCTATGGAGCATATAACCATAGATTGAGCGGAGCGTAGCTGTAGTTGGAACATCCAATGTTAGCATTATGCCGCATAATGTGCTTTAGTGCTCTAAAACAGGGAGTAGGTACTTACTGTCATCATAGAGTAAATGTCAAGTGTCATGTTATTGTCAAATGTCAATGAAGTATGAACTGCCAATTGTTGTTTTTACCATTTTATATTTGCTGCTAGAGCTAAATGCTAATATTTATAATAATTACATAACTATGATAATAATTAGTTAAAATGTTAAGAATAGCTAAGAATTACATGATTATAAATAATAGAAGTTTTAAAAACTTCGGACATAAGCGACAACCAGAGTCTCGGTTTACTGTACTATGGCATGGATTTTTGACTTTTACTTTCATAGGGTTTGGAATAGAATGGAAAAGGTACGTTTTAAACTATGTTATTTTGTAATTAATAATATATGTACTACTAATTATTGTCATTTATTCCAGATATTTGGTAGCGATATTTTATTTTTATAATAATTGTTGTTTCAGAGTTACAAAATTTTTCTTTGGTGAGAGTACAAATGATACAAAAACAGGTCCATTCGATATGTAATTATTGTAAGTATTCATTAAATGATGATACTGTATAAAATAGTTTTAGTTAATAAAGATGTATAGTTATTTTTGTTTAGAATTATTTGGTTTTGTTATTGAAACTTTGTTTTCAAACAATATTCATCTCAGTAATGTTATTAAAGATGTGATTCTCATGATGCATCTCATTGAAACACACATCCATCATAAATAAGAGTTGTATGTATGTATTGTATTCAGCCATTTTTAATATCCTACAGTTAGGCATAGTCCTCCCTTTAATATGAAATGGATCCAGCCATAGTCCACCAAACTGGTGAAGTGTTGGTTGGAAGACTTCTCATGTTTTCCTTCATCATAAGACAACTAATAATCATGTTGGAATTTTCTATATAGACATTATCAAAATATCACAAAAATAAAGTTACAATTTACTATAAATTAATTTAATGAGGAATATAAGATCAAATAAATAAAGTTTACACATTCATACTTGATTATGTAATATGATCTATTTTGTTGCAATACTTATTTATACCAAATAAATAAAATAAATTAAACCAACATGTTTTATTATTATACGACAACCCATACAACTCCATGGCTGTTGTGGTCTGCTTCGGCAGACCTGCGGTCGGGTCGTTGTGGTGACCCCACCCCATTAAGACGGGAGGGGGGGGGGGGGTCTGTTGGGTTTTAGCGGGTAGTATTGGCTTTTTTAGCCATTGAGTCCCACAACCACCTGCATGTCTACAGGCAGTATGTGTAAATGCATTTCCCAACATAAAAAAAAAACAAAAGGTCCTAGGCTATCTGTGTACTAAGTTTTATCTAAATTCGTGCAGCCGTTATAGCATGAAGAAGTAACAAAATAAACACATAGTCCATAATAAAAGCTATTTTTGCTATAAATGGTGTTAAAATCAGGCTCTGCAACCTGTTCAATTTTTAAACTGGTTTTGGTCATTGAAACCAAACCCTGTTCCCGTCGGTCTAAACTTTAGTTTCGGTTACGATATTTAACCGGTTAAATCCGAAAAACGGTTTTTGACGAATTTAGGTTCCAATCACCAGGAACTAGGATCGTAATTACCAGATTAAAATGAGTTTATGTGCATTTACATTTGGCGAATCTTTGTTAATGGTAAATTGCTTAGTAGAAGTATCAAGTATGAATGAAATAACCGGTTTATTTCGGTATCAAAACCTAAATCTAACCTTTATATAAGAATAACTGTTAACCATTATTATTTCGGTTTAAGTACTAAACCGTTCGTTTTTTTTTATTAACTGGTTATTAAGGAGTGATGATTTTCAAATAGTATATACCTACATAATATATCTATTTTAATCAGAAACTGATTTAATGGCAAGCATTTAATGCTGCAGATCAGAAGGTCTTGAGTTCGAACCCTGGTCGGGCCAATTTTGAGTCCGGAGTTGGGTCTTACCCCCCTGCCTCGAAAAACTCGTAAAGTCGTAGCTCCTGTGCCTGATTTCTCATTGCTCCTGTAGAATTGTCGTCCCACCGGAGCATGAAAGTGACAGGAATAGAAAGTACACTATAATATCTCTGTGCAGTTGGCTAGTTTCACTGAGATTGGCTGAAATCGGTCATGGGGATATCATCATATTAAGTGAAATAATTTTTATCACCAATCATCTTTATGAACCTATCCTTTATGGTATGAAAATATTAACCTAGAATATTGGTGAGATCGTGAAGGCTCTAAACAGGATAAAAATGGAAACCCCCGAGTAGGATTGCATTACGAAGAAACTCATGAAAGGCGCCTTAAAATCAACAATTTGCGTAGTTGTTGAGTTGGCTTCCTATTTATTGAAAGCCTTTGATTCATTTGAAATCTGTTTTGGAATCTTTGCAAACGTGCCAAGTCGATTTTCAATATATCCAGGTGTTTAAATGATTGCTTAGCAAAAACATTACACAACAACATTAACATTACAAATGACATTAGAGGATTTTTTTTAATATTATAACTCTTGTAGCCAAATTGTTACTCCAGGTCCTAGTCTGTCTGTTTACTAAGTTTTATCTAAATGTGTATTTAGAAGTTACACAAAGAGAAAGTGCTACTAGAAGCGCGCGACATCTCTCAAAAGTGATGCCCAGTCTAACATGGTAACCATTATGCTAACCATAAGTCGTATTGATTAGTATCAAGGTCAAATGAAGGTTTTAATGAAACAGCCCCATAAGATAAAATATTTATTTAAGCTCACATAATTGTTCTTATAGATTACAAATTGCAATGCTTTATTTCTAAATAAATAATAATTATTATTAATATAAAGATTACTTGTAACACTTAGTTACAGCAAATGTGCCTTCTAAACAATATATTGAAAAAGGAGTAGGCACCTTAACAACATACATTTATGTTATAAAAGTATTCTTCTTAAGTAAAAACTATGTAGACATCGTATACAATGGTTTTACAAGATGTTTTCTATGCATAAGATAAAAAATGGCTAAGCATGACGATATGGAAAGGATTTTTTGAATCGTCCAATAAATGCTATCTAAGCCTTTTTGTATGACGGCATTGCGCCAACAGTTAACTTGAGCACAATGTCAGATGTCTACTAATAGTATAGATATAACTTCCGTAGATATAAGAAGTATTGGTGCACCATTTCTTTCAATTGTAAATCGTTTAAAACTCATCAAAATAAAAAAGTACTATGGTTAATGTTAGTAACAGTTTACTGAAACATTCCGGAAGCTGTGTACAAAGCCTTATTTAGAAAATTGCGAGCATATTTTTTACTTTAGAGAAAAGCACCAAATTGTTAATAAAACTGAAAAGAAACAAATAGAGGCTTCGTTACGTGAAGTTATTTACATCTCCCTTTTCGCTACTGTTATATTAATGTTTCAATGACCAGTTGAAACGAAAATCTTTGAAATTAATTTGTTGACTAGTTTATATAATACAATATAATTAGAGTGATTATTTTTCGCATCTAATTTACAGATTCTTTCTTACCATGATAATTTTGCTTAAGATATTGATAAATGAGGTTATATACAATCAAAAAGAAACACATTATTGCTGCATGGTAATGCATTGGCCAATTATATACGGTTTTTAATACTCCCGGATGTTTTGTTTTGACACTGTTTAATTTATCTTTCACATTAGCATTCTCTCCGTCACTGTAAGTGGATATAGTTTCTCTTTTAGGAACTATATTATCAATTTTCTGGTAACTATCAAGAGCTTCCTCTTGATTATTCTGTAATTGGCATGGTTTTTCAACTTCATACTTATTCAATATCTCTTCAGCGACGCTACATTCTTTCTCAGATTGCAACACATTTAAACTTTCTTGTAAATAACTGTCTATCTTTGTTAAATGCTCCGGTATTATTAAATTCGCCAAAGGACTATGTCCTCTAGTCACCGGTCTATCCACACTTTCATTTTTTTTATCTGTATCTTCGAAATCAATGACTTTCAGAAGATTTTCTTTACAAACAGAATTGACAATTTTGTAACTATATAAGTCTTCAAAATCATCTTTAATGTAGTTTAATGGACTTAAATTTCTCGACAGTTGTGTCGATTTCCAGAAATAAACAGAGTCCAGCTCGGGAGGTACGGGCGTAAATTTTACTTTTATAACATCTTCATTCGTTATAGTTTCAGTTTTTACGATTTCATCGACATATTCTTTGTTGCCGTGTAGATCTGTATCTTCATATAAATGTGGTGAGTCGATGATATCGTGGCGAGAGGAGCTGTGAACTCGATCTACAGTTACTTTACTGAGTAACTTGCCATCTGTACTCCTTATATCAGAAAACAGTCCTCCATCGAAGTGGAGGGGTGTTTCTAACTTTCTGGTTCTTTGCGGAGAAGGCGTGCTATTTGGATAAGTGGACGGAGAGATAGAGACTGGTCGAAAAGTAGTTGTCGTGTAAACAGTGTCAGAATTGTATATTATTCTCGGAGGCGATCTAGCGGGCGTGTATTTTGCAGAAAGGTCGTCCTCCCTTGGCGAAGAAACTCTGTCCCTCGAGATTCTTTTTGCACACCTGTAACAGTGACCGGGTCATATTTATGAAACTTTAAATATATAATACATACAAATATCCACACAACATACTGTATTAACATATTACGCCACAAAATATATGTCATCGTGTAATGTAAATTATTGTTATATGTACGTTGTTACACTTTTGAACTTGTTATGTGTTGTAATACTATATTGTGGGTTTTTTATTAAGTATCAAAAGAAGGTAAAAAGTTATTCATGTTATTAGAATAATGGACAATCACTGTATGGGAACATACTCTTTTTGAATTTATCTATTAAATTATGTTTTGGGCTTACTGAACAAGATCAAAGGAGTAACGTTTTAAAATAAATTGTAAATATTCATAGATACATATAAATATAATAAAATATTATTTATGTAATACATAAAATAGCCAAAACACTTCTACAAAAATTGTACAATTCAAGCAATTCTACAAGTATCACTATAAATCTACATCTACTTAAATAGAACCTTCCCGAAGTTTATGGGAGGTGGTCTTTAACCATTAGGTATATACAAAACTGTTATTATACGTTTACTGGTGGACACACATTTGTAACACACACATTTGTTAATTCGGGAACACAATAATATAGCGGCGTATGACGAGCTTTGTATGCGCGTAAATGACTGACTCGATATATTGTATCAACATGGTTTTTATGTACTTTAATTGTGAAAACTACAATGTAGTGTAAATGAGTGTTTGATACTAAGTAAATGATTAAGATATTTAAATATTTTAAAGACACATTCAGTTTTAAATGAGATACCTACTAAATGCAGGGCAGCCTTTAAAGAAAAGCATTGTTTTGACTATTTTATGTTCTTTAAGAATATACTCGTATATATCTTTATGAGTATGTTGTATTTTTGACTCAATTAAAATATTATATTCTAAAATTCTAGCCATCGCCGACTATCACGTTTGAATTGACATTTTAAAAGTTCTCATATAAATTCCTACAACTGTTAACAGTTGGCATACAAATTATATTACAGAAAATATATTTGGTTAAGATTTATAAGTGAAAATTACAATTTACTAATATAAAGAAATGATATTAAAATATTTAGTAGGTCAAGAAAAATAGTTTAGAAAAATATGAATATCTTAGTCAATGTACAAACATAACCATTTATTTGAGCAATTGAATGGTGTGGAATTGTATATGTAATTTATCGTAAAACGTTTTAAGGCTCGCATCATACGCACCGTGCAGTTGAAGCACTGACTGTGGTAGTTATTGTTGAGCGCCTCGACCCACCTGTCGCCCGCCTCCACGGGGAACCCGCATGCGAAACATTTTGTTGTGAACAACTCGTTCCAATCTGAAAACGTCCCATTATAGGTAATCATCATGAATTTTACTAAAATACTTTTTAAAATTCATTTAACATTAAAGTAATGACTGTCGCCAAAGTAACCACTCAGTATACCGGCATGAAAAAGCCTGTGGCACTCTCTGGTCTATAATAGGTAGGTGCAAAAACACGCTGTTCCGTTTCACTATTGCTGTGTCAAAGAAGGATAAAAACCTTTATGATATAATCATATAACATAACATATAAGAGAAGGCTTAATTTTTTTCTCTTACACCTTAAATTATTATTTGCATACGTACCCGCTTCACAGTACGGCAGTCCATCTTCTAAGAAGAACGGGTTGTTTCCGAACAGTTTTCCGCAATATACACAACTGAAGCATTCTGGGTGGAAATGTTTGCCAATAGCATTTAAGCAATCCTGAAAATCAAGCGTTTTTGCTTAATATATTTGTACGAATTATATACCTAGTATTATATCATATCTATTTCGTTTATGAATAAAAAAATAAAGTTAGTCACTTCGTAAATGGGGAGTTCCACGCCAAATCGGACGGTTTTAAAAAAAAAATGTTTGATTTTCTTAATATTTTAGTATTTTTAGTATGTACCGCTCAAAAGAGGCTTCCTGGTAAATTTTGAGATTTTTTGATCAATGGTTCAAAACCGTTGTTTGTTTTGGTTTTTTCTCATCACTTTTTTAATAATGGTTGAAATTAAACTTTTATTTTCATTATTTTTGTTTTTGGATGAATTTTACAAAATATATTTTTTTTAATTATTAAAAATCGAAAGAAAAAGGAATTATGGAAGGCCCACTACCGGATTGGGCTTAAAAGTTGCATGATGGATGGAAGTTTAAAATAGAAAATTTAAAAAAAAATCGAAAGATAAAAAAATAATAACACAGTTTTAAAATAACGATTGAAAACTTAAAATTCAAGTCTCGATTAAAACATTTTAAATTATTTTTTTTTATGTAAAGGACTAAAGGTAATCCAAGAACAAAAGTTTTGAAAAAAATAATTGAACTTCGACCATTATTAGATAAGAAAGTTATGAGTAAGAAAACCATATAAAACAGCGGTTTTTTTTAAATTAAATATTTTTGAAACAGTAATCAAAAAGACCTGAAAATTTACCAGGAAGCGTCTTTTAAAAGGTACTAAGAAATACCAAAATATTAAGAAATTCAAAAATAAAAAAATTTCAAACCCTCCGATTTGGCGTGGAATGCCCCAAATATTTTTTCATTCAATTATTTGGATTTTTTTATTTTCACGAAAAGTTAGAAATATTTATTAAAAAAAAAACGTACTCCTTTAATCTTAGCATGGCACTTGTCGCAAGCGGGGGCGATGTATTGTTCGAAACAATATTCGCAGTACAGTTGGCCATTTTCTTCCACGAAGCCGATGTCTTGCAATGGACGTCGGCAGGTCGCGTTAACGCAGATGAAATGTTCCGGACACCAGATACGTCCCAATGCGGTGATGAATGGACCCCTAAATATTTATGTAAAGTTAATTATTATGCAATCTTATTTATTAATTACTGGTTTAGATCTTTTCAAGAACGAGTACTACTTACTGTGGCACTCACTACTATTTGGATAAAAATAAAGGAAGTAACGGCGCTGCCTGAGTAAATATATACCAACAAACATTCATTCGCGTTTTATAACTAGTAAGTAAAAGAAATGTTTTGTGTTTAGAAAGAGAAAGTTATGTAAAAATTACTACCAAACTTAGGGCTAACTTAATAAACCTAGTTAACTACTTAGTAAACTTGTAAATAAATAATAATTCGCTTTTTATAAATGAACTAGCGACTCACCCTCGCTCCGCTCGGGTTCGTCCCTATAATGTTGACCTGGATAACTAACTTTCATCATACCAAATTTCATCAAAATCTACCCAGTTGTTTTCCAGCGATGCGGTAACAGACAGACAGACAAAAATTCTAAAAACAATAGATTCAGCCGATATATGTATCGATAATAAAGTCTAGTTCAATAAGATTTTCGAAAAAAAAATTATGTACAGATTCGGCTTAGTCACAATTTTATTATAGGTATGTACTGATTTATGTTAAAGCTCTTAAAACTTGATTCTCTAAGAATCTGTAACTTGTTAGAAAAAAATATTTAGTAATAAAGACAACACGCGTGCTCAAAAAACATGCTAAGAACTTCTTAACTGACACTTACGTATTTAATTTTGTACTAATACTGATTCATGGTTACCTGGTTATCGCTTTGTCACATTTATGACAAATAGGATATTGTCCTTCGGAGACATCGACAGAAGTCATCGTACTTAAAGGACGGGCTATAATGTGTGAGTCTCTTCTGCCGTCATCATTTCGAATATTTTTCTTTTCTCTTCGTCTTACTACGACTTCTGAACTTTCTTTATCTTCATCTTGTATTAATTTGTGAGTTTCGTTGGATTGCTCTATTAAATTCTCGCTCTTTTCTTTGTTGCCGATGTTACTATCGCCGTTTGTTTTCGCAGCCTTGTAAGTATACAAAGTATTGTCGTGTAAGTTATTTGATAGTTTTTTCACGATTTCGTCTTGATGAGGCTTTATATTTTTGTAATTTTCAGCAACGTCTGTACTATCAAATTCTTTATTTTTGTTTGCATAGTCTTTGCCAAGGACACTGTTGTTAATTTTATCCGAAAATTTACAATTGTTTTCGGAATTAGCTGATTCATTTAGTGCATCAGATCTTTCAAAAAGTCTTCTCTTACTCAATGTGTTAGAATAATTAGTAACTTCAGATTTTATCTCATCTTGGTAACCTGTCTTTTTTCTTAAACTGTTAGTATAATTATTGTGTTCTGATTTATCAGTATAAGATTCATCACAACTTGTATATCCTCCGTTATGTGTTTTTTCATTGTTTGATAACTGAATATCGTTGCTGTTATAGTTGGTGCTTTTTGGAATAAAATCTAGATTTTTGGTGGCAATATTATTTAATATGTTTGTTATTGGAGTACTGTGAGCTTGAAATGTGGGCACTGGAGTAGTAGGAAGAGGTGGAGGTACGGGTGTATGTGGGCTATTTGAATTTAGAGAAACATTCGCAGTAAAAATGTTTGCACTAGGTGAACTCGGAATATTGTTTTCTAAAGATTTTAATGCTCTATCAAAATTTTTATTGACAGGTCGCTTTAAAGTATTTTCACGACTATTTTCACCAGAGGGTATATTGTCAGTATTAAGAGGATGTTTGGTTACAACAGTGTCCTGAATTTTATCAGCCATAGATTGGATATGATCTGCTGGTTTTATTTTTCTTTGAATTCCTATTTCATAACCGTTAAGTGCCATTTTTGCCATTTTTCTTATAAGTCGCTCTTCCGCAGGGCTCTTGAAATCTGTCTTGTGTTGACTGCTTACGGATTGTGTTGATTCATTAGCTGTTAGAAAAACAAAACAACAAAAATAAGCAAACCCATCATGACTGTTAATAATTAAAATGTTAAATGTGAGTAAACAAGTAACCTAAACAATATCTAATTAGAAAAACGCGCTAGTCTTAAAACTCCACTTTACACAATAAGACATGCACCACGCAACACAACATCCAAACTCCTATTTTAAGATTACGTCACCTAATGTTGCCATTGCAGGAGGCACAAAGAGGTACTCGAGACCCGGGGAGAGCAGCTTTGTTTAAGACACCGCGACCCCGTTTCGGAGCCGACGATACACCAAAGGCTTTGCCACGAGCGGTAACTCCTACACCAGAACCTGTCGACGGGGTAGGATCACACACTGGACCTTTGTTAGCACCAGATACAAAAGGAATCGGTTGATACATTTCAGTTTGTTTACTAGCGGTAGCGAAGTTCTCATTAGTAGTATTAATAGATAAGTTCTGTTGGGATGATGTGTCCATAATGGGGGGAGGATAAACCTGTTTTAAGTTATTGTTAGGTTGTTGAACATTTGATTTTAGTTGCTGATATGCACCAGAAGATTGTAAACCGCCATGATGTATTTCTACAACTTTAGCAGACTGTGCCCTTTCATACTCTTCAAATGTTTTTCTTGTTGTTTGAATAGTTGTATTACCATGCTCAGCAATATTTTGCGATTCCATTTGCCTCTGACCATAATTTTGGTTTATCATAGAATCTTCTTTAATTTTCATATCACCTTTATTGTAACTTTCAGAATGATATTCTACATTCGATTGCATTTCCTGTTTTGTAAGTGATGGTTGATCTTGAAGCCACTTCGTAACGTCACTTCCTTGAAAACCCGCATGTCCTAAATCATGTTCCTTTTTTAAAAACTGACTTTGGGGAGACGCATATGATGTATTTTCTTTAATTCGAGGAGCATGTGCTTTTAAATTACTAGATGGAGGCCCTGGTTCTGGCGAATGAGGTCTTGGTTTTGGTGATGACGATTGATTAGTATCAGCCCCGTGTGGTTTATACATACGACCTTCTGGGGCGGAGTGCTCAACGGTAACTAAATTCATTTGGTAACGAGGTATTATGGGTGCGGGTTTATTTATCAAACTGGGAGTCGTAGGGCGGCTAAGAACAGGTGAATTTCTCGACATGCCTTCATCTAACACAGGTTGAAACGAAACTGGAGTATCTTTGCTTTTTAATTTGGTTGACATCTGCTCTCCAGGACTTATTCCTTGATAACCTTGTTGATTTGCTTTTGGGGTATTTGAACGACATTCTATTTTTCTCTCTATTTCGTGTTGATTATGTGTTAGATTAGATGTTTGTGTATTCTGTGTAATACACAATTCGGGCGATTGACCTCGCTGTAGATCCAAATATTCTAAATTTTGTTGATAAGGTGGAATACTTTCTGGTCTATGCAATTCAGTTTTTAACGATGATTCTTTGTTTGATTGTGCATCTGGATTCTGGAACGATTTAACTGGTGAAAAGCTATAATGTGAGCTTGATGTTATATTTTCAGACAATTTTGATTCTTTTTGAGTTGATATTTCACTAACTACCGAAAACTCTTGAGGTTGTGGGGGTGGGAAAACTTGTTTTCTAACCGGCTTAAATGCAGATGGAGTAGAGCTCGTTTGCAAAGTACTAGTATTTTGTGAAGTTAAACTATTTTGTTCCAAATAACTTTTTTCTGACTGATTTGTAATTGGATCATTATCAGTTTGTGTTACAAGAGGAACATAAGTATTACTGCTTTCTTGGTAGGTAGGATTTACCGCAGATGACAAATATTGCGGATTGGGTATGTTAAAGGATAAAGGGCTGTAAGGTCTATCTGGAGCTATCGTAAGGGCTTCTAACATGGACAACCTGTTCGAGGCTTGCGGAGTTTTTGAGGAACTAACTGGTAGATTGGACGTCTTCTTAGGTTTTTTATCAGAAGATAGTTTAGTTTCAGAAGCCATTTTAGAAGGAACAGGTGCAGGTGACACGCTCTCAAATTTGCTTTGGGGTACATATGGTTTCATTGCAGGATTAGATTTTTGCTTAAAAGCAGATGTTTTTAAAGATGTATCTTTCACCATATTTTCTGTTTTATTAGAGAATGATATGGCTTGGTTTTGTGGATTGTTGTACGGTTTTACGGCAGGATTCGTTAATTGCGTTTCCTGCATTTTCACATTTATCTCTTTCATTTCTTTGCCATACTCACTTTGCGCACAAAATGATTGCTTATCATGCGCATTAAACATTTTTTCTGAAACTTTTTTATTCATCTGTGAATCCATTTGGTCAGAGGCTTTGTGAGTTTGAAACATTGTGAAACTTTGACTTTCAGAAGACGCTTGCTGAGAAAATGACTGAACGGAGCAACTGGACATCTCCTGTACCGTCTGAGATTTTTGACTTTGTACTAAAGATTCTGTTATCGATGTTGCCTGAGATGTAGTTATTGCAATATTAGAAGAAAATCCTGTTGATTGAGATGACAGTAGGTTTCCAGTAGTAGATTTCATCATGTTTGTGGGATTAAGATCGGTCGTTGTTGATATCATTATTGGTTCGTGAGCCACGGGAGCTGAATTGCTGTAATGTATATTTTGGAAAGTATTTGGGTTTAGTTCTGTTTGAGATTCATCTTCTGGGGGATTTGGAGGGGGCCACACAATGCTTTTAACGTTTTGAGCTGTTAGGTGAAAGGTAATGGTCAATGGTAGTGAATGGGGAGGAAAAATAGATGAAAGTATACATTAGAATTTTCAAAATAAGAAAAAATTAAATAGATAAGCTGGCCATACTAGTAGAAGTTTTTGAATAAAGCGAAATTTTATACTGTTTATAACCTGGCTGTGGTAAAATATAAACATAGAAAGTGCCAGGATTATTCTGACACGAGTTGCTTTCTTAGCGCATACTTGTTACTATGATATTTACAGACGCAATTAGCTATAAAAAGCTAAGCAGCAAAATTTTATATCCTCAATTTATTAATTACCTTTAAAAATAGGACCTGGGATCTCTGTCAAAATAAAGAACAGTGCTACATAAATTTGGATTGTTAAAGAAAGACTAAAAAATTTTCATAAAAGAGCAACATTTTAGCCAATTTCAATTTATTTTTTATCCTTAAGACCGAGTGAGTTTAAATTTAGCTTAACAAAAATCTAATCTAACATATTGAAACATTTAAAAGCAAATATCTAAATAAGGTTTGAAATTAAATATCCTTACCAAACTTTAACTTCGGACACGGTTCTCAGACTCGTTGCTGAAGCCTGACTAATGAAATTTTGGCTTAACTCGCCAAGTCAAAAAACAAAAGAGTGTTCTGGCAAAGATTATGTCACCTCAGTTATACGAGTATAGAAAGTACATTGTCGAAGTGATTGATTCTTTGCCAAACATCTAAATATAGGTTTCGTAGTTAAATGTGTGCCAAATATTTCTGAGCAATAATGTCCAACTATATTGAGAGTTTAAAGTAACTTTTAATATGGTAAGGAAAATGTAAACGAGATATGGTAGCATTCATCTGTTCAAGGATTTATATGCAATATTTATCTACACAATGAGATGTGCCTTTTTTAAGAAATCTGAATACAATGAACATTTAGATGTAAATTATGAGTTTAGTATTGTATTACTATGGTAATTTCAATACTGAAAATTATTTTTGTATATTACAATTTATTGCTATAAAACGTTCTTAATAAAAATATAAATAATACAACATGTAACAACCGATATAGAAGTTAAAAATGATCAAAAGCAAAAAAAGGTTTACTTCTGGAAAGATAGACTAAATCTTGTGCAGTACCTATGTTTGTTTATGTTTTAAAAAGAAAAAATGAAACATTTCCGCTGTTGAGGCGAGTTCTAAATTAAAAGTAATCCGTCCAAAATGCTAAGATTAACAAAAATCACTTGTTTGATTAAGTACTAAAATTATTACGAAAAGTGCACATCTTAGCATATCTTATACTTTCTTAGAATACACGAATATTTGACATTTTAAATAAAACTATTTTAACAGATTTTTTCGTGGATTTACTTTGATTGATTTCCGACGATTCGAATGGCTTACAGCAATCATGGTCACGAGAGAGCGAATCTCGTGAATCAAAATAAATCCGCAAAAAATTTGAAAGAAAAAAAAACTGTTCAAATATTACTAAAATAATATGCAATAGACGAATTATTACGTTCAGTAATAGTAGTATTATATAGCAAAAGTAACTCTCTTACTGGGTGCGAAGTGTTGCGCGGGGGCGGGGGCGGGCGCGGGCGCGGCGAGTGGGCGCGCGGGCGACAGAGGTGCCGAGCGCGGCGACAGTGACGCAGGGGAATACGCCGAGCCGATAGACGAGCCGAACGGCTTCGGGCCAGACAAGTTGCTAGATGGCTGCAAAACAATAGAATTATTTAAATTATTGATTCTGTCCTACCGATTTCGTTTATTACCGATTTTTCGTTCGCACTGATTGTGAGACTAGACATGTGCGCAGAAGATATTATAGGGCAGAAGTATACACGGATATACAATTGCATTCTCTATCACTTATACACTTAAACCCCCGTGGAATGGCAATTCGACTCGAACAATGAGTTTAGGGGCAGAAGAGTATTAAGTTTTCTCCAATTTTTCAATTCTCGGCTGTTATTCAAAGTTCCTTGAGCTTGAGCATTTTTCCTCAAAAAACCTAATAAGTGCACTTGGCCCGCTCCAGGACTTCATCCTAGAACTTCACGATCTGTAGCTGTACATACTAACCACTATTTTAACGAGGCAATGTTATATTAGTTGTAGTTGGCTATTTTGTACATGGACTCTGATTTGGACCTTGGACGGTGATTATTTAAGCCTTAAGAGAGATAGCATAAAAATATAGAACTTAAACTTTCATATATTTTGTGTCTTATAAATTATATATCTACACTGTTAAGTGTTCAAGTTTACTATAAATCGTGTGCAACATTTTCAAAGTTAATACGAAATACATTGTTTATGGATGAAATAAAAACTACTTAATTATAATTAGTACTCACGCTGAACATGGATGAAGACCCGTTTGTGTAGTTGTTTGTTGAAAGAGGTGGCAAAGGTGTCGAGTAAGCGTTTGTAGGAATTCTGCCACCGCTAAAAAAAGATTTCACATCACTTTTGGTCGAAAAATAAGTTAGTATACGTATTATTTTTGTATAGTTTTTATTTTTAATAGTCATATTATCTTACCAGACCTACGTAAGTTAGGTACATAAAAGGTGGGTAGGTAAACAGGACATCGATTTAGTAGGTGAACAGTTAAATTTGATAATTATAATTAAAAGAGAATAATCATCGAATATCTTCCGATCGACAATTATTATTAGGTACATAGGCACATACATATGTTATATGTTTTATTTAGGTATTTATCTCTATGCTTTCGCATAGATCAGATTTCAATTCATTTAGTTCCAATATAATCGCCACCAAGCAGACTAAAAGTTAAAAAAAGTTTTCTACATCTTTCCAGTATCATAAATTAGAATTGTCAGTTGAATGCTATTCATTTTGGAAGACAGTTAATAATACTTACGGTGGGACGGTAACGGGTTCAAGATTGGCAGCGGGCGGGTTCTGGCGCGCCACGAGCTTGGCGTGGATGTCGCAGTACAGCTTGCCGTTTAGGTTGTAGTAGCCCTGGTTCTTCAGCGCCGAGCCGCAGGTCGCGCACTTGAAGCACTCCACGTGCAGGTTTTTGTCCTTGATGCGCACGAACACGCCGCTGTACGAATGCCGGACGTGAGAAAAGTTGTTACAAAATATAAATGTAGGTAGGTACTTAGGCTATAAATAATGAATATGAATTATCTTTTTGACCCTCAAATTAAATATCTTTGATGCCATGTTTACCAAAACATATCTTAGGTACCTGACAATATAATTTGAACTTACCTAAATGTGAAAAATAAATAAATATGGGTTTTATAGTCTAAACTACGACTACGACGATAAATAAATGCATTCTATTATATTTCTGTATTTCTTATAGTCATGCTTACCAAAAATTTTATTCGTGCACAATACTGCGAAACGACAAAGTGCGCATTTATGTAATCATGCTAAGTGATAGATGTACGTACATATATGTATATAACACAATTGCGCTAAATATTATGGCTTATGTCTACATGTTTTGATGATTTTTATTAATCAATGATACACAGGAATGTGATGCGCCGACATCGGAAACGATATCGTCGCCTAAACCGTTACGGTACCATTCGATATAATTTCAATATGTACAAAAGTTGTTATTTTAAAATAAACGTTGGCACCGTAACGCACACAACATTAAATTCTAGATATCTACTACGATAAACTAGTGCACATATCGACACGGTCGCAAACGTCAGGCATTCAGAATCCCGTCTTACACGATGTGAGCTTTACACTCGGAGCAATATGGCGTGTCGGCGACAGGGGTGGGCGCGCCCAGCGCGTGGCCGATGGGGAGGCTGGGGCGGTGCGCGGAGCCTGGCGCCAGGTGCGTGCGTGTGTGCGCGCCCGAGCGGGCCAGCTCGACCCGCGGCGTGCGCGCCGGCGATCGGTGCGTGTGGTACAGTCGGCTGGGCGACCCCACGCGCGCCACGCTCGCTCGCGAATAAAAGTGAGACGGCACTGCCGACCCCAACAATATTATTGTATACCATCACGAAAATACACAAATCAGAGACGTTTATGATCTAACGGAATATAAAAGTTGTAGAATAGACGACTCGTTTGCCAGCATAATAGGAAAAACTCTCGTTATACCTAAGGGACAAAAAATACCTAAAGATAAACCAAATATGTAGTGACCAAATTGGATACAGCAGCTGAAATATTTGCAAACACATTTAAAGTAAATAACCGCTATGTACAAGTAAAAACAGTTTACACCGACGACTTACATGAAGCCAAGTTTTTTCACGTTCTAGATATTTAATTAACGTTCCAAGGAGTTCCTAAAATTGTCAATAAACTTCAAAATAAAAAATGTCGGCTTTAATTAATGTATTAGCAAAGCCAATTTCCAATTCACTCCAGCCTTCATTTTTATGGGGTCGCGCTTATGATTTTTAACGATATGTTCTTCTGATTTAAAATATAGATAATATGTTAAAACAACGAGACGTTTGCGACCGCGTCGGGCGATAATCGTCCGACTTACGTAATGAGTCGTTCGCACTCCTCGCAAATGTTCTGCCCGGGCGGGAGGCCTCCCGTGTTGTTGATGGGCGCGTCGGGGCGCGTCACGGGCGCCGCCACGTGGCGCAGCCCGCTCACCGGCGTCGTCGCACCCGTCGATACTTCCGATACTTGTCAATTTCAACATTTCACGTTAATTTTTATACTTCCCTCAAAAAGATTCTGGATAACCGTTTTATAATAATACGTTACGTTTGTTATTTATAATTTTATACGAAACTTATGAATGCAAAATGGACTAAGATGGTTCTACTCTGTGATTATCGATTCTATAATTACGTACTTATGTACAATAGTTTAATATCATATGTATCTCTTGAATTGAAAATGGAAAATGAAGTACTACGGGCATAAATTGAGATGATGTAAATTTGTTATATTAATTTTGCTAATAGGTATACCTGGTTCTGGATCGTTTTGTTCCTCCTGAAGAACTTTGAATACGGCACTCTTTTCTGCGTCGTAGGTTTTTTCGTTTTTCTTGAAATTTACTCTGTTTCCAAAACAGTACATATTATATTACTTATTACTATAGACAACACTGTTTTTTTTTTATTAACAGTTTTCATTATATTTCGCAAACATACCCAAGCACACCTCCAGCAAGAACCTCAGTTTGTGCCGAGAGTGTCTCCGCGATGTTCTTGTCACTGTACATATTAACTGGTGTGTTATATTGTTTATTTACAATACTCTTTACGGAGTCGTTGCCATTCATCTGTAAAGATCAAGTAAAAAAATTAATAAAAACATAGAATATACAATTATACATTCATATTAAAAGAAATAAAAACTAACATTTGTTAACTTAGTTTTGTTGTCATTTTTCTAACGGTACTTTAACTCTCATCAAATCCCAGTTTAATTAACCTATTGATTCGAAATTTGGAAAAATCCATGAGTACTTACCATAGGGGTATATTTACGAAGTTTGAATGGAAAATAATATTTTTTCTTGTTAAATTTACCTACCTAGAAATAAATAGGAGTATTTATTTTAATGCAGAGGTGCGAAGAAGTAGGCAAAACGTCGCGTAAGGTAATATTTATATCAAATCATTAATATCAAAAACCTATACCTTTACCGTAATACTTGTCGGAAAACTAAAACGAAATGATTTTGATTGCTTAACTTGAAATAATAGATTCAACACAGATACTCACATAACCAAATGGTTTCGCAACACTGTTGTGTCCAGAGCCGAAAGCGCGTGCGGGTTGAGGTGTCGCCTTGAGCGACGTATTAGTTACCGGCAATGGGTTAGAGCCGAGCGGCCGGGAGCCCGGGCGCGGCAGGCTGCCGGTGGGTGTGACAGATGGCCTCCAAGTACCACCGCCACTGAAACAAATTTGTTATATATAACTATGTAAATATATGTACTATTCAATTATTAGATATTTAAAATTATTCTAATATTAAGAATTATAATTGTTTGATCTCTTTTAACAATAAATGAGGTATCGTATTCTTACGTTGATAATAAAGTCAGGAAAACGTTGTTTAAAGGCTTCCATTGCGCAAATAGCCTGTATAATGAGTACTACCACCTGGCTTCCATATAAGTATCACACAAGTGACGTAATTAGCTTACATGCATCTTGAATGTCAATATGATTATTTAATGATTGGCAGGAAACTAGGCGCCACAAACGAAGAATGCTGGACTTTTAATAGTTTTTCTTTCTTTTCTGCATTCTTATGTAGATAGGATTATTGGAAATTATAAAAACTTGTTACGGTAGTCTTGTTTTGTTTTTGCCGCATTGTTCAGAGCACGTGACTATTTTATACACAACTAGCGGCTCACCCTCGCTTCGCTCGGGTTCGTCGCTAGGTACGTTTTAAATAGATATAAAAAAAAAAAATCTTTCTTTCTCACATTTTAATTATATGTTTTAATACTTACCTATTCCGGACTAAGAGAAATCCAAAAATTAAAATATCATAAAAATTGGAACGCGGTCGAACGGGATAAAAAGTATCCTATGTCCTTCTCCTGGCTCTAAACTACCTCCCTGCCAATTTTCAGCTAAATCGGTTCAGCCGTTCTTGAGTTATAAGCGAAGTAACTAACACGACTTTCTTTTATATATATAGATATTATCGGGCAATGCGATAAAATGTTACCGCATTCGGTATAGTCCAATCACTTATCAATTTTATGAATAAAGATTGAAAATCGTGATTTACATATTAACGATCCATACTTATATAGAATTATTATTATTAAGTGTAATAATTACAACTGCTTTCTTTTATTATTTATATACCTAAACTTAAAAATTAATTATACATCCTGCGGAAGTTTTTGTTCTTCTTCCTTTCTGTAATTATTATGGCTAAAAGAATACTCGAATAAATTCCGTACGGGTATAAGTATATGTATGCCTATTGCCTTGCATCTGTTCATACCTACCAACCTTAGATATAGATTTTAAACATATGATATCGGTCATTTTTATTTCTATAGGTTTAAAGAGCAGAGACAGAAATGGTGTTTTTCTAAAATGATAATGATGCTTAAATGATATACCTGTAACCTGATGCTCCGCTAGGGAGGCTATCAAAGAGTTAAGTCCCCAGAAACACATGGTAGGATAGAGTGTCCGAATATTTCAGCAATTTGCCTCGAACACTCTCTATCGTATAACGTACTTACCATAAATTGAAAAAATTTATAACAATAAAAAATAGCATCATTTTCAAGTCTCCAAACTACAGACAAGATATTCTCAAATAATTTGTGTATCATCTTTTAGTAAAATTATTTTCTTATTTGGTGTAACTTACCGTTGCACAGTAAGTTCGAGAGCTGGTCCGGCGGCGCGAATTGTGTCCTGCGCTTCCTGATGCCTCAGTGTGTATACGTCGGTGCTGTTCACGCGAATGAGCGCGTCTCCCGCCTGCAAGCCCGCGCGCTCTGCTGCACTACCGCCGTTGACCTTAAACAACGACAATTTAAATTTTATTGAAATCTTGTCATACGTAATGTATAATTTTTGGATTTTCAAGGCAATTTTATAAACTAAAAGTTAATGGTAATTTAAGTTAAAAGAGTAATTTTTGGGAGTGCTGTATCGATTTTCGAAAAAATCATGTTATGTTAGTAGTGCAATTTATAGCAGTATACATAGAATGCTTATTTCTCTGTAGGTAGCATTAGGACGACATAAGCTAAGTAAGATGTATAATGAGGGACGAATAGCCGTATACCTAGTAATTAGGAATATAAAATTACAACATCATCATAAACCTCCTGCCCATTTTCCAAATTACTTGGGGTCGGCGCAGTACGTCTTCCATACTGCTGATCGGTTTTGGCAACAGTTAAATACGACCGGCTGCCTGCCTTAAGTTAAACCCCATTTGGGAATCTACCTACATAAAATTACAAAATTATTCAACTAATTGATTAACGATGATCCTAATACTGAAATTATATTAATATCTATTATCTAGTTATATGTGTATATGTACCTATGTACATTTCATGAAGTTCATTGATTTAATGATGGCATTATATTTTAACTCTATTTATATTCGTTCACTAGCATTGCCCGCGGCTCCGCCCGCGTTCGGATGACCAAAAACAAAATTCTTAGGTTTTACATATTTGTATACCCTTCCATTGCAATTTTTGTATTTTTTTCTCAGAAATGAGATATTTTCCCGGAGAGGTAAAAAGTATCCCATATGTTGACCCGGATAACCAGCTATTACCATACCAAATTTCATCAATATCCCTCCAGTGGTTTTTCTGTGATGCGGTAACAGACATACAGACAAAAATTCTAAAAACTATAGATTCGGCCTCTGTATCGATAATAATGATTATTTCAATAAGATTTTCCAAAAATATCTTATGTACAGATTCGGCTTGGTTACAATTTTATTATATGTATAGATAATATATTATAAATGCTTAATTATTACAAAATAGTAAGTATATTTTATAAATTTTATTGAATATCTATCCATTACCGTAAAAACGCAACATGCCTTAGATTCTTTGAAGGGTGACGAAAAGAACAATGTGAGCTTGTGAGAAAGAAACCTTTCATCCAGACATTGTTTAAAAAAGTTGTAGCTATTTTTAGAACTTTAATTTTGAATGATAATACATAGCAATTAGATTCTCTTTTCTATATCAAGTAGGTACCTACATTCCATGCTATAGTGTGAAATTTGTTTGTCTGTCTGTCTGTTTTCAATTGCTCGTGAATTTAAAAATAGAGTAGTAGATATAGATACGTAAAACGTATCCTAACCACTTTAACACTACTTATGAAGATAAATGTATTATCTATACTATAATAAAACTGTAGAGGTCGAATGTCTGTACATAGAAAAAAAATGCTTCTAACCGAGTCAGGGGATGTAAGAAGATAAATAGAATAAATCCAGATTTTTTCAAATTTTTTGTTTCTTTGTCTGTTTGTCTGTTTGTACGGGCTAATCTCCGAAACTATTCGACCGATTTGAATGAAATTTGGCATGGTGGTACCTTATATCCCCGGTCAACATCTTAGATACTTTTCATTCCGGAAAATTAAAGAATTCCCGTGGAATAGTTAAAAAACTATAATAACTTATACATCTTAGTACACAACAACTTATGCACCTAATTTAGTAAAATTTGGCATGCTGATACCTTATATTGCCGGTCAAACAACAGGTTACTTTTCATCCCGGAAAAATGAACGGTTCCCGTGGGATAGATCTATTTGTGTTTTTATAGAGGCGAACCCGAGCGAAGCAAAGGTGAGCCGCTAGTGTATTCTTAAGAATGTTTTACAACTGTTACAAGTACGAATAAGTTACACTTAATAACCGCAAATGATTAAATATGTAATGGCATCATAATTTATTTATGGTCACTTATCTTCTAGTTACTCAGAACGCGCTGAACAAGTTTAATTTCCTTGAAATTTCCTATTATTAACTGTAGACAACAGTGGTTAGTGTTTTAGCTCATCGTTTTCCGTTCAACGTATACGATAGACAATATTTGTTTTTGATACTTACGAAACGGTTATATTGAGAATGATTTTTATATCCAGAATTAACATTTATAAGTACGGGGTCCGACATTGTGGTTAGTAAAAATTTTGCATATTTTTTCAAGGTAGAAGGCGCGTAAGGAAGTGCTGACGTCATCGTGAGATCAGCGCCGTCTGGACTGTGTAGTATACAATATACATATATGGGATGCTAACTTCTTCCCTTTTGTGTGCAATCATTGACGTTGGGTACATTTACCATGTATGAACTTCATTAGTATGTAAATATTAAGTTTATTTACAATTGACAAAGATTTATAAAGATCAGAAACATCACTGGATCTCTCTTTGTTTATTTTGTCTCATAACTTACCTCTAATCCAAAATTAAACTACCTAATAAAAATACATAGCAAAAGATGATTTTCACTTCGTACCGTGATTCATATAAAAATCCATGTTTGTGATTCGCAGTAAAAAATATTATCCTCAACTTTATTCACTTTCTCTTTAAAAGTTAAAGCTATAATATAATATACCTATAATATTACTCACAGTAAAAATTTAAAAGTAATGATATCTCAAGTACACGTGCTTATAATCGAACTAAAGTGCGAATGTACTTGTTCACGCTTATATCTCGCGTCCCCTTCCTATCAGTAGAACGTCAGGAATTTAAAGTTTCTGTCGGCTGTAAAACTTGTAAAGTAGCCTTCATTTGGCCGCGAAGTCGTCGACAATGACCTCTGAATAGCGCTGTCTACCCTCGGCCAAAGATCTGGACCTATATGGATGTGCTTCTAGAGCCTAAAATGTAAACATAATATGATGTAGTTTCATTTTGTTTTTTAATAAAACACGTTTGTTCACGACTACCGATTGAACACCTTATGACTTGAAATATTTATTTATTACTAACAAAACCCGCGGCTCCGCTCGCGTTAAAACTATAAAAAAACTTCAAAAGGTAGTTTTCATACAAACTTCCATCCCCTATTTTACCCCCTTATGGAATGAATTTCGATATTTCGAATTTTGGGTTGTATTATAACGTATTATCCCACAGGAATCAGATAATCTCCCGCGGTAAAAAGAAGATTATGTCATTCTCCAGCTCACCAACTATCTCCACACAAAAAATCACGCCTATCCGTCACACCGTTTCGACGTTAAAGAAGGACAAACAAACAAACACACTTTCACATTTATAATATTAGTATGGATGTAACCAGTGACCATTGTCAGGTACATATATAAAACAAAAAAGAAAATAAGAGACTTGTAATATTCTAACAAAGCGTTTGATTTAATAGGCCGGTGTATGTAAATCATCCGTCTGTTATCGTCAATGTCATTTCAACGTATAGGTACAATTTGTTCATATCTCGAAGTCGTGATTCGTAGGTCTAATTGTTACCAATTAAGTAGGTAGGAATTGAATAATGTTTCTTGGATGTATTGCAAACAAAAATAATTTTACAAGCTATTGACTTTAGAATTGAAAATTTATTTTATTGTTAATAGATATGTGTAAAGATAATTATTTTAGAGAATAAAATAAAAAGTAACATATGATTTCAGAAACACTACGGCATTGCCCTTACCGTGGCAGCGCACGCGCATGCCTTATACGGCAGCAGAAATACAAGAACGAGAGATTAATGCAGTCCCGCCCGCCGTGCGAGGTCATGCCATATTATATTTTCTTTATTGTTTACTTCTTTCAAAGTACGACGTCTAGCGGGGCACTGCAGCTGCAGATTTTTTTTTGTTACTTATAACAAGAATAAGAAAGTGCTTTGATATAAATATGCCTTAGTTAATTTGTAACACTTTTGAAAAATCATTTATGATATTTTTGCTTGATATATTATATTTTGGCTACCTTTATAATATGCTCATCTATACTTCTGTACTAATATTATTAAGAGGTAATAAATGTTTGTGAGTTTGTGACCTTGTAGGAGGTAATCTCTGGATCTACTGAACCGATTTAGATGAAATTTGGTAAGAAAATAGTTTGAGACCTTGGGAAGGACATAGGATACTTTTTATTCCGGATAAATCATCCATTAAGAAGCTGAACATGGGGATGAAAGTTTGTATGGGGAATCAAGCTAGGGAAGCGAGGGTGAGTCGCTAGTATATATAGAGTTTATATAAGAGTTCATTACCTGTGGAAGTATATTTTTTGTGGAAACTTTATTGGCTTAAGATTCGATACTACTAAAATGTAAAGTACCTATGAGAAATATTTAAACACTGTTTATTTCTCAAACAATAAAAAAACTCCAATAAATTATATTAAACGTTGTATCTCATTGTTGTTGGTTGTCAAAGAAAAGATGTATGAAGCAACAAGGAAGATACATTCATATTCAAATATTTCTATGAGTACAGAGAATACAGATAATATTGCTTAGCAAGAACAGCGTAACAATTAACGACCACGATTTACACATAATAGAATTTCCTCATTGCAGTAGAAGTTTTCTACAGTTTGTTTGGATGTGCATAGTGTATACTGCATACTTTACTGATAGTATTCAAGCGTATACATTCTTATACGTAGTTAGTTATCCAGATAATTAGAAAATACCAATGGCGATAATCCATAGAACGTTGTCGCCGCACGGCGTTCTAATTTCAAAACAAAACCCTGCCTGTACGTGACTCAGATTATGTTCGAAGTTCGAAACGACAAAACCCGACCAGTTATGCAACAGCCAACGGCTGTCCACTGTCCAGTCCAGCCGGGCCGGTTAAAGAGAGTGAATCTGATCATGCTCTGTTATAGAAAGGATAAAGTTCTGACACAGCTTTTAATGGCTGCTATAAAAAAACCTTTAAAGTCATGAATATCGAGAAATTTAAGCTTAGCGCACTGTTTAACGATTGGAGTTTATAGTTTATTTTTAAATTGTATCGTTTTATTTTTAAATT